AACAGCAATGGGAACAAAGATGGCCCCGTCTTATGCCAATATTTTTATGGGGAAATTAGAACAGAGAATTCTCAATTCTTCTCTTTATCAACCCCTCTCTTGGTTCCGATTTATCGATGATATTGACATGAAGTGGGATAATACTGAACAAGAACTAAATTTGTTCATTCAACATGCCAACGATGCCCATCCCTCAATAAAATTCACATATGAAATCTCTGACTCTAAGATCACATTTCTTGACACTACAACGCACGTGAGGGATGGAAACATATTTACAGATCTGTATTGCAAGCCCACAGACAAACATCAATATCTATCTCCATTGAGTTGTCACCCTAAACATTGCACCAAGAGCATTCCCTACAGCCAGGCCATACGAATAAAAAGGATTTGCTCCACCAACGATATTGTTAAAAAACGACTACAAGAACTTCGCGGTCACCTAAAACATCGGGACTACAAAAGAAAAGACATTGATAAAGGTTTTTTCTCGTCCTAACAACATCAGCCGAGATGAACTTTTACAATATAAAGTCAAAAAGGTCAACAGGAGGGTGCCTTTTGTGTTGACTTACCATCCAAAATTTGACAACTTATCTCACCTAATCCGCGAAAATTGGAAAGAAATCGAAAAACATCCTAAACTATCCAAGGTCTTTACCTGTACTGGCTTTCCGTAGGCCCAAAAGCCTTAAAGACCAGCTGGTGAGAGCTGATTTATCCTCTCAAGCAGGCTCTTCGTCTGTGGGCTCTTGCAAGGGTTGCGGAAACAAACGATGTCTGACTTGCAAACAAATACTGGTTACCCAGACTTTTAACAGTCACTCCGCTGGTACAGAATACACCATATTTTGCAATGTTAATTGCAAGACTACAAATGTTGTGTATCTCCTACAGTGTACATGTGGTAAACAGTATGTTGGCGAGTCAGAACAGCCGTTTCGCAAACGAATGAACGGTCATCGTAGCGACCACCAATGCAAGCCAGACCTCCCTCTCAGTCGACATTTGAGATCCCCTGGCCACACTAAGGCAGATCTCAATCGACTGACCATTACAATCATTGAACACAACTCTGCTTGGTCTAGGGAGGATAGACTCACTCGGGAAAGATTTTGGATAAGAAAATTAACAACTTTGGCACCAAATGGGATAAATGAAAAGATGTAGTTCTATTCCATGCAGTGCTTCACATTTGGGTTATATTACTTATTATTACAGTCTCTGTTTCTATTTCTTTACCTTACTCATCTCTAAAATCTGTTGAATATACCAATTTAAATTGCTTAATTTTTTGAGGGATGTAAAAGTACCAAGCCACGTTCAACTAGTTAACCTTAGTCAAATTTTATTATCATATTTTAACGGCCGTTTGTTTGCGATGTTTAAATACGCAGACTCTGTTGTAACTACTCTACCGTTGTCAAATTTGAAATATTTACAAATTTAGATCGTTCAGTGCTGTTTATTTGGAATTCTTATTGACGCAATCGTTCTTGTAACATCATAACTGTCGTCACCGTTAAAGCTTTAGAATTGTGCTAGTTCATATCGGACATTATTATTTTTATTTAAAGCATATATTTGAACTCTCTGTTGTAATTAGTCATATAACCTATGTCGTGTTTAACACATATTTAGAATTGTGCAAGCGTCTTACCTGATGTTCGGTTTGACTTTTTTATTGTATAAATTTCAAGATTGTTATAGTTTAATCTAAGTAGACTGATATATGATTCATTCAACATCACAATCATATTTACTGATGAAGGATATCTGTTATCCGAAATATTTATAAATAATTACATTTATAGTTCCTTTTTTTGTTATTGGTGTTGTTGTGTACACTTTTTAGGCGTTTATATATATATATATATATATATATATATATTGATTTAATTTTGCTGACTTTCATAGCCTAACGGAAGTCCACGTTCATGTTAATCAATAAGTCAAACATAATTGATAACAAGAATGTTATGTAGAATTTCCCGTTCTGAAAGTAAAAACATATTCGAGCTAGAGAAGAAAAAAAACGTTTCGCTAACTTCTTTGTAGAAATTTAGTTTGCTCATCTTTAAATACATACGACAGCTTTGTTCATCGCCGGTTTTCGTGTTGATGGCGTCTGTGGGTTGTTTGTCTTTTTCGTTTTTGTTTTTTCTTCAAGTTGTTTTGTTTGTTTTGTTTGTTTTTGTAATTTTTGTTTTTTGTTTGTTTTTTTTTGGGGGGGGGGGGGGGAGGGAGGCACTAAGGTGTTATCTATCTTTCTCCAATGTTTGATTTGTTGATTGACCACTTTGTTATTTTCTTAATCTCACATCTCAATTTAATCTGCATTCAAACATGAAGTATAATAATTTAATGTGTCTTTAGAGATAAACAATTATAATATACAAAATTGAGCAAAGGGTGACAATATCTTATTCTTGTCAGCAAAATAAAAATAAGCGAGATTTGCTATAGACGTAGAAAATAAACTCAGGAGACTAACAAATGATCTCATAGACAGACAGACAACAGAAACACGGATATTTTTATTTCAGTTTTATCACACTTCATGAACGATATTGCTTCTCGTTTTCGCATAGTTTATTAGTACTATCCGGAGAAATGTAACCCTAACAAAGATATATATATATATATAAGTGACAATTTATCCATCATTAAGTACAGGAAGACTATTTAACGTCTGTATAATACAATAGGACAACATTACACGTACTATATAATAGTCCAACTAGTCATTTCGACTATATCGCCGTTAAATATGTTAATATGTACTTTTCAGGGAAGAAAATGAAAAGAATCTGTTATATATATGTCCTACCGCAGTATTTTAAATTAGTTGTAAGCTATAATTGACTTACCATCGTGTTGTAGATTTCGTCAACAGATAGGTATATGTTTGTAATGACATAAAGGTGTATTTTAATGTTTAGATTCCCTATGATAAGTGACATCAGTTTTATGATATGTAAGTGTTTACAGGTAGTTAGTTCACCTATTTATTTGCATTAAAGGGGCACTAGCTGTCAAATTCATGTTCACCGATTTGACTCAAATTCTCATATTAGATTTATAACAATGTAAAACATTTATCCAAATAATAAAAAGTCTAAAATAAACAATTTACAGGACATGGGCTCGATAATATGTAGCTTCGTGTTGTGTGTATTTTAGTCTAGACGCCATCTAATTAACTATCGAGATGACCCCAAAAACAACCGACGGTCACATAACACAATATAAACATAAACATAAATATAAATAGATATATGTACCTCGTGCAAATGGATTTTTCTATGTCTGTTTGATTTCAATTTTAAGATTAAAAAAATAAGTTAATTTTCGATTTTACCTGTATAAGAATGATTTTTTGTGGATCGAATCAGTCAATCAAATGATTTACCTTTGTTTCACTTTCAATGTTGACATTCTTTTCTTTTAATAGCCTAACACGCATCAATCATGCATAATCCATCTCTAGCTAAGGGGTTGAATTTAAGTTCACGTGAATACGGATTCAATGAGGTAGAATTATTCACTTGCAAGTAAATAATTCATCATCGATGTTTCTTAGCTTATTTTGACAAAATTGAACCATACTGGCTGCTAATAGCGAATTATTATTTCACTCTTTCACTTTCATTAATGATTGAACAAACAAAAAAATCATAATTTAAATTTTTTATGTATCTCGTAGCTTGTGCCCCTTTAAGTAATATCGTAGATTTATGTTAACTTGGTCTTATTTATTTGTTTTAGATTAAAATTTCCGCAAAGATCCTTTTCGAGATTCCTTCTACATCCCACCGCATATATTGAGACTGTTCATCACCGGTTTTCGTATGTTGCCCATTTTTTATACGATCGTCGGGACGTAATATAGTATACCGCTGTCCGTCCGTTGTCAACACTTCGGACAATAACTCAAAAACGCTTGAACCAATTTCATGAACCTTGGTGAATTGTTTATATCTATTGACGTAAGCTCCCTTTCGATTTTTATAAATTTTTATTAAAATGTTCATAAAAAAGGGGGATTTTCCAGTTTTCAGACAATAACTCAAAAACACTTTGAGCAGGTTTCATGAAACTATGGTGGCTTGTTTATATCTATTAAAATAAGCCCCTTTTGTTTGTTTTTTTATGAATTTCTGATATGATATTGCAGAGTTATGAAACTTAATTTTTTTTAAAAATCGTCAAAACTAAAACAAAAGGGCGACGGGCGTATCATGCGCTAATGGCGCAGCTCTTTGTTAATTTTCAGAATGACATGTAGGTCCTATTGTTTGTATTTTCGTATATTTTCTTTTTGTTCATGGTGTTGTCTTACTTTAGCTTTTGTTTTTTAATTGCCACCCTTTTTGTTATCTTTTCTTTCCCTTCATCTTTTTTCAATGTCCGACAAAATCAAAGTTGAGACTGACAGAATCAGATGAATCTTGAACGTCAGAAGTCACAGAAAATATTTTTTTATACCTAAATCCGACATTGTCTTGAATGTTACATCTTACAAATCGCCATTACAATCATACCGTGATGGTAGGTAGCAAGGGTATCCGTTTTCACGGTATGACCATTGCTGAGCCCTGGGACAGTAAGTTCAGATTTGGGGTTCGAGGAAAGGGACGTAATTGCTCGCAATGTTAAAAAGATTGGCCCGCAAGCGTAGCACCTAGCTCATTCTGGCTAGCAGCACCCGAGAAAAGTATAACGAAAATATTTATCTGATCAGATAAGGTGAATGCAATATAGCCCCCAATTATCAAGTCTACAAGTTGATCTTATGAGTCAAACGTTGAAAAATAAAGAGTGCATTTTAACCTTAGATTTGGCAAAGAGTTCAAGCCAGTTATATGTATGTGAAGGGCAACTGAACGACAGGTTCCTGAACCTTCACATTGCCTATAAACATGGAAACTGTCACACGTGACAAAACAAGCGATCTCTCTGTGATCCTTTCCTTTTTACAAATAAAAAGCAAATGCTTAGTGATTTCATAACAGTCATAAAGCTGTTTTTATAATGAAATTGAAAAAAATATATATAAAGTATCTATGTTTACATAAAAAGAAAAAACCTGAAAGTGCAACAAAGGTCTTACTTCGTCTATTCATGGCATCCACATTTGTACTCCCTTTATCATTTCACTAGAACTATCGGTGCTATTGTTGGTCGTTTCTACAACTGATTGTGTCTTTTCATTATTAGGTTTCGTTTTCGTTTTTTTACTGTCTGATTTTGATCCCTCGTCCGTTTTGTATTTTATAGGAATAGAATTGTCAAAATGGTCTTCCGTGTTTTTTTTAACCAATACATATCTTCTTGGTCTTTCTGTTGGTTTCTCCCTTGAACTGTTGTTCTTATCAGGTCTTGTTAAAACAGTCTTTTGTGAATTCATTTTATGCGACGATGGACGATACCTATATTCTCTAACATTGCCCCCTTTCTCCTCCGGTTTCTGACCTGAATCCCTCCATGAATTGTAATGCCATGAACGTGTTTCTGAGGTAGGATATTGTTTGTTTGTTTGATAATCATCTTCACTTGGACCATGTCTGCTTATCGAGCTTGTTCCTACGTTCTGCGTATTAACATTTGCTTGTCGTCCATCAAATAGTCTTGTATTCGGAGGAAGTGGTTTTTTCGAAACATTTGATGCTTTGTCAACATTTCTTGTTTCTGAACGCGTTGGTCCGGTTACATCCTCAATCACAGGCCCTCCTTGTTTTCTTTGCTCTTCGGAGGGAGAACCACGGCGGTCCTCGTGTTCTTCAATTAGTGGCTCATGAGTTGATCTCGGTTTCCCTGTTGGTCTCTTTCTTGTCTCCCTTACTTCCTCTTCTTCAGTATATCGTCTGAAAAATTTAGTTGGGTAAATAACAAGAATATCTGCATGTTTATGAGGGTCTTGATGGGGTTTCCAGAATAGGGGATAATGGCCAAAAAATAAATAATAAAGAAATAAACTGTTATCACAGAGATATGTCTCGCCTTTTTGTAATTTTGATAATGCAAATGTTGAAATTAAAATAGCAATACTTTAACATGTAAGTTATGCAAATATTCAAAGTCGATGAACCATGACTGAAGGTACATGGCTAAACAATCTCCATGGAATGAGATGTGCCAATGCTAATACAACTGCATACCAAATACCATTGACTTATTATAAGTCGTTCCCTTTAAACAAACCTAAACACAAACATTAACTTGTAAACTATGTAAAAGTTTCAAAGTCAATGAACCATGATCAGGGGTGGGGCTATATAATCTCCTTGGAAACCATACTTGCAAATGCCAATAAATTTGCATACCAAATATCATTGACTTAACATTAGTAGTTCATCTTAAACTGAAACTGATCTAATCACAAACTAATACATGTTAACTAAGTTTCAAAGTAAATAGACCATGACTGAAGAGGCGGTGCCAAATATTCTCCATGGAAATGATATGTGCTAATGCTTATACAACTGAACACCAATTAGCATTGGCCTACCACTAATGGTTCTCCTTGAACTGACCTAATCACAAACTATATAATACATATTAACTTAGCAAAATTTTCAAAGTCTATAGACCATGACCAAGGAGGCGGAGCCAAATAATCTCCTTGGAAATGAGATATGCAAATGCTTATACAACTGCATACCAAATTTCATTGACCTACCACTAGTGGTTCCCCATAAATTAACCTAATCACAAACTAATACATGTAAACTATGAAAAGTTTCAAAGTCAATAGACCTTGACTGAGGGGGCGGGGCCAAATAATCTCCATGGTAATGAGATGTGCCAATGCTAATACAACTGCATACCAAATATCATTGACCTACCACTATTGGTTCACCATGAACTAGACCTAATCACAAACTAATACATTGTTGACGCCGCCGCCGCCGCCGACGCCGGAAACAGCATACCTATGTCTCACTTTTTGACTCCGTCAAGGCAAGACAAAAATGAGCAAAATAATAACGAAAAAGTGAGCAAAATATTAAAGGAAAAATGCGAAAAAATGAGCAAAATAATAAAGAATAGAGAATAATGGGGTGCAAAAATATAAAGTATAACTGTGGAAAATAAAAGAATTGGATATTACAATACTGATTACAGATATAAACGATGTACAGAAAAAAGATATCATCTAATTACAGAAAATTTAATACAAGAATCATTTATTTAATGAGAATTTTACAAAAAAAAAGCGTTATTTTTAAGGACACAGAAAAATGCCCTAAAAACTTAAACAATACAGAAATTAAGGACTCCCCATCCAGTCCCTCGTATATATAAATATATATATATATATATGGAACATCATGGCCCGCTCTCTAGCGTCACTGATGAGTTTTTTGTAGACGAAACGCGCGTCTGACGTACAAAATTAAAAGCCTGGTATCTTTTGGTGAGTTTTTTTTTCACACCATCATATTTTCATGTTCAATGAACAGCAGATTATTAGTCTAATCCCTTATTAGTCATATATTTGAAAATATTCATTTCATTATGAACATTTGTATTAAGTTTCTGATTGAAGTGACAACAACTTCAAAGTAAGCTTCCTTAACCCAAAACTGAACATGATAATGTATCGATTTACACAATCACGAGCTAGACAGGAAAATTGCATTAAACAACTTTTGGTCTCAATATTTAGTGTAAGAATAGAGAATAACAAATGCACAATTATAACAAAAAACATTGTTCAAATGTCCTGGCAAAAATCAGAAAAAATGTATAATATCTTTTAATGATTCTCATGGAATTCACTGTCATATTCCGGGTGAGAAGCGGCATACGCAAAATGAAAATCAGTGCATGCCCATCGATGATAAACTAGGATTATCTCACTATTTTGCATTAAGCTCAGATAAACCAGGATTATCTCAGAAATTTTCAGATAATCCCGGTTTTTCTCAGAATTTTCAGATACCTGAATTATCTGAGAATTCTGAGAAAATCGATTAACTGGAAAAAAAGAGAGACTCCGAAACATTGATTCGAAATGATATCAAAATAAGAGACAAGCTTTGTTAAATAAACATATTATTTATCTCTTTCAAAATTATATCTGTATCATCATTGCATGCTGGAAAACGTATAATATAATTATTCATCTTAAACCAAATTTAGAGTACATTTGTTTACAAAGCCTCTGATCTCTTTCCATCAATTATATATAAAGATTTATATCAAACGAACGTGATTAATATGAGAGAGAAATAAATAAAGGTATAATGAACATTTAGTATTTCATTTAAATGTGAAAGTGTGCTTTAAAATCATAGTGTAATGTTTGTAAACTATGATGTGAATCTCATTTGTCCACCAAGGGCCCAAAATTAAAACAATAAATCGTCTTATATATTCTTGTTTATTCCCGATTTGGAACACATTTAAAGGTGTGTCAAACTTCCAAAAAAAATCTTTGAGTCGGAAAAAACTACAAATAAAATGCTTCGCTGAGCGCAGCTGGATACGACCGCAGAGGTCTAACCCTAAACAGTTGGGGCGAAAATGGACACAATATTCGCGCTTGATACAGGTCTGAATTTGGATTGTAATTAAATATTTGACACATAATAGGTTTCTGACACCGATTAACTGTAGTCAAAGAACTTAGAATTGGTTATATGATTTGAATTTATATTCAACTTTTTTGTTTTTGTGAAATACACTATGCTGTTGCGTATTGACCCCCCCCCCCCCCCCCCCAAAAAAAAATTTAAAATATTTGAAGAAATTTTCTTTTTAATTTCTGAAATCTGAAATGAAAAAAAAAAATTGCCCCCCACAATTTCTTTTTTTACCCCCCCCCCCCCCCCCCCTTTTAAAAAAAAATCTTTCCATCAAGATATGGTCATAATCACAATTCACATTTCCAATGGAGTTTGCAACCATAATTACCAATTTAAATACACCATAAAAGTCTTAAATAGATAATTCAAAAGCAGTGTAAGGGAGGTAATCCAACATTGTACAATTTTGTTTTTGGATTACCTCCCTTACACTGCTTTTAAATTGTCCATTAACCAGGAAACCCTTGTTTTTCCCCCTTTTTTGCCCCTAACTCCTAAACGGTTTGAGCCGTAAGCCTCCAAAGCCAATCCTAACCATCCCTTTGTGGTATGAAAACTTGTGGTATAATTTCAGAGAGATCCATACACTTAAACACAAGTTATTGTCTGGAAGTTACAAAAATGCTTAACTGTTGGTACCATAACCCCCAAAATCAACCCCAAACCTTCCTTTTGTGGTATTGAACCTTATGGTAAAATTTCATAGAGATCCATTCTCTTAAACTAAAGTTATTGTGCGAAAGAAAAACCGATGTGTCTTCGGACGACGACGACGCCAACGTCATACCAATATACGACCGCAAAAATGTTTTGCGGTCGTATAAAAATCATTGAACCAACATACTTCGACCAGCATGGTACATCTTCAAATTGACAGGATATATATAGTACTAATGAAGTCATCAATTTAAAGACAAAACAATGAAATTTCCTGCTCATTCTAACCACTTGGTTGTTTTTTTGTTTGTTTTTTTTTTTGCTGTAGCTAGGCTGTGTCGGTTGCATTTCAACATCTATTCACTCTACATGCAATAACATTAGATAAAGTTGTCATTTTTCGTACTTGTTTGAGGACGTTCCGTCGTTTTCGATGCATTGTGATTTAAGCTTTGCATACTGTTTTAAGAAGGCCATGCAGAAAATAATTTTAATCAATTTTTTTTGATAGAGATAAATATAGTTAATTCAAACCAGAATCAATACAGCTTGTAGGCATATCAGAAATACATGCAGGTATATTATAACGAAACATTTTATAAACAATCGGAGGCAAGTCTACAAGCATTAGGTGTAAACCTCTTATATCTTAGGGGCGTCAGCCCCCGATCATATGAGAGCATTACATCTGATTTACATAGAAGTAATAAATAAACATTATATTTCATCTTTTCTCTTATTCTAAGCCGAAATTAGTTTTTGTAATCATCTAAAATATTCCAGATGCAGTGGTACTGTCAGAGGATGTTTTGAATTGTAGTTATGGTTTAAGAATGAAAGCTTAATTGCGTCTATTTTTCTGTCATCAAATCTATACATTATCAATGCTTTTGTATCATAGCATGAATCGCTGTACTATCTTGTCTTTTTCTGGTTTAATTGCCAAAATCTGAACTTTTTGCTGATAAATGATAACACTTCTATGTAAATATACTTACTCCTGTTCAGATTCTGAATTTCCCATAAAAAATGCAAGTCCACTTCAAATTATCTCATCTATATACTTATATATATAAAGTCCTTCAATTATTTACACTTATATGCACTTCAATGCTATTCTCGTAGTGTAAAGAAATCATTTAAGAAAAGAATGCCAACATTGAATGAATAAGTAATTATCTTTTACAAGTGATCCGAGGCGTGGTAAATAAAAAGTGTACATTTATAACTTTAAATGTTAGCTCAACTGGATAGTCAAAAATACGATTTAATATACGATATTGTAAAAGTAGCCTTCAACTTTGGCATTGTTCGTTAGAAGAAATAAACGGGATCGATAAATTTCATCTCATGGCCATGCCTGATTTCTGAAAATCACAAAGCTGTATGTTATCCCAATGAATAGCTTTTTTTCTGCCTTTGAAACTATATATTTAAGAGCATATATATATATATATATATATATCGATAGTCCCAGTTAATATAACAGGCACTGTTGATTGTAGTATTTTGATGGTTTACTGTCACCAAAGAGTTGTATAAACCGCAGTTTATATAGCATACACTAGTCAATTGTTTTGTTGATTTAAAGCACTTTGTTATATTGTCTTTTGTAGAACTCTGTCAGATAAACAAACCAAATGGGGAATTAATCCGTAAGTGCATTTCTGAAAATGAAAGTGGCATCTAACCTCTTTTTGATGTAGTGCAAGATTATCAACAATATTTCATTTCTACACTTGAAAAATTCATCTCTTTTTTTTTTGTTAAACATAAACGCATCAAATATGTCAAACTTATATGTTACACCAGACACGTGTTTCGTCTATATATAAGACTCATTTCATTTCATTTAAACATATTTTATTTGTCATTACATATAACAAAAAGGATCAGACACAAGTTATCACAACTTAGATAGTCCTCTCCTAAATATAATAAGTTATAATATATAAATATAAAGACATGCAACAGCATATAAGACTCGTCATTGGCTATCGAATAAAAAATTGAAAGGCCATATCAAACACGAACTTGTAAAGTAATGCAAGCCAAAAATTCCGTAAAACTTTTGTAAAATACGGCAAAGGCCATCTATGCCTGAGGGTCAAATAAACTTAGTGTTTCTAGTAATTTAAACTTTGAAGTTTAATTATAAACATCAAATTTAGTGAAAATTACCATATAGCAATGATATTTCATGTCAACAATGATTGACTACTGAGCTGGTAATACCCAAGGGGACGAAACGTCAAACAGCAATACCCAAGGGGACGAAACGTCCACCAGCTATACCCAAGGGGACGAAACGTCAAACAGCAATACTCAAGGGGACGAAACGTCCACCAGCTATACCCAAGGGGACGAAACGTCCACCAGAAATAAACAAAAGTAAATTCTTCCAATGAGTGCATTCACGGGAGATCTGTTTTAACAAAGCATTCGTCTATTCGCTCATACATTTCTTGCTTTTCTGTGGTAGGCATAATAAGTGCCGTCACTAGATCCGTGCCTTTTCAGTTGAAATATTGAAATCTTCTCGTCAGTCACCTTCGACATGGTTGTTGATGGTGTCAATTTTGTTAAGGTATCTTCTTCACTCTTCTAGTCCTTCATAGGCTTCATATTGGTGAACTATTTGTTATTGGACGTTTAGAAAACAGTAGTCATTTTGATAAGTCCGGAATGATTCAGATCCGGTCAATATTATAAAAAGGAGCTATCCATCCCTCACCTAACAAATGTTTCTGATCTTATTGTCAGTCTTTTATACAGCTGCTCCATGAGTGCACGATAGACAAAGCCCATACCATTCGTAATAATTCCTGTCCTTAAAAGGATCTCAACTTTTATCAAATTTTTAAGTTTATATATTACGTACTCTAATGATGGAAAAATATTATTTTGTATAAAATCTGACTATAATGCACCGGCGTGCCGTAAATCTGGAAAATCAAAAGGTATTAAATTAAACACAAACATATAAATGGTCATATATCATTAAGAATAAAAAGGGGGTAGATAATTGTGTGAAATCAAAAGGATAAGTAACAGTTTTTTTTTAAAGAGAGTTTGCTTTCGTCACCCATCTTATATAAAACTTGTTGTCCTGATCAGTTGTGATGGTAACAGTTTCTATCTATCTGCTTTCGTTTTAAAACAAGTACCTTACCGGAGTCTGTATAGCTCATCTACGTAAAACAGACAATAACCCAATAAGGGAGCTACCATTTGATTTTTAGGGGGGGGCTAGGATGAAATTTGAAAAAAATAGGCAGGACAGGAGTTTTGAGTAAAAAAAAAGGCAGAATGACACACTTGCAAAAAAAAAAGTCGGGATAAACTTTTAAAAAAACAGGGAGGACAGGGATTACAACTAAAAAAATGCAGGACAAAATTTTTCGTCCTATCCCCCCATAAAAATCAAATGGTAGCTCCCTAATAGAGGAACAAATTTTTCATGGTAAATAGATCTTGGCGTGCAGATCAATTTTGCAATTGTATTTAACCTAGCTACTACAATAACCAGGAGCAATAACTCAAAAACGGGTTGGAAGATCTTTCTCCTATTTTCATGGTATATTCTTCTTTTTGAGCTGGTCATGTTTACATTTACACAATTTTGATACCGTAGTTTCAGGTTCTTGATATAAACCCAAAACAAATAATATAAAGCAAGAGTGGACACACTGAAATGTCTAGCCAGCTTAACTGATCATGATTGAATTGTGTGATCATCGTCTTAAAGATCAGTGTTTTACTACGTTCATCACATGAAATTAATATTAATATCCACGAAAAGAAGGTTAAGGTTATATGAAAACCCACAAGACAGACATGTATATCTTATGGTAATTCCATACAAATGTAGTTGACATATTGCTTATAGCATCTGAAAAACAGACACAACCTCAACATTGACCAATGAACCCTGCCGTGCAGACATGTACACCTGACAGTCATTCCACATATTGACTACAGTTTAACTACTGCTTATAGTATCTAAGAAACTTTGACAAAATCACAACAGTTCAACATTGACCAATGTATCATGAAAATGAGGTCAAGGTCACCTGAACCCAATCAGTTTTTGTCAAGCCTTCGACTTTTGTCGAAAAAGCGAGACATAGCGATCCTACATTGCGTCGGCGTCGTCCACAAATATTCAATCTGTGGTTAAAGTTTTTAAAATTTTAATAACTTTCTCAAACTATCCTGGATTTCTACCAAACTTGGACAGAAGCTTGTTTATGATCATAAGATAGTATCCAGAAGTAAATCTAAAAAAAAAAATCCTGTTTTTCCATATTTTATTTATCAATGGACTTAGTTTTTCTGCCAGGAAACATTACATTCACTCTGTGGTAAAAGTTTTTAAAATTTTAATAACTTTCTTAAACTATCCTGGATTTGTACCAAACATGGACAGAAGTTTGTTTATGATCAAAAGCTAGTATCTAGAAGGAAATGTTTGTACTCGTTTATCCATATTTTACTTATAAATGGACTTAGTTTTTCTTCCAGTTAACATTACATACAGACTGCAGTTAAATTTTTTAAAACTTCAGATTCATAAACTCTCCTGGATTTTTACCAAACTTGGACAGAAGCTTCTTACAATAAAAAAAATGTATCGAGAGGAATATTTTATTAAATTTTTTCCTCATCACATTTTTGTTGAGCCTGCGATTAACAGCAAAAGTAGGCGAGACACTGGGTTCCGCGGAACCCTTACGAATTTTTAACCTTACAATCATTCCACAAACCAAATATAGTTGACCTACTGCGTAATCGATAGTGATACATGGAATGAGGTCAACATGGTCAAGCAAGATGAAACTGTCTGACGAACATGTATAACTTGCAACGATTTTTAAACTAAATACAGTGATCCTACTACTCATAATAACTGAAACAAGAGTGGGACATAGGAACTCTGTTCTTTCATTGAAATAAAGACCAAAAACAATAAAAAAAAAACTTGATATTGATCAATGAACCATGAAATTGAAGTCAAGGACACCTGATACCTGCCAGACAGACATGTACACCTTACAATCATTCCATATACCAAATATAGTTGACCTATTACTTATATTACTTGAAAAACAGACCAAAAACTCAATATCATAACACTGACAAATGAACCAAGAAACTAAGGTCAAGGTCAGACGACATGCATCACTGACAATCATTCCATACACCAAATATAGTTGACCTATGACTTCTAGTACTTGAAAAAAGGTCTTAGCATTGACCATTGAACCATGAAAACAAGGTCAAGGTCAGATGATATATGCAAGACAGACATGTACACCTTATAATCATTCCCTACACCAAATATAGTTAACCGATTGCTTATAGAACTTGCAAAACACACCAAAACACAAAAACTTAAACCGATTGCTTATAGAACTTGCAAAACACACCAAAACACAAAAACTTAACATTGACCAATGAACCATGAAAATAAGGTCAATGTCAGATGAAACCTGCCAGATTGACATGTAGCGCTATCAATCATCATTATACACAACATATAGTTGACCTACAACTTGTCCATGAAAAGAGGTCGAGGTCAGGTGAACCCTGTCTGACAGACATGTAGACATTGCAAGGAACCCATATACCAAATATAGTTATCCAATTACTCATAACAAGGATTTGGATTTGTATAGTACTATACAAATCCTTGTCCTTAACAAGTGAGAAATTCACGATACATAAAAACTTTAATTTTATTTTAAGCAGTTGCTGAACCATGAAAATGAGGTCAAGGACAATGGACATATGACAGACGGAAACTTCGTAACATAAGGTAACTGCATACAAGGCCTAAGGCATCCAGGTCTTTTACCTTCTGAAATATAAAGCTTTATACAAAGATTACGCCGCCGCCTGAAAGTAATCCCCAAGTCAAGCATACTGTGACTAGCAGGCGAGACAAAATCCACTTGCTGAAAAAATTAAGTTGTAGGTTTATGCAGTCGCTCTTCTTACAATGTGGAAATGGAGTGTCGAGATCTAGCAAAGGATTCTAATTGCCTTTGAGAGTCTTGAACTTTCAACTCCCTCAACAGTTGACCCTAATGGATTTGGTTAATATTTTGCACCCAATAGCATCCTGTTTCGGAATTTATACATCCTTGGGTTACCCTTTATAGATATAAGACTTATTGATGAATATATATCAAGAATGCACTTTGGACGCAACAAATTTCTTTACTTTTTTTCCATAAAATTACTTCTTTTGCTGTGTGTTAAACACCTCACTGTGATTCTCAATTAAGAACGGCAATTAAAGGTCAATTTGATATTTTAGGAGACATGAATCAATACACAACACAAGTTTGCCTCTATGTGGTATACATTATCACATTCAACCCAAAGGAAACTGAAAAGATGCAGCTTTTTTCTACTGGATATCTTGAATTACAACCATCAATCAACAATTTATAAACGAGATGAATTAAATTTTCCTATTTTGAATATCCCAATTTCTGAGTAGCAATATTCCAGCAGACATATTCAAGGAGCATCCATTTGCTAGTTAATAATTTATTCCAAGATGTGCATTTCCTTTTAAAACTTCCTCGACATTAGTAAATTTGAGGTCAACCTGCAGTTTTATGGGCGACATCAGTCTTTTATGAATTATCTGCATCACATATAACCACTTGTCATTATGATGTTTGTTTTTAGGTGTTGGAACTGATGGCGCAAATTTCAAACTCTGGACTACACACAACTTAAGGAATGAAAACTACTCTTGGTCATAATGGTATAAACAAGACAATTTACGATCCTTTAAATACATAACCAGATGTCGTACCATTGTGTCATCTTATTGTGTAAATATCCCATGGAGAAAACTAGTGGAACTCAGCAGTTACCAATTTATTAGAGCTAGAACCACAAAGGTATTCACGAACACAAAATTAATGTCTTAACTTCCAACAGAGATTGGGTTATCAAGAATTTGTCAAAATTGAAACTCTCTAGAGACAGGATTTTCTACCCCAGGTAGCTGTATTTGGGCAAAACCTTTTGAATTTTACGGCCCTCAAAGTTGTTTTCAACAGCACTTGTAGACAAAACACACATCTGGCGTAAAAAAAGCCTGGCATCTATGAAGATTTTATTCAAATCTTTATGTTTGATCGTTGAAAATGATCTAAGATAAATATTTTACTCATGCAGCTTCAAATCCTGTTTTTTGACAGGTGGTAAGTACATGAGATAAGATTTTCAACAGCACATATTACTTGGATTTTGTTGTCAGTTTAAGTTTATTTTTGAGGTATTGCGATTACATTTAAAAACATTGTTTTGTATTTCAGAACAAATAGCACATTTAAATATAAGTTTAGAAATGTAGTGAACATTGTAGTGAACATTTCTCCTGAATGATTTGTGCAGCAACTGCAAATATCAAGAAGGAAACGTTTTTTACACGAACTATTACACTTGCCATCAAAGAAATTTGCTTTACAATATAAAACTATATAAAGTTTTTTGCTGTTGTAAATACCAATGGACCCGAATCACTTGCATTTGAGTTTTGAAAGTTGTACATCGATGGTTTATAGAAAAGTATTTTTGTAGGCCTCTGCGACTTTTGTGTGTATATATATTGGTGAAAATTATGACATATGTGCAAAGGCAACTTCCTTTGGTAATTTAGGAGAGTAGATTTGGCTCCACTTTGTTGTCATTTTTGTCCCTCTGTATATATTAAAGGCTGTGTCAGAATTAAATGCATGGGAGGTTGTATTTTTTAAACCCAACAACCCATAAAATATAAATTTTTATTTTACTAATAAATCTAACAAAATTCTAAGGTACTAAATACAACCAGTCGACCACCCATTTTTTAAAATTATTTTAATGCCTCCTGTCCCTACACAATAAACTGAATATATCACAAAGGTTTTCTAAATATTTGACAATTTCTTGCACCTAACCCATATGCTCTATTCAAAACCATAGAACCAAAATAAAATTCAAATATCCAAGAATCTACTATGATTGCATATCATTTAAATTGATTTCAGAGATTTTTGGAAAAGTTCAGATGATAGATGCCAAGTGATAGCAAAAGCTCATACTAAATTGTATCCACTGAAACTCAAAAGATACCAATAAATGCATACAAAACAAATGTTGACCAGAGAATAATATTTATTGTCTTGTTTACTGTTGCTGTTCTGTTGGCATGTTCCTGATGATATCTGAATCTCCTACAAATAGAAATAACGAGATGTATAATGTAGGTCAGTAAATTGTAAAACAATTCAAGTTTGATTATATATATTTAATATACAATTGAACAATAATTTATGGTAACAAAGTTAAATCTGGAACATTTAACAATGCATCTAAACTCGGACAATTTTGACCTCAACGTATTGCACGGACACTTGTCTGTTGCTGAATACTGTATGATAACATCCATATTATCTTTTTGTCTCCTTGTTGGGTTGCTGTCTCATTGATCTGTGTATACCACACATCTCGTTCTATTCAGGCTAACAATAAGACAAAATATATTGTTTTATTTTTAACTCCCCCCTAAACCCTTCATTAGGAAAGTTGATACTGAACTAAACAATTTGTAAAATTAAAACTAGTCCCAACTCCAGCACCCAATGACTGAACAACAGATCGTAAACAATGAGTTGAAAAACTATAAAGTTTTCATTTTTTATTTCGTTGCTATGGCAATACAAATCTAAATTTGAAATTCCTTTGACACAACTTTTGGAGTAATTATAACTTGTTTTTTTAGTTTAATGTTGCCATAGATATATAAACCTGGATATTTGATTTATATAGAACATACTCCAAAGTACTAACCACAGGAAGTACCCAGTTTTATTGTTACAATGGTATCACTAACCTGGATCTGTGATTCCTAGAGTACACACTCTGAAGTATTTACCACAGGCAGTACCCAATTCAATATTATTTCCTGTGTAATGATGGACACCTGTTTTGGCCAACATAGCATAGTATTCTATCTCACTTTTCCTGTAAACACAATTAGAAAGATTTAGTTTTAAGATAAAAATAATATTTATTTCTTGGTTAAAAAATTTAAGTTGCAATATAAATATATACATTGTTATAAGTATACAGCTACTAAGACTTTCTGTTTGTAATTAAATTTTAAGTTGATAGTCTTAGTTCAGCATATTCATGTATATAGTTGACATATTGTTTATAGAGAAACAGACCAAAGTATTATATCTAATTATTAACCATTGAACCATAAAAATAAGGTCATGGTCAAATTACCTGCATACTTTTCAAACAATCTTTATTTAAAAGGACATATTAATTGTAAATCCTGTATCACATCATTTACAACTAGGCCTCAAAACTATCTGTCCAACCAAACCTTAAAACCTATTTTGTTAGATAAGTCTAGGTATAAATAAACTAAGGCTGTATAGTAAATTTGAAAACTGCCAGTTATTTTTTTCTGAATTAAACCTTTGATTTGCTTACCATTATGAGGTTTACACACTTGGCTTGTCCTAGGTAAAGACATCTGAGTCATACAGCTGTTTCATATTAACAAGCTTTGAACAGAAAAGAAAACATCTGAAAGATCATGAATCCATCTTCACCATTTCAAATAATGGCTCCGGATTCAATCTCTATCAGTACACAAGTCTATTTAAACTGAGCTTGTGCAAAATTTCCTTCCTTTTTCATATAAATATATCTGTTGGAGTTTTAACCTTACAACTTTGTATCTTTCCCTTAGATTTTCAAGATCGGTTCTTTCTGAGTCGTGCCATTATTTAAAAAAAATTAAATCCAATTCTATTTAAATGAGTACAAGGGAGACAATCAACCAGAAATCTTTTCTTGTAGGCATAAATATTAATTTTTCTGGTCATATTCAATACAAAAAAAAACCTGAAAGCCAAGGTGATGCACATTTCTTTGTGATATAATCTTACAAGGGTTTGGCCTGCTTTTAAATGAAATCATAAGAGAAACTATACATGACGACTTACATTGTTTCTTAAACCTTAGATCTTTATATACCAGATGAGTTCCACATTATCAATGGAACCATTCTTTAGCTTTTAAATAGGCATGTCATTTGGCCTTTAAAAATTGAAAAGTTCCAAAAAATAAATTTTCATTTCAACAACTGCCTTCAATGGCCCCTTATTCATAAAATTCAGATAAAAAGAATGCCTACACATATCAATTTCTATAGAAAAGAGGACTAGGGGAGTTTCCCTTATTATGTTTAGACAGGTAATAATATTAACACAAATATACTGTGGATTCTTTATTTCGTGGAAATTTGATTTTGTCGTTTGGAAAAATCTGCAGCATATAGAAAATGTGTACTCAGTTGAACATTTAAATTCCTTGTTTAGCTTTACTTACAAAATCCACCAAATTTGTATCCCACGAATAATGAATAAACAGTATGTCTTCAAACCTAAATAATAATAGAGTGCAATGATCCATTAACTACATACCTTAATGGAGGGGTGTTGTTAGCAATGATCACCAGTTTAGCTTTGCCTTGACGGAGGGTCTTGAGGGTTTGTTTGTAACCAAGTACAAACTTACCACTCTTCATAACAAGACCAAGTCGAGAATTGATGTTCTCAATGTTCTTTTTCTGTAATGAAAACATTTACATTCTTATTTTCTACTTTGGTTTTGGACATATAGCACTCCATTATATACCCCACTTCTGAACCATTTTTTGACAAGCAGTATTCATGATGTTTATTTAGAAACTACCATCAACCAGCAAATATAATATCTTTTACTTTAGAAATAATATAAAAGGTATGATTAGTATGAACCTCCACTTGAGCAACAGGACAGGTCCCATACCTGGAGCAGGATATGCCTGACCTTCTGTAGAACCTGATATGATTAGTATGAACTTCACTTGAGCAACAGGGCAGGTCCCATACCTGGAGCTGGATATGCCTGACCTTCTGTAGAACCTGATATGATTAGTATGAACTTCACTTGAGCAACAGGGCAGGTCCCATACCTGGAGCTGGATATGCCTGACCTTCTGTAGAACCTGATATGATTAGTATGAACCTCCACTTGAGCAACAGGGCAGGTCCCATACCTGGAGCTGGATATGCCTGACCTTCTGTAGAACCTGATATGATTAGTATGAACTTCACTTGAGCAACAGGGCAGGTCCCATACCTGGAGCTGGATATGCCTGACCTTCTGTAGAACCTGATATGATTAGTATGAACCTCCACTTGAGCAACAGGGCAGGTCCCATACCTGGAGCTGGATATGCCTGACCTTCTGTAGAACCTGATATGATTAGTATGAACCTCCACTTGAGCAACAGGGCAGGTCCCATACCTGGAGCTGGATATGCCTGACCTTCTGTAGAACCTGATATGATTAGTATGAACTTCACTTGAGCAACAGGGTACCGTAGAAAGGCTTGTATAGTCCGCGGTTTTATTCTCCAAAATTGGACCTTCCAGACGGGGTGCGGACTATAGAGTACAATAAGCAAGAAATAAGAGAAAAATTTCAATTTCGCGGTCGAAGTTTGTTTACGCTCCGCCATCTTTGTTATTTCTATTGTAGAGGGCGCTCTTATCATTTTTCAAACTAATAATTTGAACTCATCCATATTAATAAGTTATTTCTATTCAATATCAAATTAATACTGATAAATATAAAAACTAAACCTTTCATTACAAATTTCTCGTTTCTTTTCAATGCATTGGTTGAAATAAACTGGTATCTGCTTGGTTGAAACGATACAAACATAGTGAAAAAGACAACCGTAAACCAGCTTAGAATTTGTAAACTACAAAACGTAATCGGTTATTGTTCGTTCCGTTTTGGTGTTTCATACTGACTAATATGGTTTGTATTAGCTTAAGACCCTTCAAACATTAATGTGATAGATATATTAAAGACTGTTTTACAAAAGGATCGAACTGTTTTACTTTCAAAGTCGTATTATAGTGATATCTGTTATGTACGGATTTCGACTCTCACCGGTTAATTTCTTCTTTTACACGTGCTTTTTAAACTTCCTGTTTAAACATACACAAATTTCTAAATTGTTTTTTAAGTGAATGAAACTTATTTTAACAATCATGAAGCGTTCTAGAATCATTTACAAGCAGTTTCAGCTTCTGTTTGATGATGGAAAACAGGTTTTTCCAAGAAAATACCGCAAACGACCGCACAGAATTTGAAATTACCGGAGTTTCATTAGACCTTTTCTAACAGTTACAAAAAGTTTTTTTACCTAAAATTTCGTGGGGAGAAGGGGGTGCGGACTATGTACCACTGCGAACTATACAAGCCTTTCTACGGTAGGTCCCATACCTGGAGCTGGATATGCCTGACCTTCTGTAGAACCTGATATGATTAGTATGAACCTCCACTTGAGCAACAGGGCAGGTCCCATACCTGGAGCTGGATATGCCTGACCTTCCGTAGAACCTGATTACAGTCAGAATTTGTGGTGGGTTTTGTGTTGCTCAGCGCCATCTTAATAGTATCTTGGGTATTGTTTTGTAGATTGTTGTCTTTTTCATTTTATTTTTTTGTCATGATTTTGCTATCATCATTTCAACTTACGGTTTTCTTTTGTGGTGCCATTTTTTCTTCTTTGGATGAAGTCTGTCAAAAATCACTACAAAAAAGAAAATTTATTACTAACAAAAGTAAAACATGCCTCATAAAAACAGTTTTATTGTGAACCTCGGTCAAACTGAAAAATAATTGCTAATTTTTCATGTTTTTTTAAAAGTAAGCAAAATTTCCAGCAGTTGTAAACGAGTTACTTTACTTATTTTATATTTATGTTTGATACTTTTGTGAATTACTCACTTTGTATTTGTTTGGCCATTTGTATATCAAAATTGTTGTTCCCTAACCCAGGATAAAGGGGGGGTTCCAACTATGTCCCCATTCAAATGCATTGATCTATTGATCCCCCCCCTGGATCCGCCACTGACCCCATTTCCAATGTTTTGCGCACATATAAAGAAATACGCAGGTGTTTTTGAAAGATTTTGGCAATTATGCAAGATTTATATGAAACGCATGTGCAGTCATAAAATATTTGTTAGAAAAATTGTATAGGCATGATCTCTCAAGCTAATTCATGTAATTGCAAACAATTGTTTTTATAATGAGGGGCCGGATGGGTTATTTTCGTTCTTTGTGATCGGCGCATTTTCGCTATCGTGATTCGTTTTTCTACAGATTTTTTTTTTTTTATATTTTCGTGATCCGTGATCATGGAAATTTATTTTCTGTGAATCGTGATTGACAAAAAAATCAACTTGTGAATCGTGATGAGACCCCCCCCCCCCATCAGGCCCCTCTATAATATACAAGGATAATAAGGAATGGTCATATCATACATAGTGGCGAAAATGTGTCCCCCATGATACAAGAACAACTTGATTTCCTCTCGAGTTTGCGTTCATTTTCAAAACATTTAACCAATGTTTTGAAGAGAATTCTTTTATCAAACATTTTTTTTTCATATAGTAAACTTGCTGAAACCTACATAAAGTTTGAAATATTCGAATGTAGGTGGAAATGAACGAATTTTGCGGCGAATATGCGTCACCCACTCTACCTTTATGAACCTAGTGCCGTAGTGGTTGTCTAATTGTGGATATATTTTCTACATCTTTTTGCTGAGACGGCTACCTGCACAAAAATTTTAAATAGTCTTTCAAGACGTCATAGTTATTAGGACTACCATGCTACTACTACTATTGCTAGAAATAGCAAAAAAGGCACATACAAAAAAGGGGAAGTCACAGCCGTCAGAAAAAAAAATGGACTAGAAAGTACAAATGAAAGGCCGTAAAAAATGAGCACGATCACCAAGGGTCACCTATAAACTCGTCAAAAAGAGAATGATTCCATTAAGGTTTTTTTTTGTCCTTTAATAAGAAATATATTATTATTAACTTAATTAAGTATTTCAATATCATTTTTTTAAACCCAGGAAAAATGACTCCATATGCCAGTTTTACTAAAAATAATTCATCTTGTTTTATATATTGTTGAGGTTGTGCAATAATATCAACATTTTCCATTTTAACAGTTCTAACGGAACACGTCTTTACCTTGCGACCACGAGGTTGAAAAGGATAGTTTCCCGTGATGCGTGTGAAATTTTCGATTTCCGGAAGAAATTTTAAGTTTTCTCCCTTGACTGTCGGGTTTGTGCAGCGTTACAACAGGAAACGACAATAATTACGACTGAAGAGTCAGTCTACATTCCAGCGATGGCGGCGAAGGCCTAAAATTGGTGTCTTCACGTTTTCTTTAATATTTAGCAGAGCTTTAGAGTTTTAAGTTGTCACAATGTTTGTGTATCTGAGCAAGAAGGTGAATACTTTTTATTGACCTAGAAAAAACGTTTGTTACCAGAACTGAAAACATTTCGTCAGGGAAAATCTTATTGGTTGCCAATGAAGCTTTTATAAATACTAAAATAGTTTAAAGATAAAACAATCTTTTCAATAAAAGTCCCAGAACTAAGAGAGAAAATTTTAAATGTGATGTAAATAGATATCAAATAAGATAAGATTTTTTTGTATTTGAACTTATCCAACACCGGCAACAGGCTAAATAGTAAATGAAGATGTATAATCTGCTGTAGTATAAAATTTGATAATTTTTAGACATTTACAAATCTCTGAATTCAGTTTGTCCAGTAAGGAATCCATGACAACTAACCCCACTTTTTCACCAACTCGCCCTACTTATGAAAAAGGGTAAACTCATGTTGAATTTAGTCCTGCCAACTCGCCCCTTTTATGAACATTTGATGAAAAAGGGTAAAATCCCGTTGAATTTGGCCCTGACAACTCGCCCCACTTATAAAAGAGTAAAAGCCCGCCAACTCGCCCCACTAATGAAAAAAAGAATTAAGCTGTACTGAATTAAGCAACTTGCCCCACTTATAAAAAGCATCATCATGAGCATTGATTTTCAATCAGAATCATGTATTATTTTTTATTTTCATTTGTATTATTATTGGTTTTTTTTATTGTTATTTTAGCAGTACAGTTGGTGAGATTGTGTAGATTAAACTATCTTTCATAAGTGGGGCGAGTTGGCATGACTAAATTCCTAGGGATTTTTTCCCTTTTTCATAAGTGGGGCGAGTTGATGGAAAAGTTGGGCAATTTGGTCTGGGGCGAGTTGTCTTGCTTCCTCCGGTAAGTCTTTTGTTCACTTAAATGAAAGGACTTACCGGATGAAAGAAATTGCACGTAAGTACACTCATACAGGTGTAATGATATCAATCGAATGCAAGTTATTGAGTTACCTGGTCGATTTGTAACTCAGACGTTTCGTACCTGTTGTAACAATTTACATGTTCATACTGACTTTGATTGCCCACGAAAAAGTAATGTCAACAAGAAATAATTATTGTTAACTAATTGCATTAATTAAATGTATTTCCAAACAGGAACACAATTTCATAAATATTTTATATGCAGTTCAGAAGGTGGTACTTTAAGTAGAAAAGAGGCATGTAATCAGGTCAAAGTAGATACAAGTGATTGTTAGGGTAAAGGTTGTTTCTTGCCTAGCCGATGTGTAACTAGGTACTTTCATAACTGACATATTTTGTAACTGTTGTAATAATATGTGATTATATGAGTTTTAGGTTAGGGGAGAATTGTAGAATAAATATTTGGATTATTGAATATTAAAAACACTTGATATGGAACTTATCACTACAGAAGAGTGAAAAATCAGGCTTTTATGTCAGTAAAAACGTCGAAACATAGGACAAAGAACTGACGGTTCTGAAAGTTAAAAGATATAATCGAGTAAATTAATATTCTTACGGAAGTCAAAGAGAACTTGAGTTAAAAAACATGCACACTTTAAATCTGCCAGTGCCAGTTAAATCTATAAACATGATCAAGTTTGTCAGTTAATTGAAAGTATAAATATGATAGTGCAAGTTGGGCATGATGTTTCAATATTCTTGTTTTACCCCTGTCCTGAACTTTGTACATACATGAAGTACACATTTTTTTGAGATTGATCCATAGCTTAAATATTGTTGGGCTAACAGACTTTGTTTTTGTTTTTTAGATTGCCATACCTAACAACACTAAGTTGAAATATGTTTCATGGAATAAAGATCAAGGATATATTGCATGTGGTGGTGAAGAAGGACTTCTTAAAGTCCTCAAGTTAGAAACTGCTTCAGGTATGTTTGGGGCTTCTTTAAGTCCTCAGCTACAGGTATATTTTGTACATGTACGTTGAAGACTTCTCACATTCCTCTTTAATCTAGAAACAGTTTCATGTATGTTGGGGGTCAGGCTTTAAATTAAGAATTGAATGCTTCTTTTTGTAAATTTATTGGGGTGTAAAAGGGTTGACCAAAGTACATTTTGTATGAAGCGTTTCATTCTAAAAATTCTAAAAATGTGCACACGGCCAACGCTTTTATAACCCTATAAAATTACTAAAAGTAGCAATCAATACTTAAAATTACATTTTTTTGCTACATGTAGGATCGTGAAAACATGATTTCTATCAACTTTTTCTTTATTTTACCTGTGCACTTTATTGTGGAAGCTCGTGTCATCGTGAATGTTACATTTCATTTTGAAATGAAGGTCAGAATGATGCAGATTTCTGTTAGCCAATCAAAATAGCGTATTATAATGAAACATACATGTAATGTAATTATTATTATTTGTTAAAATTGTAATCATTATGGAGAGGAAGGAAATGTTGACTTATCAAATGTGTGTTATATTTAGTTTATTTAACTCATATAGTCATACATAAAGTACATAAAAAAGATAACTGGTATTACACTAAATATTAAACAATACAACAGGCAACATCTGACTTCTTTGAAAAAATAGATGTGTAAACAGCAAATGGTCCAGATCTATATCGACTGAATTAGTATAGACACAAATTGTGGTGAGGTTAAGTCAGTTTTACATGTGCACAGACACCTTCCTTTGCTTATCTAGACCTTATCTTGTACAGCACAATAAAAAGTCTGCACAGTCCATCTAAATATATATACATGTATTAACCTTACATCGCTTAAAGCTATTTTCCTTTATGGAAAAACAAGACAATTCTTATATTTGGTTTATATTCTTTAAAAATATCATTTGTATAATTTTACTTTCAGGAAAAGATGCTAAAGTGAAAGGACTTGCAGCTCCAAGTAACCTGTCAATGAACCAGACACTGGAAGGACATAGTGGTAAGATAGTATTGTTAGACTTTTTTCTGTTAGCTATATATATAGCCTTTTAATGAATTGATAACTTTGAGGACTTTTTCTTTTAACTGAGTACATGTAATATAAAAATTTGGAACTAATTTCACTGCTAATTTTTTTTTATGCACCAATCAGATTCAAGTAAATCTCCATGAATATGCATAGAAAAATAAAGTGCATATTACTATACACAAAATTAAGGTTTTCAAGTAATAATTTTAAAGTTAGATTCAATATTCAAAATATTTAAACTTTTATTATAAACATAGTAATTAAATAGATGATTTTTACTATATACAAAATAATCCAAAACTCTGCTACATGTACATGCAATAAACTTCCTATGAATGAAACACTTACAGGACCCAACATGTAGTGTGTTCTGGTCCCAGTTTGGTATTCAAAGCTTGTGTTGTGGGGAGATATCAATTCTGATCACAATTCACATGTTCAGATGAAAAATCATGAAAACATTTATCTAAATCATGAACACTTTGAGGTAGTGTACCAAAATTAGGTTTTACTGAAGCATGCTTCTTAAAATGTATAACAAGAGACTTAAAAATTGTCCTCACTTTTGTTTGAGTTACATCAAGGGTATTTTCTAATACCATATGAAAAAACATTTGAATAAGTACTTCTTTAAGGATGAAATGATAAAATATTGAGAATAGGATTATTATTTCTGTATATATATTAAAGGTGCTGTTCAAGTTGTAACATGGAATGAACAATACCAAAAACTGACCACAAGTGACCAACATGGTCTTATTATTGTTTGGATGTTGTACAAAGGTCAGTATTATAAAAAAAAATAAAGAGATGTGGTATGATTGTCATTAAGATAACTATCCACCAGAGACCAAGGACGAGACTAAATTTCACTGTACGACCATTAACAGTAAGCAAAACCCATACCTTATAGTAAGCTATAAATCCTGACATGAAAAAAATGTGAAACAATTCAAAAGAGAAAACAAATGACCAGATTTGATATCAGTCTTATAATTGTTATATAGGATTTGCCTATTGTTTTTACATATATTTACAAATTATACAGATGCTGTTATATTGATATTCTACATTTTAGTAAAAAGAATGGATGAATCTTTTAACATTTAATTTTATCGACAGTATAAAGAATGAGAACATTCAAGCTAGCTTTGTCCTTGATAATACAGATTTTTTTTTACATGGTATGGCACAATGTATCAATCTACACTAAGATATCATCCTTGCCCCAGAAAACTGTACTCTTAATGGAATACAAAGATATATTAAAACGAAAAAATAAAATTTTGCAATTTATTCTGTAAATGTGAAAATTTTAGCTTAGTGGTTATTTTCCCTTATTTTGGGATTATGTTTTATGTGCTAAAATATCATTAAACAAATTGTTATTTAACGAGCGAACTTAACCCCTGCACAAAAAGTTTATTCATTGCAATCATGAATGTACCAATTTGAAAAATATATACGTTTTCAGTGCTTATGAACCTGTTAACTATTCAGTTTGTATTAAGTACATATCAATGTTGTTGTATTGTTATAGGAATGTGGTACGAGGAGATGATCAACAACAGGAATAAGTCTGTTGTACGTAGTATGGGATGGAACGCCGATGGACAGAAAATATGTATTGTTTATGAAGATGGTTGGTATACTTTATTATAATTATTAATAAACATAGGTTTCAACTCCTTCAGGCAAAGTTGACCTTAGATGGATTTAGCTATGTGTTTTTGGTCTCATATGGTCAAATTTCTCGTCATGTATGCAGATTTTTATGCATCATTGGTTTTCAAATTTTGGGTATGAGCATTCTTGATGAAGGTAAATCAGACAAGCACTCAGGACAGGCAAAATTAATAAAGTGTTATTTTGAATTCTTCAGAACATGAAGGGAATGTTATATTTAATTTAAGATCAACAATTAGAAAGTCATTACATTTCATACAGTTCATATTTATTTTCTTGTTACATGTTTTTTGTCACGGTTATAAACAGATAAGTTGAGATTGACTTTTCAGATTTTCTACAAACATATCTCGTGCAATTTAATATTTCTCCACTCTCTACAGTTGTATCACCGCTATAATTTATATGCAGGTGCCGTTATAGTTGGATCAGTAGATGGTAACAGGATATGGGGCAAAGAATTAAAAGGACAACAGTTAGCTCATGTTGCTGTAAGTACCATAATTAAAATGATTGTTGGGATCAATTTTAGTTCATATGGAGAGAAATTTAATAATACATATGTAACTATCTTAATTTTGTTCCTTTATTTAGAATGGTGAAAAACTAGAACTTTTCCTGTGTTGTTTATTTGCTTCAAATTCCAGATTTAGATCAAACTGAGAAAAGTTTCATCATTTGGGAATACAGAAAAATTGAGAAAGGAAACTGTGAAAATAAAAGCTCGCCGTCAGGATTTGCCATTAAAGTCATACAATTTAAACTCTGCAAAAACTTCCATTTTTCATTGTATTCACTATGAATCAAAGAAGATATGGATTATACATGTACGTCAATGAGGCAGCAATGACATATGTCAATACAAATCTATAGGTCAACATTAGCTTTTATGAATAAAAGGAGATGTTGAGTATACAATGAGATAGCAATCCAGTGAATGAAAAAAAGGTTTAGTCTTTGGGACCAGTTATAAATATGACAAACCTGATGTAATGGGAAGTGGAAATTGTCAATAGCTATTAGTCAAAACAATGTATAACAGTCTGCAGGCCATACTGTTAAATTAATTATCTTACGAGTCCACATTCATATAGAACAATCTCTAATGTTGGTAAGTTGAGTTTTATGTGCTATTTCTATTTCTGAATAAATTCTTGTAATTCAGTGGTCAGCTGATGGGAAGATTTTGTTGTTTGGTATGACAAATGGAGAGGTACATATTTATGACAACACTGGAAATTTCATTGTAAGTATATGGTTTGTTTTACTTTATATATTTTAGACACAGAATAAAAGAGCTTAATATTTTTTGCTTATCACAAAGCCCAAAACTGAGCTGAATAATTACAAATTTACATTGAATTTAGATAGAATTACTGTATTGCAATGACTCTTCATTATAGTCTGACAAGTAAATATAAAGTCATTTTATGTTTAACCAGGAATAAAATCTGACTTGTTCATTCATGTATATATTAATGACTGACTCGGTTCAGACACAATTCATGGTTTCCTTATCCAAGGTCATAGCTAATCAAGTACATGTGACTTAAGTTTATAGTATATTATTGTTTGTAAGTTTTCTAATGACATGACGATCTTGACTACTTTATAAGCTGAAGAAACTTCTACCATTATTACTGCACAAAAACAGCTATTGTTGGCAAAACATAATATGAGCTGAGTCAGATAGAAAAATAAATATTAATACATCTGTTATCCTGTTCGGGTTGAAAAGAATTTCTATGCAAAGTCTGTAACCGTTTGAAAATTGAATTTTTATAAGAACCCTGCAAAACAGAATAAAATTCATCTTTTATTTCGTATTTGAATGTTTCGAAATCAATCAAAGTCTTATACATGTACAGGTATGTGTGCACTTGCATACGGTCAATTTCTATCAGACGCAGCTCATGTATAAGTGTCCTTATGTAAATAATTTCTGTGCTTTTCACAGCTTGATTTCTCTTTTTTCAGTCTAAGGTACAGGTGTATTGCCTGTCTGGTGTGTCTGGTGCCCTACACATTGCAGGACTTCAATGGTACAATGGTGTACATGGATACGTAGAACCTAACTGTCCCAGTCTGGCCATCTGTTTTGATTCTGGTAGATGTCAGATCATGAGAAGTGAACTAGATGAAAGTAAGTCAACAATACATGGGACTGAGAATCATTAATCCGGGCAATTTGCCATTCCAATATTAAAATGTAGCCATACGGTTGCAGCATAATTGTTTATTCAAGGGAATATTTTGATACAAACATAAATCTAAAAAATCAGAAACGATAATAAAAAATAATTTTTTTATATATAGTATGGTAAATTTTACTAATTTTGCTTCATATTGTCCATGGAACATACCATAAATTCCAAAATTTTTGCATTCAATTATTATTGCGATTGTAAGGGCGGTTCCATAAAAACATATATGGGACCCAGGGAAGGCAACTTAAATTTGCCACTATGGGTGGGTTTGAAATAGTGTGTTTAACGGGTTTAAAAATTATGCAGGACTCTAAAATCGCTTCTGTGTGTGGTCACTCCGTTTTCAAAGTGCCTTCCCTGGGTACCATGTATGTTTTAATGGAACAGCCCTAAAACAATGTACAAAAATTCAAGATTAATTATCACAATTTCAGAAAATGTTCCATACAAATAATGCTTTCATAATTTATGATGTAACTTTTTAGTTTTTGCGAAACCTATCGTGTGGCAATTTTAACAATAATTAAAACCTCTAAACAAAATCTGAATTTACAGTAAAAAATTTTCACCTAAACTATGTGTACCTTGCATCCTACTATCATAAACTGTCCTGTTCACTATTGTTTATCCAATCAAAAGGTCAATGACAAGGGAGGTAATATGTCTTTTATATTTTAGATCCAGTACTGATAGACACTGGTATGCAGGTTCAACAGATAGCCTGGAACCATACTGGATCTGTGTTGGCAGTGGCTGGATCACAGAGAGCAATGGGACAAGATAAGGAGGTCAATGTGGTTCAGTTCTATGCTCCATTTGGTGAGGTAAATACAGTATGAATTTTGTACAGTAGTTTCCTCACTGAAGGCCTTGAGGAAGTAAATGTCACTTAGCACTAGAGTCAGTTTTAAGTATAAAATCCAGTATTTAAATTCAGCCTAAAAAATGGACATCAGTGGGTCTAGAGTAACAGTAAGTTCCCTTTGAATTTGGTTTTCTACAAATAAATGTGTAATCAATGGCAGATTAAGTGAGGATGTGAAAGGTGATGGCTTCACTTTGATGGAAATAGTATCATTGTGTGCAAATTTTAACGTGAAGTGTTGATTTAGACCACTTGAACCGAAGATAAATAATTTGAGTGTATAAAGCTGAAAAACTGAAAGTAGGACCCTATAAAATCAATATGTAGGAGAACCTAGTAATATTAAAGTGTTCTGAGAACATATTATATTTTATTTCAGCATTTGAGGACCCTGAAGGTACCTGGTAAACAGATAGCCTCATGTTCATGGGAAGGTGGAAGTTTACGTATAGCTTTAGCTGTCGACAGCTTTATTTACTTCGCTAATATTAGACCAGATTATAAGGTATTTTATAATTAAGAACTTCAAAAGATTTTATGATATTTATGTTCTAAAAATGGAACAGTTATTGTTTGTTTACACTTTTAATTTCAAGAATAGTGATAGTGATAGTGTTATTTTTTTTTTATTTGATTGAAAGGAGACATGGGGTAGTAAACATTAACAAAACAGCAAACCAACAACATTAAATGACCAAAATAGACAATTCTCAGTCACATCACAGTACAACATGGCATAAGTGGGCTTGAGGCTTGATTTGTTAAGAATTTACATGTGTTACCACAGCAATATCTGAAGGCTGTAGAAAGACTAAAAAATATGGGCCATAAGATATTACATAATAGTCATGGAGGTTGCCAGTAACCTATGAATGAAATTTTACAACAACAAAAATTTCTTACTGTTTTTATACGACCGCCAAAAAATTTTTGTGGTCGTATATTGGTATGATGTTGGCGTCGTCGTCCGAAGACACATTAGTTTTCGCACTCTAACTTTAGTTTAAGGGAATGGATCTCAATGAAATTTTACCATAAGGTTCAATACCACAAAAGGAAGGTGGGGATTGATTTTGGGGGTTATGGTACTAACAGTTAAGGAATTAGGGGCCAAAAAGGGGCCAAAAATAAGCATTTTTGTAACTTCCAGACATAACTTGTGTGTAAGTATATGGATCTCTCTGACATTGTACCACAAGGTTCCATATCACAAAGGGAATGCTGGGATTGATTTTGGAGGTAATTGCCTCCAAATTTTAGGAATTAGGGGCCAAAAAGGGGCAAAAAACAAGCATTTTTCTAGTTTCATGACAATAACTTGTGTGTAAGTGTATGGATCTCTCTGACATTGTATCACAAGGTTCCATATCACTAAGGGAATACTGGGATTGATTTTTGGGGGTAATTTCTTCCAAATTTTGGGAATTAGGGGCCAAAAAGGGGCAAAAAACAAGCATTTTTCTAGTTTCATGACAATAACTTGTTTGTAAGTGTATGGATCTTTATGAAATTGTACTACAAGGTTCCATATCACAAAGGGAAAGCTGGAATTGAGTTTGGGGGTAATTTCCCAAAAAGTTTAGGAATAAGGGGCCAAAAAGGGGCAAAAAATAAGCATTTTTCTAGTTTTCAGACAATAAATTGTGTTCAAGTGTATGGATCTTTCTGAAATTGTACTGCAAGATACCATACCACAAAGGGAAGGCTGGGATTAATTTTGGGGGTAATTCCCTCAAAATTTTAGTAATTAGGGGCTATAAAAGGGCAAAAAAACAAGCATTTTTCTAGTTTCAGGACAATAACTTGTGTGTAAGTGTATGGATCTTTATGAAATTGTACTGCAAGGTTCCATATCACAAAGGGAAAGCTGGGTTAGAGTTTGGGGGTAATTGCCCTAAACGTTTAGGAATTAGGGACCAAAAAGGGACCAAAAAACAAGCATTTTTCTAGTTTCCAGACAATAACTTGTGTTCAAGTGAATGGATCTCTCTAAAATTGTACTGCAAGGTATCATACCACAAAGGGAAAGCTGGGATTGAGTGTGGGGGTGATGAATCATAAGGGGGTTCAAAAAATTTGGTGGGGGGATTTTTTTTTCCTTTTTTTTCTTTAAAATTTTCCATTTAAAATGGTTATTTCTGATTTATATATAAAAGCAAATAATAATGATATGGTTTGAATAGCATACATGTGAACCTCTTGACAGGAGTACAATAATCCCGTTTTCAGGAGTCTCCTCCAGACCTCCTGTTGAAGAGGAAATAATCCCGTGTATGAAATTTTTCATGAATGAAAAATTTCTGCCCAACATATCATCTCAGGCATCTGGTGTAACTGACATTACCTGAAGTTATATTTTACCTGTAAATCAATTAACATGCATAATTATATGGCTTCACTTGTCAGCTTGGGTGTCAAACATACTGGTAATCAACAATTTTCCCACGGTTTATTCCTTGAATGCCAACATCCTTTGATCTACCGTCAATTTACCTGTAAAATTATGTTGGCGTTCGAGGAATAGGTGTAAGTAGTAATCACAACAAAAGTGCATGCTTATCAAAACAATCATACTAATTAAACAGATAGGTAAATTACAGGTAGCTAAATCTAGTTCATGTTTGTCAAGTTCTTGAAAATCAATATTTGCTGTTACTGCTTGAACAAATATGGATTCTCTTAAAATAAAACTTTGAAAAGTGTTGCATCACAAAGTCCATATGTGCATATTGTCAGGAATTCCAGTTTGCACAAATTTTACAATAGACTCTTTGGACTTTGATAGTTTTTTTTTTCTATAGTTTTTCTATAGTTGTTTGTGCTGTTATATCCTCCCATATTACTTGATGGAATTTTTTGAAACTTTGTATCTCGTGTTAGATTACTATGTTTTATTTTGTTCAGTTGTTCGGGATATTTTTCTTGGTTATAATATTACACCTTTTTTATTGTAAGTGATTCATAATATATTGTTTAGGTGTTATGTTTGCAACTCATCGGAATTCTTGTTACCCTATTTTATGGATTTTCTTGAATCTTTGTAGAGTTGTGGAAGATATTTTCATACTTTTTTCATATTATAAAAAGAAGAAATAAATCTATTTTGAATAATATATTATTTATTTGTACACAGTGCACACAGAAAACAATACATATGACATAAGCAAACATTTAGCAGATTGACAAAAAGCACTACATATGTGATCTGATAACAATTGTTGAATAGTTTATACAAGCACTTTTCACATTTAACGGTCTATTACAAGTGTAAAAGATACGATGCTGAGTCTGCAAACTGTACAGTTGTCATCTCTCTGTTGGCATGTCGCTGTTTCAGGTTACCCAGTCTGGTCTCAATTTCTCTGTATTTTCTTTTTCTGTTGATTCGTTTACCACCGGCGGCGTACTGCAGCATTTGACATCTGGAAGCAGCTTCCTGGCGTTGTAACAGCTCGATCAACTTGTAGATATTTGGGTGTGGAGTTTGGACGATTTTCTTGATCTTTGAGTGCCACCCCTCTAAGTTGTTGGTTGTTCTTGGTCCTACAGTGTTGTAATGGTTCCACAGATGACGGTTGCCTTCTACCCAGTACTCGGTCACGTAGTCAGTAAATCTTGCGGTGTTGATGTCTGTATCTGTATCCTCTAAGTCTTGGAGAGCTTGAAACCAGACGTCCTCTACCTCCTCAGTTGGTACCATTGGAAGAACTGCTGCTCTTCTCACCAGTCTGTGGATGTCCTCGTTGTTCGAATATGGAACTTGCAGGCCACACTCTTGAGTTTTCCGCCAGATACACTTGGTGTAGTGGAAAAAGCAACCTTTCTTGGTGATGCCAGGAAACACTGTAGAGGCTGCATTGTGTGCTGCTGTCTCGTAGTCAAGTACAATAGTCTCTGGTTGAAGTTGCAGTTGGTGTTGTTGACAGTAATCTTTAAGTAGTTGGAAGAAACGGATGTAGGTTGCCTGGTCTTTTCCTGGTAGTAACGCAAAGACGAGTGGGTACATAGCTCCATCCACAAAGCTGTGTAGGGTGTATAACTGGTAAAAAGTAGAGGGACAACTGTAAAATATCTAATCTCCTTTTTTTTAGTTTGAAATAATTGTATCTAACTAAAATTACTTTAATATGTCTTATGTTAATACACATTTCCATTCCCAAAATATCTTTCTATTTTAATAAAAAAGTAATAGAAATGTTTTAATTTATTGATTTCTTTAAAATTCATAATAATTTTAACCCCAAAATCTACTATTTTTTTTTTATCAAAAAGTGTTAACATGTTGCAATTAAATACTTATAAAAACATTTAAATAGTTATAAAAACACCTTTTGTTATTCTATAAACATCTATTGAAATATTTTTGTTGGCGTTCAAGGAATAGGTAACATATAAAATGTTGGCATTCGAGGAAGACACCTTTCCCACATGCAAATAACAATAGGTGTTTTGATAAATAATTTGTTTTTATAACAATCGAGGTTAATTAGAATTTCACCTAAGATTTACCTGTATTTTTTTTAAAACATAACATATTTGGTACACTATTTATGGATAATACCTTGTTTATTTCTTTTTTCATCGAAGAAATATTTGAAAATAAAGAATAATTATGATAAATAGATTGGAGTAAGATTTATTTTTAAATTTTTGAATTTGTAACCTTAAAGAATTGTCTGCTGTACAATTAAATCGTGATATAAATAATATTATAAGATTAACCAAGTATAATCTTAAGATGTGGAATAAAAGTATACTCTTAAAATATAATTACTTGGACCAATAATCAAAGATGTAAAATAATGGGTGAAAACTGTTAACTTTACTTCAAAGCATGAGCAATCAGATTTGATTAATTTTAATTGACTGAGTTAGAGATTGGTGATGCAGCCTCCCACCTTCTTCTCGTGGAATAGATTGATAAACTTTAATAGACTTGTATACAGTGATTGTCTAATGTATGTGCTACAATGTGTGATTTGATTTAGTGCTGTAGTAAAATTTGTGTTATATTATACTTGCTTGAATCTTCAGTTGAATTTATGTTATAAAAGAAATAAAATAATTTACTTATATTTGTTTTAATTTCTTTCATATTTATTTTGTTTAAAAAAAAACAGAATTCATACAAATGCAAAAATAACTTATTACCTGTCCTAATAAAAAAAAAAAAACACTGGTCAATTAACAGTTGATTAAAAATGTTTGTACAGTATAATCCTTTGTTTGCACAAGTTTTCCCCCTATTCCCACATGAAATATTAACTTTTCTTACCAGATTTATAAAAAGTGGGAATAGAGGGAATGAACCCTGCCGTTGTGTAACAAAAACTGTGTATTTATTGGGTTACTTCCCTTGATTTATCCTGTTTTAAGTTACTTTCCTTTTAATAATGAAAATTTTTAAAAGAATATAAATAAAATATAAATTGAACAAATAATCATAAAAGGATGGTAAATAAATGATTTTAAATGTCTTAGGACAAATAAAAAAATAATAATTTGAAAATTATTTGAGGATTCTATACTTCCTTTCAAGGCTTAAATTGAAATTTATATAATAACTATGACCCTTCTTCACAGTTAGAATGATTTTCTGAGTATGCAAACAAAAGCTATTTGCAGATAGTAAAACAAATGATCTGGTTGCAATGATTGTTTTATAGAATATGAAGTAAATAACTTAAAGAACATACTGAAACAAAAATGTTAGATTGAACATGTAGAATATAAAGATGGAGAAACTTTATAAGTACAAGGGTACTATAAACATAATAAATTGGATGGAAAGTTGAAGAAAACACACTTTAAAAGACCATTTTTACAGCACACGGTTACATTTACGACAAAATTTATGTCAATTAAAAACCTCCTGATCTGAGTCCTAATCTCCTGACCAAAATTTCCCAATCTCCTGATCTGAGTTTCACAGTCCATCACATGTATGAATAGGTAAATTAAAAAATTATAAGTTCTTAGACCACTTTCATTCTGTGTCAGAAACCTATGCTGTGTCAAATATTTCATTACAATCCAAATTCAGTGCTGTATCAAGCTTGAATGTTGTGTCCTTACTTGCCCCAACTGTTCAGGGTTCGACCTCTGCGGTCGTATCAAGCTGCGCCCCAGCGGAGCATTTTATTAAATTATATAAATGTGGAAATGTTGTCACAGACAATATTCAAATTCTTTTTCATCTATTGATGATTGTTTATTGGTTGTTTAATGTTGTATCATCAAATTTAATTTTAATATAATTTTTATTTTAATGGAATGATGAAATATGTCTTTTATGTATTTCAGTGGGGATATTGTTCTAACACTGTGGTGTATTCCTTCACCAAACCAGAGAGAGTTGAGCATTGTGTTATATTTTGGGATACCAAGAATGGAGAGGTAAAGATTATCTCCCCTGTAATGGCTGTGCCCATGAACAAAAAATTTGAAGCAGTACATTTTGAGCTATTTTAGAGTTTGCAGGGATCTAGTGTCTTAAAAAAGTTGTAGATGATTTAGTACCAATGATTTAACATAACTTTATACAAAAATATAATGTCTCACCAATATTTTAGAGTTTGAACACAACAGATTATTACATAACAAGTAATGAAGTAACTATTTATTTGTCTATAATATTATAAGAACCAAAGTATTTGGGGTTATTCATTATAAAAGTTTAACCAGTGGTAGTTAACAGCCATACAATGTTCAACACAATTGAAAACTACATGTACATGTAGTGCAGCAGTGCATTCACTGGTGTTGCTTTTGTAAATTAAATAAAACTATTTAAAAGTGGATTGTTTTTAATCCAACATGTCATCACAAGAACAGTTTGAGGAATTGAAGATTCTTATTGTGGGTGTTGATAATAATGGAGAGGTAACATAACAATTAGTATTACTGAATTTATTTTACCTGAGGTTGATGTGTTGTGGCCTTAACAAATATTAAGAGTCAACTATTTCATGCATTAGAAGCAATGTGGTTCAGGTTCTTATAATTTACATGAAAGGACAATTATTACAATGTGTACAAAAACTGATGGATAACTTCCTTTACATTATAATGACTTTTTATAAGATAAGAAAAATCTTTACAACAATATTTCAATATACTTTGTTATTTTGATTTCAGAAATATGTAAAGTATGTGAGAAATTTGATTGCTATAACTGCCTGTGGAGATTACTGTTGCTTAGCAACCAAAGCAGACGATTCAACCAACCAGGTTTGGTCTTTTTAAATATAGAATTTTGAAATTAATAGCTTGATATTGCATGTGAACCTCTATGTTGGTAGAATGGTACTTACTGTAAAATGCAGAAAAAGTAGAAATGTAATTGAGTAATTGAGTTAACTTACTATTTGAGATGTTGTTGATAAATTAGGATTAAACTTTGGTTAAGCTAAGGCTTACTTTGTTTTATAATTTAGGATATCATTTGAGATGTTTATGAATTACAAATTGAGTTAGAAGCTTGTACATGTATATGGTCATCCTCCTCGAAATGCTACATTTATATTTTATTTTTCTATAATTGTAACTAAATAACTGTAAGTTAAGTTTTTATTTTACAGTATGTATTAGTATTGTGTAATTCTATTGGAACTCCTCTAGACTCTAAGTATGTTGAGATTGATCCTGTTTATCTGACTATGACGAAGACCCACATCATAACAGGATCCAAAGAAGCCTTCTACACATGGCAGTTTAAAAATCCAAAGAAGTTATCTACCCTTGAAGTAGCAGGAAGGAGAAGGACTGGTACAGAAAGGTTAGAACAGTTTTCTCTAAAAAAAAATTATTTCTACCTTTTCTGACTATTAAAATTGTTTTTTAATTTAAGTAAGTTGTTGTTTCAATTTGGAGGTTGAAAAAGATGTATCATGTTTCAGTTAAAAGCTCTGTAGAGCTTATGATTTTTAGTTTAAAACTAAACCGAATCCAAATAAAGCTTTCGTAAAGTATTTCATATTTCGTATCATGTGACATTTTTCTATGCATCAGCCTAGGGACAAAAAAATCACAGGATGATAACTGTGTTCCTAAACCAAATGATAATGATTGTCTCCTCTGTTACAATAATGATGGTTGTCTCCCCTGTTACAATAATAATGATAATAATGATTGCCTCCCCTATTACAATAATGATAATAATAATGATTATCTCCTCTGTTACAGATTACACCATATAGATGAACAACCATCAGGAGGTGCAGCTCAAGATGAAGTAGATTTCTCAAAAGCTTTCCAGGTATTGTCAAGAATTTAGAATGTTGGGATGGATTACTTTATAGTGTATATACTTTTAGTATTCAATCAATATCCATAGATAAAAGCAATTCTTAGTAATTTTAATGTAGTTCTCTGAGGCAATTCTAAGTACTTACAATTCTTTTTTTGTATTCACTGAAGACTTAGGGAAACTAAATGTAGAATTTTTGTTATTTGTGGGGTTCTTATTTCCGTGGATACAGGTGAACCACAGTTCTAGTGTTTGATCAAACAAAAATTGTATAAGCTGGTATGCAGAATTTATCAAAATCGCAAAATCAAGTAAATCAAGAAATTGGTACTTATTATTATGAAATAACCTATGGTATCCATTCAAGAGAAAAAATGTAAGAATTTTTTTTATTCATGGCTTTTTCCTAATTTAAACTAAATATGACCAGTTATGTAACACAGAGTTTCTCGAAACATTTGGTCCATAAACAAATAGATTATTTTGCTGCTAAAAGTTAACAATCCTTTCAGACATAAGGGCATACACATCCTATTGACACTTTCTGATAAAGTATTATCAGAATTTACACTTTGGAATTTAATTTAATCTATAAATTCCTCAAAATTGTTTTTTCATCTAGCCTTTAAAATTATTCTTTGAAATAAATTTTACATATTAATATGAAATGTGTAGTCCCAATAACAGATTCAGCTCTATATAATGCATAAGCAAGAAATCAGATAACATTTTAAGTTATTAAACAGGGAAAAGAGCCGTGAATTTATAGTTGCATTTTTACAGCAAGATTTATTGCAGAACTCAATAAGAAATGTGTTTAAATTTTTTTGACAGTGAAACATAATTATTTTAATTTTTTTTGTCACTAGAGTTTCCGTCAGAAGACCCAGGTATCAACAGTATTCTGTTGTATTATTATTGTTCTCAACTTAATGAAATTAATGCTGTTCTAATTATTATCTGCATGCATTTCAGTAAAATAAGAAAAAAAGTTATGTTCCCAAATCTTCATGTTGCACCAAGTAAATTCCTTTCATTGAATCTTTATGTCTGTGACGACCAAAAATATAAGTGAGGTATTTCAGATGGAGATAATAAGAATTAATGTTGTTCTCATATTTTATACCTCATATTGTAATATCAAAAACACCCAATAGATAGATACGTGTGGGTTTATACAGTTGTTGTATTTGCACAGAGAAATGTTTATGAGTATTTGGTATTCATGATTGTTAATTTGTCAGTGTGTTTGAGATTTTAAACATGTACATGTATGTTCATTTTAACTAAATATTGTTTTTCATTGATTCTATTACTGCAAGAAAGTTAACTTTTTAAAACGAGTACACATTTAGAATGATAAGTATAGAATTACATTTAACATGAAAACCTGCAAATATTTACACTTAATAGTTCTAGCAAAAAATCAAATTAAATGTGCAAAGTATTTGTTCCAGAATTAAATGCATGGAGGGCATGGGAGGCACTTTTTTTTAGACCCCAACCACCCATGATAAAATATATTCATTTTACATATAATTCTTATAAAAATTCTAAGGAAAACGCAACCCCCCACAATCATTTAATTTGATTGCCTCTCACCATATCAATTTTGAAACAGCCCTTTTTACATATGTCATACATTGTCAATCACTATACAAATTGTATGTATATCTTAATGACTAATTTTTTTTTTCTGTTTTTTATTTAAGAATACAGAAGATCCTATTTGTTGTATCTGCTCCTCAGATAAAGTATTGATTGTGGTGAGTATGAATATAGCAAATTCCTGTAATAATTTGCAGACAATTACACATCCTTCAATGCTTTAAGTAATTTTTATGTTCAAAGATTGATATGTATGACTGATACTTTTTTCTTCTTCTACCAGAAAAATGTAAAACACATATACATAAATAATTATCAAGAAAATAATGCGATGATAAATTTTGATTCTTTGCATAAAATTTCCATTTGTTTTTCTAGACATTCCCGTTGGAATGAAATTATGTTAGATTAAAACAATTGTAATAATTTTATTGAAAGAGAAAATTGTCTTAAATTCTGTGATTAAAGTTTTATTCTTTTTTCTCTGCTGCCATGCAAAATAAAAAATATTTAAAAAGATAGAAATGTAGTAATTATAACTATCTGTTAATTTTGTTTTACCAATGAAAGTTCCATTTAACATTGTCAATTTGATATTTGATTTCAGGGGAGAGAATCAGGGACACTGAACAGATACTCTATGCCGATGTTGTCACTTACACATAAATATGCCCTGAACTGCAGACCACACCAGCTATCCCTTAATTCAACTTCCAGGTAAAGGATAATCAAAAAAAGAAATAAAGGCTTCCTCTACAATTTCATTAACAAAAATGGCAGAATGTAAACAAACATTGCATTATCATGTTTATCCCCTATATCTTACTTATGGTACTCTATAATTCGCACCTCTTCCTTGCAATTTTAATTTTGGAGTAAAAAAACACTGACAACACCTGACTGAATTCGGTATGCAATATTACATCCCTAAAGGAAATTTGAGCATAACATGAAATTTATGTATTTTTTTTTATTTCAGTGGCATATCACAAACAAAAAGTCCTTTTATTGGTTTTGTTGAAGTTGTATTTGTCAAGTGCAATCTAGCAAACAACTTTTAAAATATTGATAAGAATTGAATTTTTAAAAAAATCTTGTGAAATTTAAAATATTTAACATTCCAAGAAAATAGAATTAACTTGAATTTTAAATGTAACTACGCTTTGAATGAAATTAACAATGTCACACTCAATTCATTTTTTGTCTGTGTAACTTCCAACCATGAAAGATGAACCATTAATATAAGGGATAAACAACTTCCTGTAGCCTTTGTTAGTCTTGTATGTTTTTTAATTTTAGTTCATTTATATGTTTTGGAGTTTAGCGTGACGTCCATTTTCATTGAACTAGTACACATATTTGTTAAGGGGCCAGCTGAAGCCTGCCTGTGGGTGCGGGATTTTCTCACTGTGTTGAAGACCCTTGGTGGCCTTCGGCTGTTTTCTGCTCTTTGGACGGGTTTTTATCTCTTTGACACATTCCCCATTTCCATTATCAAATTTTATTCTGTAAACATTTTTTCCTCGAAAGATTTGTAGTAAGCTTTGGGTATTTAAAATTTATTGATAAGCATGCTATTTCATTTCTTGCAGAAATATGAAAAAAAAAACTATATATTATGGAACAGTCTAAGGGCTATTCCATTAAAATGTATGTGGGAGGGTAGGAAGGGACTTTCAAAATATCAATACAACCAAGAACCATTTTTTAGATAATGGAATAGCTCGATAGAGTTGTATGTATAAGTGGTTTATTTTAAGATAAAGATTTATTTTAATTTTAAAGAGTGTGTCAATTAATATTTGATTCAAAAATATTTCTGAAAGGAATATTTATTATTTTGTAGTCGTTTGTCAATTATTGACATCAGTGGTGTGTTGACCTTCTTTGACATTGACACAAGGATAACGGATACTGACGGAAAAGAAATTGTTGGAGAACATTTGAAATTTGAACGTAAAGATGTCTGGGATATGAAGTGGGCAGAGGTTAGTTGTAATTAAAATATGATTGTTGTTTTACAGAATGCATGCTTGCTATGTACAATCTAAAGTGAATATTCAAGTGTGTATAAAATAAATTCTGATTGTCTTGTCCTCATTTACTCACGATGAAAAGATTTAAACAAAAACCCTACCCCAAGAAGGCTCTCTGAAAAGAGGTTAGCCAACCATGGAAGCAGTTCTAAACTTTTACAGGTAGTGTCCTCCTAAAAATGCTATAAAATAATTTGGAGGGGGAGTTTGATTTTTTCAATTGAATATCCCTGTGGTATATATAATTTAACATGTAAAATGTAATTTCAGGATAATCCAGAGTTGTTTGCTATGATGGAGAAAACTAGGATGTACATCTTTAGAAATCTGGATCCTGAGGTAAGCTACATTGTGTTTGTAGATTGTTTTAAAAGAAAACTTTCATTATCATAGTCACGAATTGATTTCAAACTTTAGTTTTGATGTCAAGATATTACTATATACAAAAAGTAGCTTATGAATCCAAAAACATCTGTTTATTTTTAACGTATGAATACTGGAACACTTAGATTTAAACAAAAGTATGAAAATTTATGTAAAAAACAAATATTCCTGAGTTTCTTGTAAAAATTTCAAGAAAATCAGTCAGAAAAAGATTTCAAAGTATTATTTTTGGAAAATTTTCAAATTTGTTTAGAATTATATGGGAAATATTGATAAAGGAATAACTTTTATCAATATTTTGTTCACGTACAAATGATGCTTCCAAAGTATGTTGATATTAGACAGATAATAAATGATGTAGTGGTCATACATTTCAGGAACCAATTTTAAGCAGCGGTTACATTTGTAACTTCAACGATCTGCAGATCAAGTCTGTCCTTCTGGATGAGATTATGAAAGATCCAGAAAACCCAACCAAAGAAAGCATGGCAGAAATGGAGATTAAAGTATGTAAATCAAGATTAATAGGAAACTTTGAGAATTTCTGTTTGATGGTTAAAGATGTACTTATTGAAAATTGTGCATGTATAGTTAGCAATGAAGTTTCTGATTCTAAAGTTGTTTTTTTTTTAATTTGAGATAGGACCCAAATTAAAAAATTTAACAGAAATTACACCAAAAAAAAACCCCAGGTATTTTTTATTTTATAAAACTTTATATTTTACAAATTTATTATTTTTCAGTCATTAAGAGACACACGAGATCTGTTAGAAAAAGTTGGTATAGCTGATGCTCAACAGTTTATAGAGGATAATCCACACCCAAGACTCTGGTTTGTATTTATTCTGAGAAATGGAAAAATAATATATTTTTTTAATTTTCTGTAGTATGACCTTTGTCCTTATAAGTGGATGTTTTTGGCAATTTCATTTGTATTTTTAAGTATGTATCATAGGAAGTAGGCTGCTTCAGGGGAAAATAGGTTACCATGACCTACATTCATGCTCTCTGACATTAAATTATTAAACATAATTTATATTCTTTAGATAATATTACAGTGTTCATGTTTTTAATCTAAAGGGAAAACATGTAAAAAATTCAGTAAATTATTGCCTATTATTTTCAAGCTTTACATTAATGTTTATGGTAAAGAATTTTTCAGAAAAAAAATTTAACTTTCTTGTTTCCAGGAGACTTTTGGCTGAATCAGCTTTGGAACAACTGAATTTGAAAGTAGCTGAGCAGGCTTTTGTTAGATGTAAAGATTATCAGGGAATAGAGTTTGTTAAAAGGCTTGGTAATTTACAGGTGAGTTAAAGAAATGTGTGAGGCAGGGCTTCCAAAAAATATTTGAGCCAGCCGGACATTTTATGTCTGATCCCAATTTTAATCCCTTAAGACTTAGTAACAAAAGACAATTATAGTAATCAGTTGGCCATCATATAACCAGTGATTCACATTAAAAAAACGATATTAAACTTTACTTTGATATAAATTTGATGTTCTGACTTCAACTGTTAAATTGACAGTGCATCATTCAAAGTGTGCAACATCAGCGTACTAATATCTGCCTTAGACTCTTTATTTGTGCAAAATAACGTTGTCAAAAACTTTACTTTCGTTTTTAAAAAGCATATTTTCCTAATACCGGATGTTGTCTTGACAATGATGGTAGAACATGGACCAGAGACAGATATGTAAAATCCGTGTACGTTTACAAAGCACGATTGAGTTTAAGTAGCTCTTTCCACGCTATTTCTTCAAGAAAATACTCGAAATGAATGTTAGATAAAGGTATCAATGATAATTTTAACATTTTTGAAGATTTAGGATGCACAATTAAATTCTCCACATGTGCACACGTGTACTAGTTCAAAGAACGTGGTTCTGACAATTTTTCGTTTAAAACCTTTTTAAATTTTTCATCAAATCATATTGATAAACGTATTTCTGATAATTTCAATATTTTTGATTAAATTAATTAGATGCAGATTGCTGAAATGTAAGAAAATAACTTTGAATAGACCGATCAATGTCTGGTACAAAATAGTTAAACCTGTTGCCTGAACAGGTAAATTTCAGCTGTCTGACAACTAATTAAACTTGATTAAAATGAGAAGGTATTAAAGTAGGGTTTGTTTTGATAGTACTTAATGATCATGTCACTTTTATGATCGGAAACATGTGGCTGTTTAAAGGCAAAAGGTCGGGTCAAAAAGATTGCATAAACTTTTTAAATTATGTTAAAATGTATTGACCGTCTCTTAAGAAAGCTTTTCCCAGACCGACAATGTCCGGTCAATTTATAAATGTCCGGAATATATGACCGTTTTGGAAGCCATGGTGTGAGGACATCAGGGGCTAATCCAGGATTTTTGAATGGGGTCTTATTCCATAAAATGGGCAATTTTATGTTAAGAAATCGTATAAATCGTGAAAAACATGATATCAATTTTATTTAGGCGATCAAAAGTGGGAGGTACACCCTCTACGCCCGTCACTGGATATTTTACATATTTTTTTCATATAATTGTGCTTCCTGTGTATATTTAAGTTCAAATGGTTAGAGAAAGTTTGTGTACAGAAAGAAAAAAAACATCTCCTGTTTGTAAACCCATAATGTTCTAGATTTTTGCCATTTTAACATCTATATACGAATATTTAAATAGTTCATTTTAAAAAAATCATCTAGTAAATCATTTGCAGTTTCTGCTCTATATTATATTTAAAAAAAACTTTAGATATCATATTTAATGTGCATTTCCCAATTGTCAAATAAATATAAACAACCTGTTTGATATCTTAAAGACCAGTCTCATTTTGAGTGTAAAATAAATTCCACAATTTCTTGGTCTTGTGTGTACAGATTTTGTGTCCTGAATTAATGGACTATATTCCTTCTTTTTTGAAAAGAGATAAAAAGAAAGTAAATCAAGTTGATTTGAATAATAATGAAGTGGAAATATAGCTAGATATTGTCATTGTAAAAAAAGAAATTTATGAAATAAGGTTCAAGGACAATTAATGTATAAGTTTGAGTTAATTTTTATCGAAATAAGAATGTTACATGCCACCTTCGATAATAGCTGATCTCAAAAAGTTTATATTAAATGGCATTTAAAGTTATTCAGCAAAAGATTGGTACTTTCTTTGGTTTTTGTCAATTACTGTAAATTCAGAAATTATTGCGATGTTTTTATTATTGCGAAAAATGCAACAGGGTTATAATCGCAATAATTTAAACTCGCATTTTGAAATTTTTTATATGAATTAAACAGGATTTTTCTAAATATCGCAAAAAATAAAATCACATTTTAGTCTAAAATGACAAAAAGCAATAATAAATGCACGCAATAATTTCTGAATTTACAATATCTAATGTTTGACACATATTTACAGAGAGAAGATATGAAACAGGCTGAGGTAGCTGCTTACTTTAGGAGATTTGAGGAGGCAGAGAGAAAGTACCTGGATATGGATAGGAGGTATATATGATGATAATAAGATGTGTTGATAGTTTAGATTAAAACCCATACTATTTCTTGGTTTATATATGATTGGTTGATCATAACGTCCAAAAGAAATATAACAGACTTATTTGAGATGAGTTCAAAAATGGCTTTGATTTGGATAAAGATTCTTTTATCTCCTGCATTTTGTGTTGCAGTATATTCATTTTCATCCTGTTTTGTGCAAGATTATTTATTTTCAGCTCTTACCATGCCATGAAATTCATTTCTGATTATTCTCTTGTACTGTTACTTTTTCCTCTCTTGTTTTAGAGATCTAGCAGTGAGCTTAAGGAAGAAATTAGGTGACTGGTTCCGTGTTGTACAGTTACTTAAGACTGGTTCCGGAGGAGATGATGTACAATTGGAGGAAGCTTGGAATGCTATAGGAGATTATTATGCAGACAGACAGAAATGGTAACAAAATCATACTATCTGAAATATCTCATAAACTATACATCTCATTGGTATCCTCTCTAACAGCAAGGGAAGACCATTTGTTTGTTTATATGTTCTTTTACCTAAGTTTTGTTTTTATTTTGAGGCCCTGCCCCCTAGGTCATGGTCCAGTGACTTTGAATTGATTAGCTATTTTCAATGTAAAGTTTTCTGCTTAAGTTACTATGATAGGAACTACTTACAATAGACAACAATACTTTCTAAAAAATTACATTAATTAGCAATGTTGCTGACTATCAGATTGTATTTTTCTGTATTTTATGCCGACAGGTGAGACATGTCTCTGTGTCAACAGTTTATTTTAAATCATGAAGAGAAGTGACTAGCATGAGGAATGTATTCAGAGTTATTTGAAAAAAAAGGGGGGGGAGTGGAAGATACCAATGGAATATTCAAACTCATAAGTCTATGACAAACTGACAGTACCATGGCAAAAATAGAAAAACGACCAGAAAACAAATCACAGTATACAAAACACGACATAGATGATAACAGAGAAATTAACTTGGCATAACACAAGTAACAAGTCCACAAAACACTACATAGATAACTGAGCAACACAAATCCCAGCAAAAATTGGAATGATCTTAAGTGCTCTGGAATGATTAGAAGATCCTGATCCCATGTGACACCTGTCATGTTACTCCTTTTAAATATATTTAAATATATTATAATGAGTGATTAGGCATCACTCAGTAGTAGATTGGTAATTGACTCTATTTTGTTTAACACCAGACATTTGTATTTCATCAAAATCCTGTACAAAAACCTGTTATGAAAAAAGCTAACATAAAACTACCTCTATCTAAAGTCAGGAACAAGTTATTGTAGTTTATGATCAATCTCAAAAAATTTTTTTATGAAAAGACTTACAGGATGCTAATGTAATAAAAAGACATGATGGTCTACGGTTCCTAAAAATCATATGCATGTAAATGATACCAGTATGTACTTATTTCAGGCAACAAGCTGTGACCTACTATGTTCAAGGTCGTAACCAAGAGAGACTGTCAGAATGTTACTACATGTTAGAGGACTATATGGGGTTAGAGAAAATGGTGATGGCATTACCAGAAAATCATAAACTACTGCCTGTAAGTTTTACACACAACAGAAAGCAATAATTAAGTTTGAGAATCAGATATATCATTTGTTGTGTTCGTTTGTCAGGTCATATTGTTTCTTGTCCATAAACTTACCTTTATACTAGCCAAAATGATTGATATTCACATCTTATGTAAAGGTCTATATCAATTGAAATTATTTTCATATAGATTACATTCCAATTTTAGCACATAGTAGATATGGAAGTTATCTATTGCTCGTGAGCTCTCCATTTCTATATTTGTTTATTATAGTTCCAATTAGAAGAATAATATAAATAAGGAAATCTGAACAAGAACTCTTTATTATCCTTTCACCATTTATCAAGTTTAATTTTATTATTGTGCCATGTTTGAAATGACCTTATTGGTACACACAAAAAAATGATTTTATTAAAGTAACCAGATATGACAAATCTTAATGTAATACTCATTCATTGTTTTTATCTGTAGGAAATAGCAGCCATGTTTGTTACTGTTGGAATGTGTGAACAAGCAGTTAATGCTTATATCAGGGTAAGTGTCAGAATGTGTGAACAAGCAGTTATGATTATATCAGGGTAAGTGTCAGAATGTGTGAACAAGCAGTTATTGCTTATATCAGGGTCAGTGTCAGAATGTGTGAACAAGCAGTAAATGATTATATTAGGGCAAGTGTCAGAATGTGTAAACAAGCAGTTAATGCTTATATCAGGGTAAGTATTTTTCAATATTAATGCTTCTTTCCATAAGACTGGTACTATGTTCTGTTACCCTTCGTAAGTACTGCTTTTTACTTGCCTGATTTTTTAAAAATTCATTTGATTTATTCATAAAACACTAAAGGTACTTTGCTTGACTTCTTCATTGAAAATATGAAGACAAATGCTCAAATATATTAGAAACATAAAACACCTAAGAGCTTTAACTGTTAACTGTAATGAATTTAGACAAAAAGCAGACAATCTTATGTTAAACAGTTGTAAAAATCATCAGACTAACATTTTTTATGCCCCTGTCGTAGCGGTGGGGGCATTAAGTTTTACCCTTGTCCGTCTGTACGTACGTACATCCCAAAATTGGTTTCCGTTCTCTAACTTGAGTTTGCCTCAACCAAATGTTATGAAACTTATACACAATGCTTATTACCACAAAACACAGATCAAGTTTAAACTTTGTTGGCGTCACTTTAACCGTTCTAGAGTTATGCCCCTTTATCATTTTTAAACTATGAAAGAAAGATGTTTGGGTGAATGACAAAAAAATTTAGGTTAGAGTGTTCCTGGTAAAGGTAAATCCAGAAAAGTGGTCTGAATACAGAACATTGGTAAAGTGTTATTTTCATGTTTCAGTGTAACCATATAAAGAAAGCTATAGATTGTTGTGTACACCTTAACCAATGGAATCAGGCAATAGAATTGGCTAAGACACATAATGTACGGGAGATAGACTCTCTCCTGGCCAAGTATGCTCAACATCTACTGGAGAAAAACAAAGTAGTCAATGCTATTGAGTTGTATAGGAAAGCTGGACATTATCTGGAGGCTGCTAAATTACTGTTCAAAGTAAGTAACAAATCCATAAAAATTGTCTTTTATTTTTGTCATCTTGCTGTCTCTTTGACAAATAGGAGGGTCTAGATAAAGTTACCAGATTAGAAAATAAGGGACAAATATTTATATGCCCCCTCTGTAGTGGAGGGGGCATTAAGTTGTACCCTTGTCCGTTCTGTACGTCCCAAAATTGGTTTCTGTTCTCTAATTTAAGTTTGCCTCAACCAAATATTATGAAACTTATACATAATGCCTATTACCACAAAACACAGATCAAGTTTGAATATTGGTGGCGTCACTTTTACCGTTCTGGAGTTATGCCCCTTTACAAATGGAAAAATTGCTGAATTTTTCGTATCCGTTCTCTAACTTTAGTTTTTTAGAAATGAAGCCCATCCAGACCCTAATATAGTCCATTTCTCCTTTTATTAATTTTTAGATGAAGAATCAAACATGCTGAATTTTCTGATATCTATTGCAAAATAAAATGGGATTTGTAAAGACCCTGATTGATTGATTTTTGGTATTTAACTCCACTTTCAGCACAACTGGCTGTATCATGCAGGTTAGGGTGAAGGTTAGGGCCTGTTTAAACGTTTAAACCCGCTGCATGTGTATGCACATGTCCTAAGTCAGGAGCCTGTTGTTCAGTGGTTGTCGTTCGTTGGTGTGGTTAATAAGTATTTCTTGTTTCTCGTTTTTTATATAGATTAGACCGGTGGTTTTCCTGTTTGAATTGTTTTACACTTGTCATTTTGGGGCCCTTTATAGCTTTCTGTTCGGTGTGAGCCAAGGCTCTGTGTTGAAGGCTGTACTTCGACCTATAATTGTTAACTTTTTATACATTGTGACTAGGATGGAGAGTTGTCTCATTGGCACTCATACCACATCTTCTTATTTATATAAAAAGTATCTCCTATTTGTTTTTGTGTTGTTGTCCCATTGACATAAAGTCCACAAATGTTTGTATCATACTTAAATTGTTAATTCAACATGCTGAATTTTTTTGCTAACTATTGTTAAAAAATGTGATTACTAAATTGACTTGTTTCAAATTTTCACACAAAAGTTATTTAATTTTTCGTAATTTTCCCAATCATGTAAATTTCATGATCTGATTATAAATATAAATATCATCTATTATCTAAAATAACAGGAAAATTCTAAGAACATGCGAGTGCAACACTTTTTGAAATGTCAGCAATAATAAATAATCTTGTTACATTACCATAAAATGTACCAACTTCTTCTCTCTTTTAGAATAACAAAATAGTATTGTTTTATTTTTGCCTTAAACAGCTAGCCAATGAGCAGACAAAGAAGAAATTAAAACCTCTGCATATAAAGAAGATGTATGTTCTGGGAGGTCTGCTGGTCGAACATTATCATGAACAAATGAAAATGACCTCAAGGGCAAAGGTCAAGGATAAGAAAGGGGCAATGGTAGGTCTATTTGAATTCTTGAAGATAAGTCTGAAACAATTATTATTACTCTATAAATAATATAATCTATTTAAGTATACTTGTGAAAACACCAGATTAGTTTATGTTAATCATATGTTTATAATCCACTACAATAGAATGGTCTATTTTTCTCATCAACCAAAAGCCTGGGTATCCATGATGGATATCGATATCATCAGGGTTAACTGATTCAGAAAATTGCCAATTATTTTATTATAGATAGAATTTTGTTGTATTTACTACTAAGTATTTGACAGATATGATTTATTACTTTGACTTTGTATTACAGGCCGCATCTGCTTTAGCAGGGTTCTTAGAGGAAGATGCTTCAGCCATTACAGATACAAGTATTATAGATAATGCATGGAGAGGGGCAGAGGCTTACCACTTCTACTTACTGGCACAGAGACAGTTAAATGAAGGTTAGATGTTATTTCAACAAAAAACTGCTCATTGTGTCTTGATTGAAAAATATTGGTGTTTGATAAAAAGTTAAAAACATCAAAACAACATCAGCATTAAAGAAAAAAAACATAGAATGGTTTAGAGAACATCACACTTGGGAGAAAGATTGTGATGAACAGTAATATTTTGTTAAATTATGGAAATGTAGTCGGCTATTAGTCAAATAATATAGTCTTTAATTTTGAAATATTGAAGACAAAAGAAAATAGATAAAGGCTACCTGCCAACTCCTCAAAAGGATTTTCAGCACATGAGGACAAAATGCAGCACTTATACATATGAAATGTGTTTCTATGATTTTGAATGGGTATATATGTACTTAAATGCCTCTATAACTCTTTTGAAAGCCTGTTTTGAGTTTTTCCTTTTATATAATGTGGAATTTTAAGAGTCATGTCAATATATCTCATGGGATCAACTCCATAAATAAGGATAGGTGACAGGTCTGCTATATGGAACCCAATTGTATCAGATGGACACATTTCTTCCTGGCCTGTTTTAGTAATTTTATGAAATAAAAGTATGATAGATAAAGGAAATTTGCTTTGTTAAGGTGGTACCAAACACCTTGACTAAAATTAATTTGGCTCCTTTAATTTTCATAAAATTTTGACAAAATATTTACTTTGACCCTTTGTCAAAAATGTAAAAATTTCAAAAAACTTGAACCTCTCACTTTATTGTTAAAATTTCATTGGATATGAAAAAAAAAATCTGTATTCCACTTCTTATTCAATGTACTTTTAAAAATTTCAATATATAAACTGGGGGGTCACTGACCTTTTTTTTTTCGTTAAAATGCATTGAAATTACGGAAATCACAATTATTTTATATGGGTTATATAGGGGATATTTTTAATTTTTCCTTTTTGAGGAAATATTTAACCATAGAATTGGTTAAAATTCAATGAGAGAATTGCATTTCATAAATACTTTAGAAAAAAACAAATAAAAATAAGAGGTCACAGGCCTTATTTTCTGGAAAAATCTCCAAAACACAACTTGTCCTATCAAATATAATATAATTATCTGCCCTTGATTTTAAAAGGATATTTTTCTGAAAATTTTAAATACACTTAACACTTACCATGCTGAATTGTTTTCAGAAAATGTCTAATTTTCTTTATTTGCAAAAATATGCAAATTACATGCAAATGAGCTTTACCCTGCTGCTGGTGCATATTGATTCCTTTAAATCTAAGATAGGGATCATGGGGTGGGGTGAGGAGGCTCGGAAGGGTGGGCGGGAATTAGCCCCAAAGTTGGTCATCAGGTGCAAAAAGCTTCAATTTTGACGATTTTTCGTCCTATTTCTTGACCAGGAAGACCGAGGGATGCTGATAGATGTATCTTACTGTAGTCTGCATGTAGAGTGGACCCATGTGAACACTTATTATAACAAAGCCTAAGTCGGAGTCAAACTGATCTTGGTACAGCAGTCTAAAGAAGGTCATTTGCACCAAAAATCCGGAATTTCTCGATTTTGCCCGATTTTTGGCTTCAACTGGACCTGCAATCAGAAGTAGTTGTTCACTAAGTGGATTTCAATAATAAACACGAACAGTAGTTATATTCCCGCAGGTTTACACTAATTTTTAAAGTTTTAGACCTCTCACTGCATGTGTCTGACACCAAAAGGAAGCCCACCCCTCCAGAAAAAAACCAGCTTATTCGATTTCAATTTTCCAAATTCGTATTTGAGCTGAAAATGCACCTTAAACATGCGAAACATGACAATAAATAGCCTCAGGTTGAGGGAACATGCATTAACTTCGAAATTAATGTCATAAAGTTGACCTCTAAAAGTATGGAGAGCCATTGGAGCCAAATTACGGTAGTTTTGGTAATCCCGTCATATGACGGTCACCGCATGGTAAGGGTTAACAACACTTAATATTTTGATAGTTTAATTTTTGAATTTCAAGTTATAGATATTTCTGTTGTATACTGAATGATACTTGGTACAATATTTCTAAACCAAAAGAGTATTTTTGCAACATACCGAGAAGGGATGCTTAAAAATAGACACCCGATCTACCTTAAATTGTATACTGGGGATTCATTATTATTCAATGTCAGAGAACTAAAGTTTTATGGGTATAGACTACAAAGTCAAATGTTCATTGAAATACAAATTTCTGTCTAGGCTTGTATGCAGAATTATTAAAAAATCCATGAAAATTTGGTCTAATTTTAGATATTTGATCTAGCTCATAGAAAATGTAGTTTTATAACTATTGTAAAATATATTCATCTGTTTTCAGGTTATGTGGATGCTGCTATGAAAACTGCATTGTATCTGAGAGAATATGAAGATATCATAGATCCATGTGATGCATACTCATTGTTAGGTAGGTTTTATCAGGAGGGGTTTGTTTCTGAGAGAATAAGAAGATATAGACCCATGTGACGCATACTCATTGTTAGGTAGTTTTCATTAGGAGCAGTTTTTAACTGAGATGTCAAAAACCAAAGCCTTACATAAAAATTGTAATGTTGTGACTAGCCTGTATCTTAGGGAATACGAAGATCTGGTAGACTTAAAAACGGAATTGCATTTTTGAATTTCCCTATAGAACAGATGTTACAGTCATAAAAATTTGGAGTACAATTATTGTTCTCGGACTCAGAAATCAACCAATCAAAATACAGGATTGTGAGTTTCAAGCATAAATATTGTGAGTACTGAATGATTGATTGATTGATTGGTATTTAATGCCACCATCAGCACTATTTGTCAGATTTTATTGGTTGAGGAAGCCAGAGTGCTGGGAAAGAACAGTAGGAAAACTGACAATCCTAGTTAATAAAGATTGGAGTCTAACACACCAGCCATATGCTGGATTCATACTCACAAACTCAGTGTTGACAGACTAGTGATAAAGTAGTTCGACTACTTAGACAACATGGCCACCGAGGCCTCTGAGTACAGGGTAAAGTTGTATAACTGGTCTTCTCACAAAAATTTGATTGCAAGTTATACTGAAATGTTCTTGACTTACAAGTACGTTAAATTCAGAAATTGTTGAGATTGTTGAAGAATAGACAAAAATGTGAGATTAAAACTTTTGATTTCAGGAAAATCTGGATACAGATATATGTATCAGATATCAGAATGAGAGTTCTTATTATTGCGATAATCACTTAGTTGCATAATTGAATACCATGCAATAATTTCTGAATTTACAGTATTCTTTCTTGCAATATATTTGTGAAATGTGTCACTGAGATTTTGTTCTAATAGATAATTAAAAGATAATGTATCTGGAAATATTCTACTAATGTATTACTAATTGTGAGTTGTTAATTTTTTTCTTCATTAATTTTTTTAATTCCAGCCTTGGCAGCTACAGCGAACAAAGCATTTGGAATGTGTTCTAAAGCTTTTATAAAACTGGAAACATTAGAAACATTAACACAGGAACAGAGAAATACGTATGAAGAATTAGCTCTGGAAATATTTACTAGGTATTTATATATATAGATATAGATATAGGGAAAGGTAAAACTGTTTCATAGATGTATAGTAAAGAAGGAGAAATATTTACTAGGTATTTATATATATAGATATAGATATAGGGAAAGGTAAAACTGTTTCATAGATGTATAGTAAAGAAGGAGAAATATTTACTAGGTATTTATATAAACAGACATAGACAGTTTTTGATAGAGGGAAAACTGTTTGATAGATATAATGTAAAGGTGGAGGTTTGGTGAGAGCTGTTATTTGACCCCTGAAATCGTAAATATAGTAAATATTTTCTCAAGCCTTTCAAAATTATGCTAATTTTATTGTATATAAAACAGTTGCTTTGATCTGGAAGCTTTAGTACAGAAAGGTCGTGGTGTGACTATGATGTCATAAACATGTCAAAATTTATGTATTTGACTTAAAATGGCCATTTCATGCATAGTTTTGGGTGGAAGTATATGTGAGCAAGAGCTTTACTCAAAAAGATATTTAACACACATTAAGATATTTGTAAAATACATTTTGTAGCCAAATATCTTTTTGGGTAAAGGTCTTGCTAATATTTAGATACTAATTACAAGATCTCAAACTGAGGCTTTGTTGGCAATTTGTGCAGTTTTGCACTAGATGTAAGAAGTGTGGAACCCTTAAGACAAAATTAAAAAATATAAATACTGATGTATGACAGACTAATGTCTTAAACATATCTGAAGTATGTTATTAGGTCGATTTATAATACTTTATGATTTTCGATTTTAAGGGGCCAAAATAGTGGCCTCATACCTATTTTGATGGGTACTAAGTATGCAACTGGAATTTGTAGTAATGAATGACACAAAATAACTGGTGAAAATTAATTAAAAACACTGTCCTTCATTGCCTGACTACATACAGAGTGTCAAATGTAAGGCTTGGAAAAAAGTTGTTATGAGGAAACTTCAATCCATATTGAATCAAATAAAATGAGGAATATGACATAAAGTTCTAAATAATAAACAGAAAAAAATGTGAAATTAGACTACAATCTTTTGAACTACAGACAAATTATTAATTGTTATGAAGAAACAATGTTCTTGTTTTAAAACAATGCCTTTTAAGTGAATGTTGATGGTGGTCTGTATACTTTTTAGACACAGTCCTAAAGATAACAGAGCAAACAAGGTAGAATGTACCAGCTGTGCTACAAGTATACCTGATTGGTAAGTAGAATCAATTGGAGCTATATATTAAGGGTTAAGAAAAAAACATTTACTTGTCATCTTGTTTCTGCACTGTTTAAATCATTATGAATGAATTGAGATGTGGAGTATAGGTTAATGACATAGCAACCCAACAACGAAAATAACTGAAAGACATCTAGACTGCAACAGTTGTGTATACAATATGTCAAGCTCTTAATCATCTCCAGTCTATAAAAGTTATAAATTCAACAGAAACAATCAAAAATCTTTCATCAACATCAAATTCTCTAAATAACAAAATCACATGACATACATCAACCAATGAAAAGGTTTCTGTTTAGGACTTCAATAACAAAATCACATGACATACAACAACCAATGACAAGGTTCCTGTCTTAGGACTGAAATAACAAAATCACATGACATACAACAACCAATGACAAGGTTCCTGTCTTAGGACTGAAATAACAAAATCACATGACATACAACAATCAATGACATTGTTCCTGTCTTAGGACTGAAATAACAAAATCACATGACTTACAACAACCACTGACAAGGCTCCTGTCTTAGGATTGAAATAACAAAATCATATGACATACAAAAACCTATGACAAGGTTCCCGTCTTAGAACTGAAATAACTAAATGACATGACATACTACAACCACTGACAAGATTCCTGTCTTAGGACTAAAATAACAAAATCACATGACATACAACAACCAATGACAAGGTACCTGTCTTAGGACAATCATGTGGATATGTGATAGGGTAGTTTTTTCAGAACTCAAACCTGCTCCTTTTTATGCTTGATCAGTGGACTAACAAAAAGACATAAAAGAACATCTAACAAACAAGTTTAACCCTGCCACATTCTGTATGTGCCTGTCCCAAGTCAGTAGCCTGTAATTCAGTGGTTGTTGTTTGTTGCTGTATATCATATTTGTTTTTCGTTGTTGTTGTTTGTTGCTGTATATCACATATGCTTTTCGTTCATTGTTTTGTACATAAATCAGGCTATTAGTTTTCTTGTTGAATTGTTTTACTTTTGACATTTCATAGCCTTTTATAGCTGACAATGCAGTATGGGTTTTGCTCATTGTTGAAAGCCATACGGTGACCTATAATTGTAAACTTCTAGGTCATTTGGTCTTTGGTGGATAGTTGTCTCATTGGCAATCATACCACATCTTCTTATTTTTATATACAATAAAAATCTGGTAGGAAAAGTACTTAACTCTTAAATAACGACATACAAGATTTATTCTCATGTTTTGAGATATAAAATTAAAAAGAGTTGATAATGTCCCTACTCTTTTCCCAGAAAGATGGGTTCATAATCTGGTTTATCTATATTTATTTGTACATGCTTTTCATCTTGTCCAGCTTTAAATATTTGCCATGAAGATAGAACTGATGCATCCATTCCAATGAATATAGGAGTTTTTATTAAAGAATTTACCTTTGAATTTCAATTTATTTTATTTTTTAGGTGTACTGTTTGTCCAAATTGTGATACAAAATTCCCAACATGCATTGTAACAGGAAGACCACTGATGGAATACCAATTTTGGATGTGTAGCGCATGCAAACATCGAGCATATGAAACAGAAATTTCAAATCGTCAAACATGTCCTCTATGTCATACACAAGTTTAACTCTATGAAAGTTGATAGATATATGTATTCAATTTATTTATTTGCTTCTGAGAAGAAACATTCCAAATCTACTCTAAATAGAAAAAAAGACTATTTGAGTTTAAACTAAAATTTTGAGCTCCAGTTTGTATCAAATTCAATGATTTCTGACATTTATGAAGTGAAGAGAAGGTTATAATTTAATTCTGATTTAAAATAACTTATTTTTCTATAGAGGCATTTTACTATATAGAGGAAATATTTTATATTTTTGTAACGCCAAATATTTGGTCAGGAACACTTAAATCTTACGCTTATTTTACTCTAATTACTTATTACAGCTTTGGTTTTCTTCAAGGTAGATAAAGAGAAATTGTTATTTTTGTATGATTTGTTGTAAACTTTTATTGTCCAAGTTATTGAATATCTGTTTTTATATCTGAGTTTTCCGTCCATGTGAAATACTGTCTTACTATACACAATAAAATTCTTAACATTTTTTTCTTAACATTTAAAAATGTTAATCTTTGCATTTTTGTTGAAGAAAATGGCATTGGTGGGTATTCCATCAAATGTTTATCTGCCTTTTAAGTCAGGAGTAATAAATTAAAAGAGGCTGTCAAAATGACAGCAAAACGGATTTTATTGTCTCACCTGCCACGAAAGTCACAGGAAGCGAGACATATATAGGTGTAGCTTTTCATGCTTCATTGGCGACATCAATAATTGTTAAGTTTTCTGCTGAAGTCAGTTTGATAGGAACTACTTGTGATAGATCAATGATATTTTGTATGAAGTTGCATTACTATTGGTGAGAAGAATAGCAACGTCGCGAATTACCTTTGTATCCAAGGTTGACATCAAATCGGCGACACCACCTTAGTTTTAGTTATAGTAACAAGTAAACGTCAAACTGTATAGCTGTTGTTTATTATTTAGAGTCAGATAATTATAAGAAATCATCCCCACATTAATGGTGCCGTGACTAATGAAAAAAAGTAAAATCACAAAAATACTGAACTCCGAGGAAAATTCAAAAAGGAAAGTCCCTAATCAAATGGCAAAATCAAAAGCTCAAACACATCAAACGAATGGATAACAACTGTCATATTCCTGACTTAGTACAGGCATTTTCTTGTGTAGAAAATGGTGGATTGAACCTGGTTTTATAGCTAGCTAAACCTCTCACTTGTATGACAGTCACATCAAATTCCATTATATTGACAATGATGTGTGAACAAAACAGACACAATAGGTAAAAATGTCAAAATTAGGGGTACAGCAGTCAACATTGTGTTATCATCTTAATCACTGTAAAAACAAACAAATGTAACAAAGAAGCACAAAAAGGCATACATCAAATTTAACACATCCTCCATTTCGGAGTTTTCGAAGCTTATATCGATTAGAACGGGCAATCATAGTGCCATTACCAGATTTTTACGAAAATTTGTTGAAGCAAAAGAAAGTTCAGAACTCGACAGAGAGGAGCTGTTAGCCACATACGAAAACTTACAACAGAAGAAGAAGTTACTGGACACACTGAATGAACAAATTGTGAATACATCGGAAACACAGGATATAGAGACTGACAAAAAGGTTACTTCCAACTCTCCATATCTTCCATCTTTCATGCCAACCAGTCAAGGGAAAATAACTTATGGTACCATCCAGAAACCTTTTTGTTTTTTTTCGACAAATTTCTATTTTTTAGCTCACCTGGCCCGAAGGGTCAAGTGAGCTTTTCTCATCACTTGGCGTCCGTAGTCTATCGTCATAAACTTTTACAAAAGTCTTCTCCTCTGAAACTATTGGGCCAAATTTAACCAAACTTGGCCGAAATCATCATTGGAGTATCTAGCTTAAAAATGTGTCCAATGACCCCGCCTGCCAACCAAGATGGCAGACATTGCTAAAAATAGAACATAGTGGTAAAATGCAAGTTTTGTCTATTGTTTTGATAACCGTTATAAATAGAGAAGATCTGACAGGGGCAAAAATGTTCAGACTGTTGAGCTCTACCAAATGTCCGTCAAACCTGTCAGACGACTTATAGGAGTTATTGCCCTTAAATGACAAACTTTATCTTTTTTTTTTTGAGTTTTTGTTTACTATCTTGAAAACGATAATAGATAAAGAGAATGCAAAAATGATCAGCAAGACAAGCTTTACAAATAAGTCTGCATGTTCGAAATCGTCAGTCAACTCCTTATTATAGTTATTGCCCCAATTTTTTGTGTTTGTACCTTATATCTTAAAAATTATAATAGATAGAAAGAAACTTAAATTAGCAAAAATGATCAGCAAGACAAGATCTACAATTAAGACGAATGAAGGAAATTGTCCGACAACTCCTTATTGGAGTTATTGCCCTTTAATGACATTTTCCATTGTCTGTTAACTTTTACAAAAATCATCTCCTCTGAAACTACTGAGCCAAATTTAACCAAACTTGGCCACAATCATCATTGGGGTATCTAGTTTAAGCGTTGACCCCGCTTGCCAACCAAGATGGCCGACATAGGTAAAAATAGAACATTGGGGTAAAATGCAAGTTTTGTCTATTGTTTTGATAACCGTTATAAATAGAGAAAGTCTGACAAGGGCAAAATGTTCAGAATGTTGAGTGTTACCAATTGTCTTTATACGTCAAAACTGTCACTTGACATATGACGTCACTTTTACTGTTCTAGAGTTAGGCCCTTTTCAAATGGAAAAATTGCTGAATTTTTCTTTTTTTTTCTCTAAATATCAAGTATTTTTAAAATTGGAGTTATCTTTCTTTGTCCATGATTATAGTTGAATCAACTACAATCAATGCTTTATACAATGCAGTGTTTAATTTTACCTTCCACTGATAAATTAAAGCAATTTTTACCCTTCATTTCTAAAAATATTTTCAAAGTCTTCTTTGAAAATTGGAGTTATGGTAGCTGAATCAACTACAACCAATGTTTTATACAATGCAATATTCAATTTTACTTCCTACTGATAAATTAAAGTAATCTTTACCGTTCAGTGCTTACAAGCACTTTGATTACTGTTCTAGAGTTATGCCCATTTACAAATGAAAAAATTGCTGAATTTTTCGTTTCCATTCTCTAACTTGAGTTAGTCTTAAATTAATGTAATGAAATGTATATATAATGCTTTTTACCACAAAACTCAGTTTAATTTTTTGTTTCAGTTTTCTGACTTTACTTTGCCTCAACCAAATGTTATGAAACTTATACACAATGCTTATTACTACATAATACAGATTAAGTACAAAATTTGGTAGTGACACTTTTACTATTCTTGAGTTATGTCCCTTTATAAACATAAAAGTTGCTGAATTTTTCGTTTCCGTTCTCCAACTTTAGTTTGTCTCAACCAAATGTTACAAAACTTATACACAACCGTTCTAGAGTTATGCGTATTTTCAAATAGAAAAATTGCTGAATTTTTAGTTTCTGTTCTCTACTTCCGTTAGCCTCAACCAAATGTTATGAGACTTACACACAATGCTTATTACCACAAAACTCAGATCAAGTTCAAATTTGGGTAGCGTCACTTTTACCGTTCTTCAGTTATGTCCCTTTATAACTATATGATATGCAAGCGGGGGCATCATCTGTGTCCACATGTGGACACTATCCACATTTATTTTTTCATTTTTGCCTATTATTTTGAAAACTATAATAGATAGAGAGAAACTTTATATAGCAAAAATGATCAGCAAGACAAGTTCTACAAACAAGTCTCATGGTAGAAATCTTCAGTCGACTCCTTATGAGAGTTATTGCCCTTTGATGAATGACGATTTTTACCAATTTTTTGTGATTTACCTTAGATCTCAAAAATTATAATAGATAGTTAGAAACTTAAATAGGCAAAAATGTTCAGCAAGACAAGATCTACAAATAAAATGAGGAAATCGTCCATCGACACCTTATTGAAGTTATTGTCTTTTAAAGACAATTTTCACCATTTTTTTCGTATTGCCATATATGATAAAAAAATTATAATATTCAAGTCACAAAAATGATCAGCAAGTCGAGATCTACTAACAAGTCAAATTTTTGCCGATTTAGTTAGTAGATTCACGCTTTATAGGAGTGATTACCCATAAATGAGGATTTTTTACCCTCTTTTGTGTTTTGAGCAAAAACTAAAGAAGTTAGAGAGAAACTAAACAGACTAAATGATCAGCAATACAAGATCAACAAAACAGAGATTTTTGTCATGAATTCTATTCTCGTCTACAATGTTGGAGAGCATCCTTTGTTGAATATGCACATATATAGACTAAGGAGAGCGACACAGGCTCTTTAGAGCCTCTAGTCAAGTGATACTAAAGGTAAGTGTATACAGCATTAAAAATCTTGTGCTTTTCATAGGCGGATCCAGGGGGTCCCCCCCCCCCCCCCCCCTTTTCGTGGGAAAAATTTGGTTGATTATATAGGGAATCAATGAAGCATGACTGGAGCGGGCCCCCCTTAGGTGTGGGTCTCATTGGGGATTAAGCGTGACGCGGGATTGCCGATTTTTTGTAAGCGTGACACGTGAAAGTCAAATTATTGTGCCATGAAAACGGGAAATGAAGTCTAGCGGGATACGGGAAATTACAAAAAAATGAGAATTGCTTATGTACATAGTGTAAGCGGGATACGGGAATCTGACAAAACAGTAAGCGGGATCCGGGATCAGAACCCCCCAATGAGACCCCCTTAGGTCAGTCAGCGGGCCCCCCTTATGAAAAGTTCTGGATCCGCCACTGCTTTTGGTTTCCAGCGTCAAGAAACATTCAAACTTAGGTCAAGATTTTACACTACATCAGAATATATCGGTAAATTCTAAATCCAGGACGTTTACCCTACAGCTTTGAAAAAAAGAGTCAGAACCTACCAAAGGGAAAATAAAAACTAATCAAGTCGAATAAAGAATGACAAAATCATAGCAAAATACAAAGACAAACAACAGTCTAAAAACCCTACCTAAATTACTAATTACTGAGCTACCTGAACCCTACCAAAAACTGGGAGTGCATGCAGGTGCTCCGGAATGGTAAGCATGTCCTGCACCACATGTAAGCATTCGGGCTTCATTATGTAGCTTCTAGCTGCTTAATTTGACATAAAAACCTATTCTAACTGACTGTCACTGTTTACTTAAAAGCTCAGATCTGCTTATTTTTGTTGTTTGGAGAGAAGAGATAATGTTTTTTTATCTTCGTCAATGTAGGTTATACATCAAATGAAATGTATACACTGCTAACGTGTCTATGAGTTCTAATAAGGTGGTACCTAACACTTATGCTCGTTTAATTTTCATAAAATTTTGACAAAATATTTACTTTGACTTGTTGACAAAACTATATAAAAATTCCAGAAATTTGAACCACACAATTTACAGGAATAATTCCATTGAAATTATAGCAGTTTGACATACACCCATTTTGATAATTGAGAAGCTTAATAATTGAAGTCTTTCAAGCTCTCAAATCTTCAGTTTATACTGTAAAAATTAAATAATCCACTGCACTTCAATAGATTTGATGTGTTCATCTGTATCAATACCTTCGTGTATCCCTAGCTAGAACCTCTTTCATCTGTATCAATACCTTCGTGTATCCCTAGCTAGAACCTCTTTCATCTGTATCAATACCTTCGTGTATCCCTAGCTAGAACCTCTTCCATCTGTATCAATACCTTCGTGTATCCCTAGCTAGAACCTCTTTCATCTGTATCAATACCTTCGTGTATCCCTAGCTAGAACCTCTTCCATCTGTATCAATACCTTCGTGTATCCCTAGTTAGAACCTCTTCCATCTGTATCAATACCTTCGTGTATCCCTAGCTAGAACCTCTTCCATCTGTATCAATACCTTCGTGTAGCCCTAGCTAATAAAATTGAGAATGGAAATGGGGAATATGTCAAAGAGACAACAACCCGACCATAGAGCCGAAAACAGCCGAAGGCCACCAATGGGTCTTCAATGCAGCGAGAAAATCCCGCACCCGGAGGTGGTCCTCAGTGGCCCCTAAATAAAATTGTGTGCTAGTTCAGTGAAAATGGACGTCACACTAAACTCCAAAACATATGAATAAACTAAAATTAAAAAACATACTAGACTAATAAAGGCCAAAGGCTCCTGACTTGGGACAGGCGCAAAAATGCGGCGGGGATAAACATGTTTTGTGAGATCTCAACCCTCCCCCTATACCTCTAGCCAGAAACACAGCAATACGCACAGTAAAACTCAATTTAAAAGAAGTCCGAGTCCGATGTCAGAATAGGTAACAAAAGAAACTAAGCAAAATGACAATGATACATAAATGAACAAATGACTACTAGCAGTTACTGACATGCCAGCTCCAGACCTCAATTAAACTGATTGAAAGATTATGTCTTCATCATATGAAAATCAAGTACAATCCCTCCCGTTAGGGGTATAGTATCATACCATCATAAAATATATGAGAAGAACATAACCCGTATCATGCCAACAACTGGTTTTAGAATAAATGTGGTTTTTTTTTCCGATGCAAAGACCCTATGAGTGAATCAATATTAATACCAAAATATACAATCCTTAATGACTGGACAACAGTATCGTAACTATATCCTTTCCGAATAAGTCTGTTTAAAGGTTTGGTAAGCTTTTGAGGTGAATGCCGACATTTTTTGTGCTTTGTAAAGAATATTACCATAAAATATTGGATGTGAAATACCTGAACGTATAAGATGTCTGCATGTTGATTTATATTTACGAATGATGTCCTTGTACCGATGATAAAATTTAGTAAATGTTTTGACTAACCCTTGAACCTCTTCACAGCCATTTTGACTGTCCAATAGAAACAGAAAGTCATATTAATTATTTTGTCAAATAGGACTCTCAAAAATCTTTCCAATTTATAGATTGATTGATTTGTGTTTTAACGCCACTTTCAACACTATTGTGCTATTTCGTGGCGGTCAGTTTTTATTGGTGGAGGAAGCCAGAGTGCCGGGAGAAAACCACCGACCTTCGGTAGGACAACTGACAATCCTAGTCAATTAAGATTGGTGTCGAGTGCACCTGCCCCGTGAGGGATTCGAACTCGCAACCTCAGTGTTGACTGGCTAGTGATACAGTAGTTGGACTACTTAGACCACTCAGTCACTGAGGCCCCTCCAATTTATAGGAATAGAAAATATATATATCAAAAGTAATAAAAATCTGTAAATTGATCATTAGAAAACTGTCTGCATGACAGATTTGGTTTTCAGTATTTCAAAGGTTCTTAAGATAACAGTAAAGTTTGACCCATCAGTTCTGAAGGCCATCTAACCAAATCACACATACCCCAGTTACATCATCATTTACATTGTATGGTACAACTATGATCTCTACAAAAATCTCAAACAGTAAATGCTTGCAGATGGACGCTATAGAATCATAGGACAAACAATTCGACATGAAGATAAAGGAATACTTTATTTTATTAATATCATCAATAACTGAGTTCCTTTATTATATCAACATAAATCATCAATCTAATTGTATCTCATCTTGATGTGTTTTTTTTTAAGTACTCCTATATGTCTATTTTAATTTAGGATTGTCTGTGATTGTGTCCTTCTTTTGGCTTTTTCTGTTTCATACATGCTGCCGTATCTATATGCTTTGGCATTTCTATAACCATAGCCACCATGTCCTTTGTCATTTCTGCCATAACCGTGACCTTGAGCATTTCCTTCATAACCATGACCTTTGCCATTTCCTCCATAACCATAACCTTTACCATTTCCTCCATAACCATGACCTCCAGCCTTTCCTCCATAACCATGACCTTTACCATATCCTACATAGCCATAACTCTTGCCATTGCCTCCATAACCATGACCTTTACCTTTCCCTCCATAACCATAACCTTTACCATTTCCTCCATAACCATGACCTTCAGCCTTTCCTCCATAACCATGACCTTTACCATATCCTACATAGCCATAACTCTTGCCATTGCCTTCATAACCATAACCTTTACCTTTTCCTTTATAACCATGACCTTTACTCTTTCCGCCAGAACCATGACCTTTACCTTTTCCTTTTCCTGCATGGCCATGACCGTTGCCTTTTGCTTGGTCATGACCTTTGCGTTTTCCTTTTGCAAAGTCATATTTATAGTCACCGTCTGAAAGTAAGCAGTGGAAAACTTTTCATTATTACTGACATTGAATATCCTTATAGAAAATAACAGTATTGTCCATACCAGCCCTGGTATTAGCCTTTTAAATCCCTTCCCATATCAAGATCTGAGTTTTTAGATCAATGTCTGGTATAGATGAAGATTTGCAGACTAGAGACGATATTGTATGGATGTATGAAATAAATACTAGTAATCAGATGTAGCCTGATTTCCAAGAAACAAACTATCCACCGGCTACCAACAGACGGAGACATATAGGAGGACTATATTGCCTTCAACAATTAGCAAAACTATCATCCTATAGTCAGTAAAGGTCTGTTTAAGATTGTAATAGATTTTTTTATGGATTTGATTCTCTATGTTCTCGTTATTTATCCAGCAATATTGATTGGGACTGAATTGCATTAACGTCTATGTAGCTATGGTATACTAAGTTTTGCGTTTTAAAGGATTGAATAAAGCAGAGAATAATTGATAATAAATATCTTCGTGTGTTTTAGCTCCTATTCATCCCTAGCTTTCAAATATTTGGGTTTGAACGTTCCGGATGAAGGTTATTCTCGAAAAGCACATCGGACGTACAAAATTGATAAATATCTTTTTTATACGTTTATGAGACAGCAGCTCAATGACAAAAATAATTGAATAACATTTAGAGAGCAACATACAATAGATAAATGATAGTAATAACATTTAGAGAGCAACATACAATAGACAAATGATAGTAATAACATTTAGAGAGCAACATACAATAGACAAATGATAATAATAACATTTAGAGAGCAACATACAATAGACAAATGATAATAATAACATTTAGAGAGCAACATACAATAGACAAATGATAGTAATAACATTTAGAGAGCAACATACAATAGACAAATGATAATAATAACATTTAGAGAGCAACATACAATAGACAAATGATAGTAATAACATTAAGAGAGCAACATACAATAGACAAATGATAGTAATAACATTTAGAGAGCAACATACAATAGACAAATGATAATAATAACATTTAGAGAGCAACATACAATAGACAAATGATAATAATTACATTTACAGTCCCAATTTTACTGCACCAGATGTGAATTTCTACAACTAGTGTCTCTTCAGTGATGCTCGAAGACGTGAGCTTTTTGTAATAAAGTTCCCAGATTAAAAGCAATTGGTTCATTAACATAACTGTTTGAATACTTTAGCATTTTGCTATTTCAGAGGCCAGGCAATGGCTCTTATCATATACCCCCTCCTTTAATAAAGACATGGAAATTTTGCAATGTGTATCAAAAAGCATTCAAGCGCAACACGTAATGCTTACTAGCATTTTTAATTCAATGAAAATATGTAAAGTATATGATATAGAATTTAAACATTTTTAGGTTTTGACCCTGTGAGTGAACAAAATTTGTCAGACCTCTGTGACAGATTCTTATTAAAAGATCTGTCATTAAAGCCAAATTCTCGCTAAATAACGACAAAACATTAGGATATGACATACGGCTACTACTGACATGATTCCTGACTGGGAACAGGCAAATGTAAATGTTCCGGGTTTATCGGTAATTTTAGATCTCAACCCTCTCCATTTTTACATCTTGATGAGGAGATTATCAAAAGGAAACACATAAAAGAAGCATATGATATATCGTGATGGTTTTGTCCGAATAATAATTTGTTACAAGTAACCAACCTCGCGGTTCATCCGAACTTGAGCTCTTCATGCCTTAAGCTGAATTAATAGTTGACCACTAACTCGATTTCAACGAAAACTTAAAAAAGTATCCGAACTTTACCACTTCATGATAATTTGTAATTTAAATTGATAATAGACCACCACCGCGATTTCAACAAAGTTTTAAAAAGCTTTAGCACCTAATGGCTGTGAGTAACCTTTCTTTTAATTATATTCAAATTGAATCTTCGGATTCGTTCCCTCCAAAAATTTTGGAAACCTAAAAGAAATAGTACCGCTCCATTTAAATGAAATCAACAATTCTATTTTTGAAATCCCATCGCTCCCCCAACAATTCGTAGAAAATCGCAATTTTTTGGTGTTAAAAAATATTTCTCGTTCCTGAAAATAGTAGTGTAGAAAGAAATTAGAAAAAAAAAAACGCTTTCTCGGGCCAAATTCAGGTATCACTTTCTAAAATATTAACTTTGACAAAAAAATGAAAATGAAAATTTCGCTTGATCACTCGCTCCAATTTTTGCTCATAAAAGTCCGAAGATCAATTATTTAGTTTGGAGTGGCATTATGAGGTAAGAAATCAAAGGGAATTTGAAGTGCACAGAAAACATTAATTAAAAATTAAAAAATTGTGCCAAACTGTGTAATTATGTTGCAAGGTAGATATGTTGAAATTAACTTACTTTTATGATGTTGGTGGACGTCCGGTGGAGGATTTGCGATATCATCTATTGCATCTGCGGTGTCCTCGTCTACGATTATGGTTTTGCGTATGAGGCTTGCCGTGTTAACGAATTTAACACAGCCCAAGCAAACCAACAAACATGACAAAATAGTGAATAATTTCATCTTGATTAATATCACTGGCGGTGAAAACAGTCCTTATTTCATTTTTCTAAAAGGAAGATATTTTTTATAGAAACAAAAAAGTAACAGATGATGACAACTGATACAGAACAGTAATCTGGAAAAAAATCCTATGTATGTGACATCTTGAAGGAAATTTATTTTTAACTGAATTCCTTCAGACAATGAACTGATCAAACTTCCTCTTCCTTCTCAGGATCAATAAGGTTAATTTTAAAATATTTTAGCGAGTGTCTATAGATGAACAATTAGTTTACCTATTTTCTGCCACTGGACGTTAAACAAGCAACAATCAATAAACGAATTACACATTTTTATAAAAACAAAATCTGAATGACCTAGTGGTGTATATTTGTATGCGATATATTTTACAAGCATGATAATGATGTCTCACGTATTTTGCAGCAAAAATGGATTGCTTGATTGCTATTTACTTGACATACAGTGTCAAATATTTCATGAATACTCAGGACGAGGATAAACAAAGTCTCCCAGATGCCTGTATCGATCACCAAAAATAAATTGACCATGTAAAGACACAAAAAGTACCAACTTGTTAGGGCACAAAACCATGTAAAGACTCAAAAACCCCAAAATGTGAGGGCACATGACCTTGTAAAAACACAATAAGTACCAAATTGTTAGGGCACATGACCATGTGCAGAGACAAAGAGTACCAACACAGTACGCATGTAAAGACACAAAGGGAACCAGTATAATGAGCATGTTAAGATAGCATAGGCGGATCCAGGGGGAGGGGGAGGCCGGGCCCTCCAATTGTGGGAAAAATTTGGTTGATTATATAGGGAATCACTGAAGCATGACTGGATCGGGTCCCCTCTTAGGTCAGTCAGTGGGCCTCCCTTATAAAAAGTTCTGGATCCGCCACTGTCAAAGAAAAAAGTAAAATAACAAAAATACCGAACACTAAGGGAAATTCAAAACGGAAAGTGGCAAAATCAAAAGCTCAAACACATCTAACGAATGGAAAACAACTGTCATATTCCTGACTTGTAAAGGCATTTCCTTATGTAGAGTAGAGTATTACTAATTATCTAATGCTAATGTAAAGATATGAAGAGTATCAACTTAATGGCCATGTAAAGATAGGAAGAGTACCAACTTAATGGCCATGTAAAGATAGGAAGAGTACCAATCTAAAGGCTATGGATACTATTTTATTTTAAATATGTTCTGCTTTCCAGGTCCAAATTGGTGGTGTAACATCTTAAAAAATTCTATCCAAATTAGTTTGCAAAAAATTCCGCTCAAATCGGTGCAATGGGGTGTCTTAAACTTGCAGTTAGATGAGGGATTTTTTTTTTGCTCCGTGTTGAAGGCCTCACTGTGACTTTGAGATAAAGAACGGCAATAAAAGCGCTGTTCCTGTCCTTTTTGTGTATTTTTTTGCTGTGCATGTACTGATTTTGTGTCATGAATAGATACCCCATATCCTTTGGTTTTCTATTGTGTAAAGATATGAAGACTCCCAAGCTAATGGTCATGGAAAGATACAAAGAATATTCAATCTAATGGCCAGGTAAAGACACAAAGAGTATCAATCTAATGGTCATGTAAAGATACAAAGAGAACATATGTAATGACCATGTGAAGATACAGAGTACATATGTAATGACCATGTGAAGATACAAAGAGTACATATGTAATGACCATGTGAAGATACAAAGAGTACATATGTAATGACCATGTGAAGATACAAAGAGTATATATGTAATGACCATGTAAAGACACAATTAGTACATATGTAATGACCATGTAAAGACACAATGAGTACATATGTAATGACCATGTAAAGACACAATGAGTACATATGTAATGACCATGTAAAGACACAATGAGTACATATGTAATGACCATGTGAAGATACAAAGAGTACCAATCTAACGGCCATGTAAAGATACAAAGAGTAAAAATCTATTGACCATGTAAAGACAGAAAGAGTAACAATCTAATGACCATCAAAAGATACCATTAGTACTAATTTAATGGCCAAGTAAAGACACCAAAAGCACCAATCTAATAGCCATGTGAAGATACAAAGAGTACATATGTAATGACCATGTAAAGATACAAAGAGTACATATGTAATGACCATGTAAAGATACAAAGAGTACATATGTAATGACCATGTAAAGATACAAAGAGTACATATGTAATGACCATGTAAAGACACAAAGAGTACCAATCTAATGACCATGTAAAGATACAAAGAGTAACAATTTAATGACCATGTAAAGATACAAAGAGTACCAATTTAATGACCATGTAAAGATACAAAGAGTACATATGTAATGATCATGTAAAGATACAAAGAGTAACAATCTAATTACCAAGTAAAGACACCAAAAGCACCAATCTAATAGCCATGTAAAGACACAAAGAGTACATATGTAATGACCATGTAAAGATACAAAGAGTACATATGTAATGACCATGTAAAGACACAAAGAGTACATATGTAATGACCATGTAAAGACACAAAGAGTAACAATCTAATGACCATGTAAAGACACAAAGAGTAACAATCATTTGACCATCTAAAGATACAAAAAGATAACAATTTAATGGCCATGTAAAGATACCAAAAGCATCAATCTAATTGCCATGTAAAGACACAAAGAGTACCAATCCAATGGCCCTGTAAAGATACAAAGAGTAACAATCTAATGACCATGTAAAGACACAAAGAGTATCAATCTAATGACCATGTAAAGACACAAAGAGTATCAATCTAATAACCATGTAAAGACACCAAGAGTACCAATCTAATGACCATGTAAAGATACAAAGAGTATCAATCTAATGACCATGTAAAGACACAAAGAGTATCAATCTAATGACCATGTAAAGACACAAAGAGTATCAATCTAATAACCATGTAAAGACACCAAGAGTACCAATCTAATGGCCCTGTAAAGATACAAAGAGTAACAATCTAATGACCATGTAAAGACACAAAGAGTATCAATCTAATGACCATGTAAAGACACAAAGAGTATCAATCTAATAACCATGTAAAGACACCAAGAGTACCAATCTAATGACCATGTAAAGATACAAAGAGTAACAATCTAATGACCATGTAAAGACACAAAGAGTACATATGTAATGACCATGTAAAGACACAAAGAGTACATATGTAATGACCATGTAAAGACACAAAGAGTACATATGTAATGACCATGTAAAGACACAAAGAGTACATATGTAATGACCATGTAAAGACACAAAGAGTACATATGTAATGACCATGTAAAGACACAAAGAGTACCAATCTAATGACCCTGTAAAGATACAAAGAGTAACAATCTAATGACCATGTAAAGACACAAAGAGTACCAATCTAATGACCATGTAAAGATACAAAGAGTAACAATCTAATGACCATGTAAAGACACAAAGAGTACCAATCTAATGACCATGTAAAGACACCATGAGTACCAATCTAACGACCATGTAAAGATACAAAGAGTACATATGTAATGACCATGTAAAGATACAAAGAGTACATATGTAATGACCATGTAAAGATACAAAGAGTAACAATCTAATGACCATGTAAAGATACAAAGAGTAACAATCTAATGACCATGTAAAGATACAAAGAGTAACAATCTAATGACCATGTAAAGACACAAAGAGTACATATGTGATGACCATGTAAAGACACAAAGAGTACATATGTAATGACCATGTAAAGACACAAAGAGTACATATGTAATGACCATGTAAAGACACATAGAGTACCAATCTAATGACCATGTAAAGACACAAAGAGTAACAATCATTTGACCATCTAAAGATAACAATTTAATGGCCATGTAAAGATACCAAAAGCACCAATCTAATTGTCATGTAAAGACACAAAGAGTACCAATCTAATGACCCTGTAAAGACACCAAGAGTATCAATCTGATGGCCATGTAAAGACACAAAGAGTAACAATTTAATGGCCATGTTAAGACACCAAAAGCACCAATCTTATAGCCATGTCAAGATACAAAGAGTACCAATTTAATGACCATGTAAAGATACAAAGAGTAACAATCTAACAGCCATGTCAAGATACCAAAAGCACCAATCTAATGGCCATGTAAAGACACAAAGAGTAACAATCTAACAGCCATGTCAAGATACCAAAAGCACCAATCTAATGGCCATGTAAAGACACAAAGAGTACCAATCTAATGACCCTGTAAAGATACCAAAAGCACCAATCTAATGGCCACGTAAAGACACAAAGGGTACCAATCTAATGACCCTGTAAAGACACCAAAAGCACCAATCTAATGGCCGTGTAAAGACACAAAGAGTGCCAATCTAATGGCCATGTAAATAATAAGTTAGAATAATGATATACATGTGACATCAAAATGAGTTCCAATAGGCAATTTTCATATTATTTTTCAACAGGTTACCTACTCTGACTGTTTTCCAATGTTTTTGATGTGTAAAGAAAACCTAAACAGTAGATTTTTCTGCAAATCACACCAACTGTAAGTTTGATAAATCTTCTTTTAGTAGCTCTTACTTGAACAAGTACCAGATTGTCCTACCAAAGAGTAGCTAATCTGCCGAAAGGAGTCAAAAGTCGATTATATGAAAATAGTCTATTCAATGGACATACAAAGACAATAAATGTATCAATCACATTGACATTCAAGAAATAGAAACTACCAATCAAACAGCCATGCAAAGACACTAAATGTTCCAATTTAATAGTATGGTGTATGAAAAAAATGTGAAGTGAAAAAAGACTACAAATCAAATCTTTATTGAATATATACTAGTATATAAAATAAAATTAAAAGAAAATGAGTTGTTCATATCAAATCATTACATATATTGCTTTATATAGTTCAGATTGTCTTGTCCATTACCTTACTGATCTTGCATAGCAAAGTCGATGACTAAAACATTTTAGTACAAAAGATGTTTTTAGTTTCTCTAAATTGTCTTGCAACTTGCCAGTTAATTATATTAAGATAGATTTATTATTAACTGGTTAATGAGTATTTTATAACACTGTTGTCTTATGTGTGCTTGCCTTATGTCCATTCTTTTACAACAATAATTGAAAACTGCTCAAATGCAACTTAGGTAATCTAGGGAATTTTTTTTTTTTCAACAAGTAACAGGTTTCAAATCACTATTCCTAAAATATACACTGAACTGAGCAGATCTTCCCAGCCACTGCATTCTGATATATTATTAACATGATTAAGGTAAAAGGTTTGTTTGAAACAGTCTTAATTTTTCAGATGAATTCATTGTTAATTTTACAGGTATGTTCTTAAAACTGCCATTTTGGATTGAGCATTTTCTTGTTGCCTGAAGAGTATGATATAAAAGGTATAAAGAAAATGTGGGTATAACTTTAATAATGAGACAGTTACCAAACAACAAAAAAAACTCAATGTAAAAACAGTCTTCAACATAAAACAGGTGTCTATAAAATTTTCAAGCTCTAATTAATCCCCATTCTACAAAAGAATATTTAAACAGAAATTATGCAAGATCTGCCAATCAACACCAAATTCTGTCAATGACAAAAAATATCAATATGACATAAAACAACTAAAAGTTCTACTTCTTTATTAGTATTTCATTAGTTACAATCTTTCAGCAAAATCCTTGTAAACCTCAGAATCTGTTAACTGAACAACATTAAAGTTACAAATGTCCATCTGATGAAAATGTGAATATTCTGCCAATGTATCAGTTTATTTTTCCAAATTCATGACTTTAAACATTTTTGACAGAATACTGTTTCTGCAAGTTGCTGATTATTTCAACTAATTTTTAAAGATATTCACAATTTTCCGGACATAGGAGGAATAATGTAATTCCTGGTATAGATTTTAAAATATACAGTCTGAAAATAATACTTTATACCAATATGGAGATCAAGAATATCGAAAGTGATTCACTGGATTTACCTTCATCAAGAATAATCAAACCCCCAAAAAGTGAAGCACAGAATGTTTATAAATACTTGAATACTTGGAAAGTTATATAACCAAAAGGGTCCTAAATAACAGTCAAATCCACATATGGTCAACTTTCCCTGATGTAGTTCAAACTTAAGTTTCTTATTAATTTCTTAATTTATTAACCCATAATTTGAGAGTTAATCTGAAATGATGTAAACATTACTTTAAATGTAGAAGTGAAAAATATAAGATAACAAAAACCGTTAAACAATTTAACACATAAGTAGAATAGTTTTGTTAATAAATGGATTTCTTTCTGTAAAAGTCTCAAAACATAAATCCTCCAACTGTAAACATTTTTCTAACAAGTGATCATTTTAATATGAGTTATGTAGATAAAGAGCTTTACTTGTCAAGTTACACGAATTCTGCATTTTTAGAAGCAGTTTTGATTTTATAAATTATTAACTAATTAAGTAGCTTTTATTGAATATTAAAGTACAATATTTTAAACATTTGCAAGAAAATATGTGTGTTAGGTTGGAGTATTTCAGCTCTAGCCACAAAATTCAGGCTTTCATACACCAAAAAATGGTATTATGTAAAAAAAATTATAAGATGTAATAAAAATAGAATTAGTAAATCTAATAAGAAAAAAAAAACACAAAGGGTAGTAAATGATTTTATATGTGCACAATACTTGTCAATTTTTTTATTTCTCGTGTTCTTGCATAGAAATATTGTAATTGGCAAATTGTCATGGATATAGGTAGAATTGCATCATTCAATCCTAAATGTTACTTTTCATTCATAAAATCATTTCTTTCATGTTCATGACTCCCCTTAAATACACACACACCACACTTTTAAGAAACACAAAGACTACACAGGCTATCTGGTTAATTACAATTTCAGATATGTGTTAATAGAAAATAATGTACAAATAAACAAAATTTTATAAATATGTTTTAAATTCGACCACAAGTAATATGTTCTAATCTTGGTGATTTCATGATGATATTTTTGTTGCACCAAGATTTGAAATTAACGCTGTACCAATCACATGCTTAAATTTTATTCAATGAACAAATAACAGTACAGATTTTTCATCAGTAATCCTATATTTTTAGAAGTTTGTGAATCAATTAAATTTTATCTAGTTAATTTTGAAATTGAAATAACTCCACTAAACTAGAAAAATGTGTACAACCAGGTAATTGAATTAAGCTTTTTCCCCTGAGTAACACTGGCATCTAACTATTTGTTCAAAAGCTCTTGATAAAATCAAAATTGACATCACCAATTGCATGTAATCTGGTGAACACATGAATTGTTTATATTGTAAAACTGATCTTGTTTTATATTAATGATGATTAAATTCATATATACTTTTCACATGTATCAAACTGATACACTTTATCTATACAAAAAATAAATTCCACACAACCAAAACACAATTATTCCTGTATATACATATCTGACAAACCACACAATTGTTTAGTACATTATATGTTCATTTTTTTACAAATCAAACATTCTTAAAATTTCATTACACAAGGATATGATTATGTTTTTGTAAATTATTCCACTTGACACTACTATATATGATACCATGTGAGTACCGAAGCACTGGCTACTGAGCTGATGGTACATCCGGGGACTAACATCCCACATCATATTATATCATGTGAGTACCGAAGCACTGGCTACTGAGCTGATGGTACCTCTGGGGACTAACATTCCACCATCATATTATGGAAAAGCAATAGAAAAAAATAGTATGAGACATAATATTGGTTACTATGACAACAGTAAGCTATCATAATAAGAATTTAATGACTGCATGAATATTTATAATTGTCATAGATTAATGAATTAAATAAATAAACACTGATTTCAATGAAACTGTATATATTTTTAACCAACAAAATGTGAAATTTACAAAACTAAAATCAAATTGTAATAGCACCCCTAAGCATTTGTTACTTACTAATAGCTGTCATAGTTTTCATGCAAACTATTAAAATAACCTTTGACCCATAAATAAAATTGAGAATGGAAACGGGGAATGCGTCAAAAAGACATCCCGACCAAAGAGCAGAAAACAGCCCAAGGCTATGATGTATTCATTATGTATCAATGGTTATAAACAATAAAAGCAAAACAAAATGAAATGGCACATAGAGAAAAATAAATGATACCGTTAACTCAGAAATTAATTAACAAATCCAAATAGCTTTAGAACTGACAATTTCATTCTAATGAAAGCTTAATTAAAAAAAAAAGGTATCTCAGTTGAAGAAATAAATTTAACATTTCAATCACGTTTAGATTGGCTGCATGAATTTTTGAGTTTACAGTGCACAATTTACGAATCATCAACATTATATATACCATAAGCAATAGTTAGCGATAATATAAAAAAAAATTACAGGTTTTATGCCCATAAAAAAAAGAGTAATGCCACTATTACTTAAAAAATCTTTTATCACATGCTGAGACCATACCATTCGTCAGATGCAAGTATCCCTGGATTTCATACAATAATAATACCATAAAATATACAACCCTAAAATTGTTATTTAGGCCAGGGAAAAATGATTGTTGGTTTCCCCATTCATTTTCAAGGCCCGGCAGGTAGGATTTTTTTTTGTGTGTATCAAATATTGTTGCTGTAGACTGCATGTAGAACAATTATTTATTTACTTGACTTGGGTGACTTTAATAACATAAAGAACTGGTGTCCATGTATTCAAACTGGCACTTGGTGCCGAGTTGGCCATTTTGTGGATCTAAACAACAGGGGGAGCAACACGCTTTAAATCATTGTTATCTTTCCGATCAGTTATGCACTTCAGTGATCTAGAAACCAAGGTGCAAAAAAATTACCTTGACATTGTTATGTTTCAAAACAACAAAACCGAAAAACGTACATGAAAAAATATTTGTTAACATTGCTGGACTGAAAAAAATAAAATAACCCGGCGGTTTAAAATAGACCCGGTTGGGTTAGGGGAAACCAATAATCATTTTTCCCTGGCCTTAGAAGGTCATGTTTAAAACAACAAAAAGAACCCAGAAACCAGTAAATCACACTGAAAATTAAAAAAATATATCTTCTAATGTATGTACAATACTCTACTTAGGGTTATTCCAGAAAAAAATATATGGAGTGGGTTGGATGGCACTTGAAATATTTTTGTGTGTGGGGGCAGGTCAAGAAGTTAAAATTGTGTGGTTATATATGCAAAGTAAAAAGCAATTGTATGGGTGATGACCATAAAAAAGTGCTTTCCAACCCCTGACGATTTTGCGAGTAGAGATATATAATACCTATCACACCAACATATAATGCATGGAGACTATCTGTTATTTTAACAGATTTCAACTAATCACGAATTAACAAGTGTCAAAATATAACAATTGATTCAAATGTACAATATCTACATGAGTCTGGGTTTAGGGTGAGGGGCCATCTTTCGTGTATTCTCTCATTTCTTATTATTTTTTTTCTCTATTCTTAAATCATTTAGGACATTTCACCCCTTTCTTTTCATTTGTTGCCCATTTCTCTCTTCTCCTTAAATTTTTGGCCAATTTTCTCTTTCCTTTTTATTTTTTTTGCCTATTATTCTCTATTCTCTAAACCCCATCCAGACCATCATTTAATGATGTACATAATGACAATGTGACATATTCATTTTGAATATTTTCAATGTTTGCACCATGACAAAAAATACTGCACCACAATAACAATTACAGACAAAATCATTGCAGATATTCCTAGAATTATGGAGATTTATATGCTATTACAATAAAAATTATGCAAGATTATCTATCCTTTTTTTAAAAATTTGTTGTTGGATATTGTAAAATTTCAATGAATAGCCTAGACCTACTGGTCTCTAGCTATCTGTCAGGAGTCAGTTTCACAAAAATACTTACGAATAAGATTGATCGTAAGTCATGAACAATTCTGTATACTTACAATCAGTCTTAATCATAAATTTTTTGTGTGAAACTGACTCCTGTACCAATAGCACACAAATTTTCCATCACTGAACTTCATTGCAATTGATGTGAAGTTTTTCCTAGGTCTCTTAATTTGTGTATTTGTATATACATTGGGAACTACTATACCCTTTAATAAAATTCTAGTTTAACAAATTGCTTGGAATATCAAGCTTTTAATCTAATAAAAATATCTATCCTGATCTATTATAAAATATATTGGATGTCTATATATATATTCTAAAAGATACCTTTACAGGAGAATTATTGGTTCAACCACTAGAAAAGGCTCCCCTAAATAAATACCCTCTACCCCCTAACAATGGCCTCACTGAATCAACCACTATTTCTAGATTGGAAAATAAAACTTATATTTCCCATTTACTGTGGATTCATTTATATTTGTGGATACCAATTTTCGCGTATTGAGGAAAAATAGTATTTTCGTGGATACTGGATTTCGTTGTTTTTGCCTAAATCAGCATTCAAGCCTATAGACAATTTGTACTTCAACAATGAACATATATATTCATGGTTTACCTTTACCCACGGAAATTGGTAACCAGCAAATAATAATGAATTCACAGTAATGATATTTCACTATAATGATTTAAAACACAAATTTGCATCATCAAAATATAATAAAATAGAATTATGAATACAACCTTACAAGAGAATGATGCATCAGTAGGACAATTTGTCTGATACCCAGTAAGGGCAATCTGAATCTTAACCTTAATATTTTTCTTCCCTTTAAAAAGTACAGACTTTATATAACAGACCTGCCATCTTTCCAAATTAAGTGGTCTTGACCTGTCACTTGAATTCTCAATACTATGACCTACATATCCCAAAAAAGGCATTCAAAAGAGCTAAAAAATCATTTAAGCAAATATATAATCATTCTACACCTTAGTATATTAGATTGAAAACACCTATAACATGTACAAAAGATGCATTAGGTTCTCTTGTGCTTAAAATGCCCAATGGAGATTTTGAAAAGTTGGCAAGCATGAACAGCTTATTTGCCTTGTTCACGTGTTATAATTTATTCAACTAATGATAAATAACTATAAACTAAAAAAGGCAGTAATTGTCTGTAAAAGCTGGAATATGGCAATTTTCAGCATTTACAATAAATGCTAAGTGCCTGAGTAACTCTATTGAAAGAAGCTTAAGTTTTGACATATCCTGCCCTATCCCCGTTCCCCAATAATAACAGTATCCTTCTAATGCAAATGTTTTCAATATTAACTTTAAACCATTTATTTCCTTCTACATTTAAATAAATTCTGATTACAATTCTTCTTTTCTGCCACTGTCAGAATTGTATTTATCGACAAAAGAACTCAAACTGTTTAAGTCTCTTCCTCCACTGTATTCTTCCTTCTTCTCTCCATCCTTAAACATGAGTAATGTAGGATAACCTCTGACCTGGAAGTAGAAAATAACATGTTTATTTCATCATCATCTGGGTTTGTATACAAATGATAGACTACACACACTGAAGCAAAGTTCTTGTCAGCCTGTTTCATCTGCATAGATATACAAGATTTAGAGGTTGCACTTTGTAAATACAGCTGTTTCACAAACTACACCTCTTTTGGGGAGATATATAATATACATAGATATTTTGTTTTGTTTATGTACTGGTTCCCAGATATGATCTCTATGTTTCATCTCATAGAGACATTACTTGGAAATGTCACCAGTATAAATACACATGGATAGTGGCGAAATTGAATTCTAAGGAGGACCAAAAGTGAAGGCAGGGGGAGTACAGAATTTTAGTATAAATTTAAACTCTTAGAAGTTCGGGGCATATAAATGTTGAAAATATGCTGCACAGCCCTATATTTTAAGCCGTAAAGGGAGTTCCTATGGGAAATTGCATTGTCTATATTTAAAGAAGTGCAACCTATAAGCATGTTTCTGAGAAGTATTTACAGAAGTTACTAAGTAAAATAATAAAATGCTTCGCTGGGGCGCAGCTTGATACGACCGCAGAGGTCAAACCCTGAACAGTTGGGGCAAGTATGGACACAACATTCAAGCTTGATACAGCTCTGACTTTGGATTGTTATTAAATATTTGACACAGCATAGGTTTCTGACACAGAAAGAATGTGGTCTAAGAACTTGAATTTTTTTTAATTTACCTATTATGGTCCAATGTCCAAAATCAAAATACATGGTTAGATTCAGCATATCAAAGAACCCCATATATTCAATTTTTGTTAAAATCAAACAAAGTTTAATTTTGGACCCCAACTTGGACAAACTTGAAAACTGGGCCCATAATCAAAAATCTAAACACATGTTTAGATTCAGCATATCAAAGAACCCCAAGAATTCAATTTTTGCTAAAATCAAACTAAGTTTAATTTTGGACCCTTTGGACCTTAATGTAGACCAATTTAAAAAACGGGACTTAAAATTAAAAATCAAAATACGCGGTTAGATTTGGCATATCAAAGAACCCCAATAATTCAATTTTTGATGAAATCAAACAAAGTTTAATTTTGGACCCTTTTGACCTCAATATGAACCAATTTGATAGCGGGACCCACAAATAAAAAATCTAAATTCATGGTTAGATTCAGCACATCAAAGAACCCCATATATTCAATTTTTGTTGAAATCAAAAAAAGTTTAATTTTGGACCCCAACTTGGTCCAACTTGAAAACTTGGCCCATAATCAAAAATCTAAACACATGTTTAGATTCAGCATATCAAAGAACCCCATATATTCAATTTTTGTTGAAATCAAACAAAGTTTAAATACTGGACCCTATCTTGGACCAACTTGAAAACTGGGCCCATAATCAAAAATCTAAACACATGTTTAGATTCAGCATATCAAAGAACCCCAAGAATTCAATTTTTGCTAAAATCAAACTAAGTTTAATTTTGGACCCTTTGGACCTTAATGTAGACCAATTTAAAAAACGGGACTTAAAATTAAAAATCTAAATACGCAGTTAGATTTGGAATATCAAAGAACACCAATAATTCAATTTTTGATGAAATCAAACAAAGTTTAATTTTGGACCCTTTTGACCTCAATATGAACCAATTTGATAGCGGGACCCACAAATAAAAAATCTCAATTCATGGTTAGATTTAGCACATCAAAGAACCCCATATATTCAATTTTTGTTGAAATCAAAAAAAGTTTAATTTTGGACCCCAACTTGGACCAACTTGAAAACTGGGCCCATAATCAAAAATCTAAACACATGTTAAGATTCAGCATATCAAAAAACCCCAAGAATTCAATTTTTGTTAAAATCAAACTAAGTTTAATTTTGGACCCTTTGGACCTCAATGAAGACCAATTTAAAAAACAGGACCCAAATTAAACATCTAAAAACACGGTTAGATTTGGCATATCAAAGAACGCCAATAATTCAATTTTTGATGAAATCAAACAAAGTTTAATTTTGGACCCTTTTGACCTCAATATGAACCAATTTGATAGCGGGGCCTACAAATAAAAAATCTAAATACATGGTTAGATTCAGCATATCAAAGAACCTCATATATTCAATTTTTGTTGAAATCAAACAAAGTTTCATTTTGGACCCCAATTTGGACCAACTTGAAAACTGGGCCCATAATCAAAAATCTAAATACATGTTTAGATTCAGCATATCAAAGAACCCCATATATTCAATTTTTGTTGAAATCAAACAAAGTTTAAATACTGGACCCTATCTTGGACCAACTTGAAAACTGGACCCATAATCAAAAATCTAAACACATGTTTAGATTCAGCATATCAAAGAACCCCAAGAATTCAATTTTTGTTAAAATCAAACTAAGTTTAATTTTGGACCCTTTGGACCTTAATGTAGACCAATTTAAAAAACAGGACCCAAAATTAAAAATCTAAATACACGGTTAGATTTGGAATATCAAAGAGCCCCAATAATTCAATTTTAGATGAAATCAAACAAAGTTTAATTTTGGACCCTTTTGACCTCAATATGAACCAATTTGATAACGGGGTCCACAAATAAAAAATCTAAATACATGGTTAGATTCAGCATATCAAAGAACCCCATATATTCAATTTTTGTTGAAATCAAACAAAGTTTAATTTTGGACCCCAATTTGGACCATAATGTAGACCATTTTGAAAACTGGACCCAAAATTAAAAATCTAAATACACTGTTAGATTCGGCATAACAAATAAATAAATGTGATCAAAGATTTTACAAATCTAATGCGCCATACTGTGCAATTAAAGATTACTTCTTGAAATTTTTCAATATTTGAAATTTGAAAAAAAAAATAATATTTGAAGAATAATTCTTTTTAATTTCTGAAATCTGAAATGAGAAAAAATTGACCCCCCACAATTTCTTTTTATCCCCCCCCCCCCTTTTTCCCCAAAAAAATTCTTTCCCTCAAGATATGGTCATAATCTCAATTCAAATTTCCAATGGAGTTGGCAACCATAATTACCCATTTAAATTTACCATAGTGCTAACTTAATCTATTTTATAATAGAATTAAAAATATAGTGTCAAATCTTTCATATGGATTTTTTTGTAAAAAAAAATGATGCAACATTTGCAGATATTTTTACTGGTCTTCCTTTATAAATATGCATTTCTTTAAACATAATTTAAAAGCAGTGTAAGGGAAGTAACCAAAACGTTGTATTTGGATTACCTCCCTTACACTGTTTTAAATTATCTTTATTGTTCATTAACCATTACTTTATACATAATTTAAAAGCAGTGTAAGGGAGATAATTTCAATGATGTATTTGATTTATCTCCCTTACACTGCTTTAAATTATGTTTTGTACTAAAGTATTTGTCCATTAACCAGGACAACCTTGTTTTTCCCCCTTTTTTGCCCCTAATTCCTAAACGGTTTGAGCCATAACCCCCCAAAGCAAATCCTAACCATCCCTTTGTGGTATGGAAACTTGTAGTATAATTTCAGAGAGATCCATACACCGTTCCACAGTTATTGTCTGGAAACTAGAAAATGCTTATTTTTGGCCCCTTTTTGGCCCCTAATTCCTTAACTGTTGGTACCATAACCCCCAAAATCAATCCCAGCCTTCCTTTTGTGGTATTTAACCTTATGGTAAAATTTCAAAAAGATCCATTCACTTAAACTAAAGTTAGAGTGCGAAAACCAAAGTGTCTTCGGACGACGACGCCGGACGACGACGACGCCAACGTCATACCAATATACGACCACAAAATTTTTTTGCGGTCGTATAAAAACCATACAACTAATCTTCCGTGAGAAACTCATGAATTACAATGATTTTGAAATATAACTTACAAAGAAATACAAAACTAGAGGATAGTGATTAGAGCCAAGCAAATCAAATTATAACTCTTCTAAGATGCAATCATTGTTATTCGATTCAAACTTAGCTTATTCCCACAGAAGGCTGAAATTTTGATGGACCACTAAATTAACAATGACTTTCAATGTAAGATTTTCTTTCTTGTTCCCGACACACCATTCAGTAGTGGTGAATTATCATGCCAAGTTTCATAACTGAACTCCAAGGGGTTTTAAAGTTAGAGAGCAGAAACAATTTTTGTACATATGCACAGAGGTGACTAAGATGAACCAAGTTTTTGACCTTGACCTTCACTGTACTTGACACACCTTCGATAAGTGGTAAACAATCATTCCAAATTTCATTAACATTCTTTAAAATTTTGAAAGTAAGAGAGCCGAAAGATTTGTGACAGCAACCACATGTCCAGACAGATCGAAATGCTGATTACTAAAGGACTTCTGCCAATTGATTTGTGGGGCCTTGATAAACAAACACATATATAAGAAAAATTCAAATGATATATTGTTATGAATAAATCATTACGAGTAAAAATCATAAATTTATACAGTTTTGACATCATACAAAGTACCTCGACAATGTATGAATATTCAAGTGCGACAAATATGAATATAATATATACACTTCTTACTATTCCAAACAGTTCTTTTTAATAATTTTTTTAACCGAACTTTTACTTGAGATAAATTCTGAAAGATTGATGGTAAGTAATTCCATTTAAAAGATCCTGAAAAATATATGATAATAAAATGAATAAAGCATGATGTGAAATTTGAAGTTTACCTGATTTTCTTTGCAAATATCTTTATATACGGTACAATCCACTTTAGCTATTTTCACTGTCTCCATACCCTCAAATTTCTTAGATAAGTCTTCCCAAATTGGAGCAAGATTTTTACAGTGTCCACACCTAAAACAAAAGTTGAAAAGATTAGAATTTTTTTTAACATAAAACAGAGCTGTTTACATTTTTTCATTAAAATACATTTCGAACACAGGACGAGACTTGAGTAGGGTTCCGTAATTAAAATCAATATTCTATTCCTAGGCAGAACTTGAATAAATAACCAGGTGTTCAACCCAACTCAAACATATTATGCAGGAGCATGAACAAACTTCTGTGGTCAAAAACAAGAGATCAACGCCAGGTAGACAAACTTCATACCAAAATTTATGATCAAGGAGACTTTTTCTTTCCTTGATGGTGATGTTTCATTGGCTGTTTCTTACAGAAGGTATATAGATAAAAGAAGATGTGGTATGAGTGCCAATGAGACAACTCTCCATCCAAGTCACAATTTATAAAAGTAAACCATTATAGGTCAAAGTACGGTCTTCAACACAGAGCCTTGGCTCACACCGCACAGCAAGCTATAAAGGGCCCCAAAAATTACTAGTGTAAAACCATTCAAACGGGAAAACATATAAATTTCAAAGTGTGTTTGATATGCTGGTGTTTGCAGTGATATACTTGTAGTATACTAATAAAATTGAGAACGGAAACAGGAATGTGTTAAAAAGACAACAACCCGACCAAAGAGCAGAAAACAGCCCAAGGTCACCAATGGGTCTTCAATACAGCGAGAAAATCCCGCACCCAGAGGCAGGCTTCAGCTGGCCCCTAAACAATAATTTATACCTGATTAGCAAATAATGGACGTCACACTTTACTAACTCACCATGGTGCAAAGAATTTGACGAATGTAACTCCATCACTTATGGTGGTTTGGAAGCTTTCTGAATCCAACTCTAAAACAGGAGACTGAAATAAAAAAAAAAGGCTTACAATCATACCTTTATTAAAAAGACTCACAAATAGCTATGATTAATGCAAATTTCCTTTGTTTCAGTTAAACATGGTACAATGCATATGATACAATCAATCTTTTGTCCTAGTTCATTAATATCTTAATATTGTAAAACTGTAAAATTATTCACAGACATAAAATACCTTTCTATTTACCCTTTTAAAATAAAAAGGTTAAGTAAAAAAGATCATAAATTGTCTCCCTTTAATTAAATTTAAGATGAAGGGAGATAATTTCATTTGTCTTATTTGTTAACCTGGCCATAAGAGATTTTCAAAGAAAGAAGAGAAAAAAATATTTCCAGAAAATTAACATTTTGCAGTTTTTTGAGTGAATGTTGGTCTTTTACTGAAAATGACTGTCTATTTGAACTATTTCTATGAAAACATGTGGGTATGCAACTATCCAACCTAATAAATTTTCTTATGCAGAAAATATAAAAACCACATAAAAAAAGTAAAATGTTCAGTTTCTCTATAAAAATTTCAAGTCTCATTAATATCATAACTGTAAATTCAGAAATTAAAACATGCATTTATCATCACAACTGCTGAACAATCAACACAAATTTGAGTTAAATCATTGCGATTTCAGGAAATATTGGAATACTAATAATGCTATAAATATTTCAAATGACATTTTTTATTTTTTGTGACACCTATCTCATAGCAATTTTCACAATAATAAAAACATCACAAAAATTCCTGAATTTACAAATTATAAATAATCACCAACATACCTTAAATTCTTCCACAATTTCAGGTGGGATTTCTTCTTTCATATCACCAGTAAACACAAATTTATCAAGGAATGTTTCCAAACTGGGTAAATCTCTTCCTCCACTATACTCTTCTTTCCTCTCTCCGTTCTTATATACTATTAATGTAGGATAACCTCTGACCTGCAAACAATTCATATTCATCATATCAAAATAAATAATCTTATTTTACTAAAAAGCTTTAACAGTATTACACAATTTTAAATAAGCACAAAAATATGTAGAAAGACATACTGCATTTGAGCACAAGAAAATTGAGGAGAAAATGACCTTTCGCAAAATTAATCTTTGACTGCTGACCTTTTATCTGTACATTAATTCAATGAAGTTAATGTGACAAAAGTTGTGCCAATAAGCTTCAATTGAACTGAACTAGTGTATTAGTGTACAGTGGTGTATTTGAATGTTATTGAAAACCCTGGAATCAATACCAATATAAATGAAAGAACATTTGGTATACTGTAAAATCAGGATTATTGCAAGGTTTTTATTAATGTGAATAATATGACTGGGTGAGTATCGCAATAATAAGAACTCGCATTCTAATATCTGATCATATATCTGTATGAAGTTTTTCCTGAAATCGCAATAATTAATCTCGCATTTATGTCCATTTTTCAAAAAACGCAATAATAAATGGACACAATAATTTCTGAATTTACAGTATATATATATATGTCAATTAGACAGCAACTAACAACCAATACCTTATTTTCCTGACATAAGTCTTTATGAACCGTACAGTCCACCTTGGCAATCTGTACACTTTCTATATCAACATACTTCTTGGACAAATCTTCCCAAGTAGGAGCCAGTCTTTTACAATGTCCACACCTTCAAAATAATAAATATGAGGCTAAAGATGATATGTGCATATACATGCATGTGTCAAAGTTTAAATCAAAATTCAACAATTATGGATGGATTATGCATGGATTGTTTAGAAAGGTCAATGGCCAAGATACTAATAGCATAAAAGTATGAGAGAATTTGATTGATATGAAGTAAATCATTAATTTCTTTGTAGCTTAGATCTTTCCCAAGATATCTTTATTTTTGCCCCTTATGGACATGGCACTAATGAGACAGGTGACTACTGCAAAACATCCACAATTATTGGTTTACTTGCACATTTTAAGAATCTAAATATATTGGCAATGATTAATTTAGTTTTCCTCTCATTACGCAGTATTTTATCAAATATCAATGGTCTATTATTAAAGAAAAAATATTCTAATATGGTTTCAGAAAAATAAATAAGCAATGACATAACTCAATAAACTAATAACTCAAGTTTCTCTAGGAAGGCCCAGAACCATTCAAATCTTTTTACTACTTTTAAACCATGCTCCATTTCTTTAAAGCACAGTTATAAATACTGTAATACATTTTTTTTGGTTATTGTTCAAAAAAGATATAAAGATATAATTCAACATACCATGGAGCAAAGAACTTGACAAATGTAACTCCATAATCAATGGCTGCTTTAAAACTGCCTGCAGTTAAATCAACAACACCATCCTGAAACACAGGTTAAAATGCTCAAATTATTCTTTATTAATCAATTGTTACATTACATAAAAATTTCATACGATTCCGAATCTTTGATTGGCTGAGGCATTCCAAAAGTTAATTTTTGTTGTATGAAAAAAAAATGCAACAAATTAAATTTATAGTTTGTTTCTAATTGCAAAAGTCACGAAAATAAATCGTTCAAGAAAATTAGTTGGATTACAGTATCTTAAAATCTGATCAATTTTATAAAAATGTAAACCAACTTATTGTTGCCCTATTCTTTATTGCACATTAAGTATTCAGCTGAATTCATGGCAGTTTATCATCATAGTTTTCAAATTTTTTTATGAATTCATATTAGGGAAGACCAAAGTTTTAGAGATTTGTATTCACATTATTATTCTATTCATGAAAGTCGCTAAAATTAATTGCTTGCTAAAGTAAGTTGGTTTACAGCGTAAAGTTGCCAATGTCAAAGTCAAGAGCTTCCCAACATGTTAATATTTATCTCACTGAGTGTAATTGTACTCATCTTCATGTGCTTTTCCCAAGTCAGGAACCTTAACAGGAATTGTTGTATGTTATATTTTCTTGTTATTGATGGCAAATCTTGGATTAATTCTGTTAATCTATTCACACCTTTTAAAGACTCGGGATGATTTCGAGCTTGACATTTTAGAGATAACTGTATTGTATTTGAAGCTTTGCGGACATCCATCTGTAGTTTTACTGTCGCAAATTTAGTTTACCTGGAGACGCGCAGCGCAGACAGGTAAACGATTATTTGCGACAGTAAAACTACCGATGGATGTCCGCAAAGCTTCAAATACAATACAGTTATCTCTATTCTAATGCAAAATAAACAAATCATTCAATTTTAGTCATTATTATAGTGTAAATTTTCATTAAAGGAAAATCCCGCGAAATGATGTTATCTTCTTTGGCTCCTAAACTAGGTGATGTTATAGGTATGCTTCCAGCATGAAACGTTTAACACCGTGCGTTTTCTGGCTTCTTGTCCGCTTCAGAATGTAATAAAATTTGATAAAAAGAAGATTTCTAGGTGCAAAATGTGAGTTTTTTTGCTTATTATTGGAGAAATTACATGTCAATACATTCTGGAATTCAAAATGTCGGCTTCCTTAGTTACAGACAGGGAGATAGAGAATTTTACGCTTATTGTCATCCAATCAGAACCATTGATACAAAATAATTGCATTAGAAATTGTGTTGACAACTGTCAATTATTAAAGACTGTATGATGCACTCTAGTTGTGTTTTGGTATTTTCTGTTGTTTGTTAGCTGTCTCAGAAAAAAATAATGGCACATACTTTACTATCCTGAGATGGAACTTTTTCTGGCACTTTTTCCTCTTCTCTCTCAGCATTTTCATCTTTCTGGTCAACCATCCTTTTGATAAATTCCTTAAAGGCACCCAGATCTCTTTGGCCTGCATACTTTTCAACCTGCAAAATATTTGGTCTCTGTTGATCAATTTAAATAGAACGGCATTGGGAGTCAGATGCAATGTCATAAATATTACTGTAAAAGTGGAAATTATCGCACATTGTTCTTTTTTGACATTTCAATTAATACAAAAAATTTCGCACAAGGGTTAAATTGCAGCATCAATACAAAACCCTGTCCTTCACACCAATATTATTCCTTTTTTAAGTGTTTGCGAAAATAACCACAACACGTATTTCCATCTTTACAGTTCAATTATCTTCTGAAAAATGACAGTTTATCAATATTTGCATTTATCCTTTTTACATACCAGTATACAAACCTTTTGTCATGTGACATGAATAGCTTGTACAGTGTTCCAGCTTGAATCTCAGGGCAGAAGGGTGCTAGTTGTCTGAAAGGGCACTTTAGCGTTATAACCCAGATTTTAAGGGCACTGTTGGACGGTGTATAAATTACCTTGAATATTGCTAGGCTCATGCAGCTGGAGAACATTAGTTGTATTTAAACCATATTCAGAAATTAATGTGTTCTTGATGTTGGTTCAGGTAAGAATTTTTTTTTTATCAAATTATCATACCATGAAGCAAAGCATATCATTTTGATGTTAATCTAAACAAACTTGTACATTTGATAAGGAAAATAATCATCAGAAATTTCAATGTTTTATAACTTATACCAGTCTATAAAAATAAACAAGTAGTTTTGAAAGATGGAGTTATACATGCAAAATTGAATGTTTAATGTAATTAAATTATCTACATTTAAATTACTTGTTCAAACATATAGTATATATTTGAGAGTTATTTATTATCATTTGAATTGTTACAAAAAAGTATTTTTAAGTGCACATCAAAGTGCTCCTCAGTAAGGAGTTTTATAAATATAACAGGTGAGACTGTAGATGATCATACTATATTGATGCAATAATATATTGCAGAAGGTATAAACAGTTACTTTTTTCTCCATCATTGTTAAAAATAAATTTGTTGAGTGCTCCTATGTCAGGAGGATTATAAAATACAAGAAGTAAAACAGGAAGTGAATCTTGTTATGTTCAAAGTACAAATTTCTTTGATTCTTCTTTAAATTTCATAATCATGGTTATGAAACAAAACATTTTTTACCAATTAAGTCAAAACTATGTATGCCTTTAAAATTGTTTAAGATTATATTTTTTATGTTATGCCTACTGAAATATTTTTTTTCAGGTGTACATGCTGTACATAAACATTACAAATGGATAACATGTGGACATTTCATTCTGTATTAAATATCTAGTATTTGTTCAATTATCTTAAATCCACTAATTAGCAGTAAACAATCATTAACAAAGGTGATAAAACTGCCAAAGCATTAGGTATTTAACTTAATCCCATTGTCAGTTAATTAGTGTTACACAATCAGGTAACAATTTTACCGGAAACGCCAGTAGGCATGAAATTTGGAAATTTAATTTTTTTGAAAAGGCAGAGGGGTGCATTCTTTTACTTTGGAGGGCAGAAGGGCGGGGATAAGGGCACCAAGGGCGGGCCGCCCTTCTATTTAGGGCAGGCGGGAACACTTTTGTACACCAGATAAAACTTTTTTCATGTGACATGGATACAGCATACAAACCTTTTGCCCATCCTTGAAGAACAACAGAGTAGGATAGCCTCTAACTTCATGGGAACTACACAACTGTTGGCTAACTGTACAATCAACCTGAAAAAAATAAACATTAAGATTCTATGGTTTAACTAATACACTACAATACTGAATTACTGTGGATTAATTATTATTCGTTGAGTACTATTTTTTGTGGATTTGGTTAAGTATAGGTAAACAACAAATTCAAACGTTCAAGGAAGTACACATTATCTCTATGTTTTGTATGTAGACTTTGTCAAAACAACAAAATCAAGTATCCACGAAAATAAAATGTTTCCTCAATCCGTGAAAGAAAATGATTCATCAGTACCAAAAATATTGGACAATACATTTCATGTATGGTTTATTGTATAAATCTTGTTACCACATGTATGGTTTATGATATAAATCTTGTTATCACTTGTACGGTTAATCATGTTAATGGTATAAATCTTGTTATCACATGTACTGTTAATGGTATAAATCTTGTTATCACATGTACTGTTAATGGTATAAATCTTGTTATCACATATATGGTTAATGGTATAAATCTTGTTATCACATGTATGGTTTATGGTATAAATCTTGTTATCACATGTATGGTTTATGGTATAAATCTTGTTATCACATGTATGGTTAATCATGTTAATGGTATAAATTTTGTTATCACTTGTACTGTTAATGGTATAAATCTTGTTATCACATATATGGTTAATGGTATAAATCTTGTTATCACATATATGGTTAATGGTATAAATCTTGTTATCACATGTATGGTTTATGGTATAAATCTTGTTATCACATGTATGGTTTATGGTATAAATCTTGTTATCACATGTATGGTTTATGGTATAAATCTTGTTATCACATGTATGGTTTATGGTATAAATCTTGTTATCACATGTATGGTTTATGGTATAAATCTTGTTATCACATGTATGGTTTATGGTATAAATCTTGTTATCACATGTATGGTTTATGGTATAAATCTTGTTATCACATATATGGTTTATGGTATAAATCTTATCACATGTATGGTTTATGGTATAAATCTTGTTATCACATGTATGGTTTATGGTATAAATCTTATCATATGTATGGTTTATGGTATAAATCTTGTTATCACTTGTACGGTTAATCATGTTAATGGTATAAATCTTGTTATCACATGTATGGTTTATGGTATAAATCTTGTTATCACATGTATGGTTTATGGTATTAATCTTGTTATCACATGTATCGTTTATGGTATAAATCTTATCACATATATGGTTTATGGTATAAATCTTGTTATCACATGTATGGTTTATGGTATAAATCTTATCATATGTATGGTTTATGGTATAAATCTTGTTATCACATGTATGGTTTATGGTATAAATCTTGTTATCACATGTATGGTTTATGGTATAAATCTTATCACATGTATGGTTTATGGTATTTATCTTGTTATCACATGTATGGTTTATGGTATAAATCTTATCACATGTATGGGTTATGGTATTTATCTTGTTATCACATGTATCGTTTATGTTATAAAATTAACAAACTTTAGAAATAGTAACAGGAGTATCATCATCATCTAATTCCTTGGCTAAATCTTCCCAAATTGGAGCCAAACGTTTACAATGTCCACACCAGGGGGCATAAAACTTTATGAAATGGCTCCCTGTTTCTGTGAAACCAGCAAAGTTTTTATCATTAAGCTCATAAAGTGGTCCTTCCTGTTCCTCTTCATCTTCTTTTTCCTCTTCTCCCTACAAAAAGACTATCATAGTTAGTCAAAATCTCAGGGGTGATGGTCGATTTGTTAATTTGGATTTGATGATACGCTAACCTATATAATTTACTTGCATAGATTGAGGTTTAACTGAAAGGTGAAGCCTTGATGAAGGAAGAGTTCATCTCAACATTAATAATGCAGGAAATATTATCAAAATCCAAATAAATATCCTTGAAATATTTATTGACTCTTTGAGTTGAACTTCACTTTTTCTTTGACAATTGTAATTATGCATTCTGTCCTCCCAAACTTGAAAATTATCTCTTTGAGTCTTATCACTTGCCATGCCTTCGTGTACCCCTACAAGCTCTGCTAAGCTTCAAGATCACTAAAGATGTTTCTTTCAATCTCTGTAACTTACCCATCCTAGCTGTTCTTCAACACAGCTCCGTGAAGTTTCCAGATTCCTCAAGACATGTCTCTTTCTATCCCTCTAACTAGCTGTCGTAGCTGTCCTTAACAAACCTCTTTAAAGCTTCCAGATTCCCAAAGACATGTCTCATTCTATGTCTTACCCTTTATAGCTGTTTCTCAACAAAGCTCTGTAAAGCTTCCAGATCCCTTAAGACATGTCTCTTTCTATCCCTGTAACTTACCAGCTGTAGCTGTTCCTCAACAAAGCTCTGTAAAGCTTCCAGATCCCTTAAGACATGTCTCTTTCTATCACTTTAACTTACCCGCTGTAGCTGTTCCTCAACAAAGCTCTGTAAAGCTTCAAGATCCATAAAGACGTATCTCTTTTTAACTCTGTAACTTACCCGTCCTAGCTGTTCCTCAACAAAGCTATGTAAAGCTTCCAGATTCCCAAAGACATGTCTCATTCTATCTCTTTAACTTACCCTTTCTAGCTGTTTCTCAACAAAGCTCTGTAAAGCTTCCAGATCCCTTAAGACATGTCTCTTTCTATCCCTGTAACTTACCCTTTCTAGCTGTTTCTTAACAAAGCTCTGTAAAGCTTCCAGATCCATAAAGATGTGTTGTTTTTTAACTCCCTAACTTACCCGTCCTAGCTGTTCTTCAACAAAGCTCTGTAAAGCTTCATGATCCCTTAAGACATGTCTCTTTCTATCCCTGTAACTTACCCTTTCTAGCTGCTTCTTAACAAAGCTCTGTAAAGCTTCCAGATCCATAAAGATGTGTTGTTTTTTAACTCCCTAACTTACCCGTCCTAGCTGTTCCTCAACAAAGCTCTTTAAGCTTCCAGATCCATAAACATGTGTCACTTTTTAACTCTCTAACTTACCCGTCCTAGCTGTTCCTCAACAAAGCTCTGTAAAGCTTCCAGATCCCTTCCTCCTTTGTATCTGACAGCACCATCTTTACCATTAGAAAAGAACTTAATTGTTGGGTAACCAGTAACATCATTGTCGGCACAGAGGGCTGTCTCTACAGTACAATCAACCTGTAATGGAAACAAGGATAAAACACACTGCAGACAACAGTTCAAAAGGCAAAATCAGGTTTTTACTTTATAATGATTAGAGTAATATACATTGTTAAAGCAAAAAAAACACATAACTCCTGAATGGCAAAAGTGAAAACAGGAAACCAATCTTGACCTCCAGTTTGTTATGACTATTGAGAAACAACACATTAAATCTGACTAAAATATGATGATCTGATGATTACAGATGAACCCTAACATTAAATGGTAAATCCAATACTCAATTAAACATGTTGAATGTGACCTTTATTTTATGCTTCATAACAATGTGTTAAAATGTAAACAGGTTTTGCCAAGGGGTATTTTTTTATCACTAGGGAACTAAAAATTAAATTATCAAAATTTTGAGGTAACCAAGAAAAATAACTCTTTAACAGTAAATGTCAAAACCAACAGAATCAGACTTCACCTGTATTATCCAGTCCATGTGTTAAAATTTCAACAGATTTGGTCAAGTGATATGTTAATTATCATCTAGCAACCCCAAAAATGAATTTCTTTTGGGTTACTAAGGGACATAACTCCCTTAAATGGTAAATGACAAGGAGTCCGAATATCTGTACATCCTTAAACTGTTTTTTAATCATCATCTAGAAACTAAACTTGTAACAGATGAATGAACACAGACGGTTGTGTGCATCACCATATACCTCCATCTTCAAGGCAGAGGTATAAAAAGGATAATGGATCAAGTATTCTCAAGTTATCGAGTTGAAACAACATAAAGTGCCATTTCCAAAACAATCAAACATTCCTTGCTATAGTAGTCTATCGAAGGACACTTTGATCGAAAATAGCTAAGATTTTAGGGTTTTTTTTTCATTTTTTTATAGAACTTGGCCCTAAAAAAACAAATATTCAATGGGAGTTTCCTTTTCACATATTCAAGGAATTGGACTTACATTTCAAAATATTAACTTCTTGCTTCCTAAACCTTTCTCTAAATTGTGCTTTGAATCCCTGTTTAATTCCTTGCAATCTAAGTGAATTCTGTATACCTAGACCTTAAAATTTGTAAGGGGTATCATGGAACCCTGTGTCTCGCCTGCGATTGCTGCAGTCAGTCTAAAAGTGCAATGTTGACTTAAGAACCTAAATATTGCCTCCGCCAACGCTGACAACGGAATCTAGGATCTCTATGTCTCTATTTCGCAAAATAAATTTCGCAGGCTGGACAACAAGCAGCAGGGCAAGTAAAAACATTTTGTATCATAATTTTTTAACTCCATGATAAAAATCACATTATATGTCAAAGTTTGATTTTTCTTTATTAAACTTAGTTTAGAACCTGGACCACCTGAAAGGAGAGTCTAACTTAGCATTACGTCCTAATCACTTTAGAAAGGCAAGTTCCAATAAATCTAAGAAATTTGTTTATACTTAAATATTTGTTTTTGATTTTTTAATCCCAAAGATGTTTGAAAATTTAAAGAATATTCACTTTAATTATATAATAACAAGAATGTGTCCATAGTACATGGATGCCCCACTCGAACTATCATTTCCTATGTTCAGTGGACTGTGAAATTAGGGTCAAAACTCTAATTTGGCATTAAAATTAGAAAGATCATATCATAGGGAACATGTATACTAAGTTTCAAGTTGATTGGACTTCAACTTCATCAAAAACTACCTTGACCAAAAACTTTACCCTGCCCATTCGCACTACCATTTTCTATGTTCAGTGGACTGTGAAATTGGAGTAAAAACTCTAATTTGGCATTAAAATTAGAAGGATCATATCATAGAGAACATGTGTACTAAGTTTCAAGTTGATTGAACTTCAACTTCATCAAAAACTACCTTGACCAAAAACTTTAACCTGAAGCGGGACAGACGGACGAACGAACAGATGAACAGACCGAAAAAAACATAATGCCCCTATGTGGGGCATTATAAAAGAACAATGCCGCTTCATGCCCTTCTCCCCAACACTTTTATATCTTGGTTTCTATGTAGTGTTTGTCTTTGTGTTGTATTACTCTTAGCCACATTGTAATCTATCTTTTCTTCCAATCATTGTTTTTTATTGTCTCCCTTTGTACAAATATATTTTCCCTGTTTCTACACTTTGACACAAATACTGGTATATAAAATCTGTTCTAACATGTTTAATTGATTTTTTTCAACTTTTATAAAATATTTAATGAATCTTCCTGAATTCTAACACCCGATATTATAATATTTGCATTTTGTCAATAGTTTACTACTGCTCTTGTATACAATATAGTCACACAGATGTTGCCTATATCTTCTCTTTTGTTCTTTAATATGTGTGTCTTGAGTTTGATTAATTTTTCATTCATCTTAGCTCAGCACTGGGAACAAAAAGCTTCTTTGTGAAAAAAATCAGTTTATTTTATTTAACAAACGAAAACAACACGTTATAAATTTCATGCTTCTGAAGCAATTATTTAACAAGAATTAGTTTGCAAAGTTAAATCTATACTTTATCTTATATTAGGTATTACTATGACTAACTAAGTACACTAATATTTAATTCATTAACAGATTAATGTTCATAAAAATGTTAATATCTACCATTTAGTGCAGTGAAGAGAAAATTGGTAACACATAAAAAGTTAAAATTTTGTTAAATGTTTAAGTACATATTACATGTACAAGCAAGTGCTTTACTGATACCAATTTCAACTGAAAATTATATATTGTTTATTTACAACATGATTTAATTATCGTTCTGTGGGTTCCTAATTTCAAGGATTTTGATCCAGAGTCAGATTTAGGGAAAGGGGCGTTATGGAGCTACACATACATGGTTAATGTATAATAGACTTTTACAAAGTCCAAATCCTTACGTTGCCTTGGTGGGCTATCTCTTTTTCAAAATCCTAGATTCACAACTGAGCTAGTTCATGGGTAATGGTGAATCCCATTTTTAAAGTGTTTAAACAAAATACAAATAGCTATCATCCTGTATGCAAAATTTGTCTTAACCATTAACAGGGCATTAGCTGTCAATTCATGTTCATCGATTTGACTCAAATTCTCATATTTGATTTATTACATACTAAAATGTATATATCCTAATTACAATAAAATGCTTCGCTGGGGCGCAGCTTGATACGACCGCAGAGGTCGAACCCTGAACAGTTGGGGCAAGTATGGACACAACATTCAAGCTTGATACAGCTCTGAATTTGGATTGTTATTAAATATTTGACACAGCATAGGTTTCTGACACAGAAAGAATGTGGTCTAAGAACTTGAATTTTTTTAATTTACCTATTATGGTCCAATGTCCAAAATCAAAATACGTGGTTAGATTCAGCATATCAAAGAACCCCATATATTCAATTTTTGTTAAAATCAAACAAAGTTTAATTTTGGACCCCAACTTGGACAAACTTGAAAACTGGGCCCATAATCAAAAATCTAAACACATGTTTAGATTCAGCATATCAAAGAACCCCAAGAATTCAATTTTTGCTAAAATCAAACTAAGTTTAATTTTGGACCCTTTGGACCTTAATGTAGACCAATTTAAAAAACGGGACTTAAAATTAAAAATCTAAATACACGGTTAGATTTGGAATATCAAAGAACCCCAATAATTCAATTTTAGATGAAATCAAACAAAGTTTAATTTTGGACCCTTTTGACCTCAATATGAACCAATTAGATAACGGGGTCCACAAATAAAAAATCTAAATACATGGTTAGATTCAGCATATCAAAGAACCCCATATATTCAATTTTTGTTGAAATCAAACAAAGTTTAATTTTGGACCCCAATTTGGACCAACTTGAAAACTGGGCCAAAAATCAAAAATCTAAATACATGTTTAGATTCAGCATATCAAAGAACCTCATATATTCAATTTTTGCTAAAATCAAACAAAGTTTAATTTTGGACCCTTTGGACATTAATGTAGACCAATTTGAAAACTGGACCCAAAATTAAAAATCTAAATACACTGTTAGATTCGGCATAACAAATAAATAAATGTGATCAAAGATTTTACAAATCTAATGCGCCATACTGTGCAATTAAAGATTACTTCTTGAAATTTTTCAATATTTGAAATTTGAAAAAAAAATAATATTTGAAGAATAATTCTTTTTAATTTCTGAAATCTGAAATGAGAAAAAATTGGCCCCCCACAATTTCTTTTTATCCCCCCCCCTTTTTCCCCCAAAAAAATTCTTTCCCTCAAGATATGGTCATAATCTCAATTCAAATTTCCAATGGAGTTGGCAACCATAATTACCCATTTAAATTTACCATAGTGCTAACTTAATCTATTTTATAATAGAATTAATAAAAATATAGTGTCAAATCTTTCATATGGATTTTTTTGTAAAAAAAAAAGATGAAAACATTTGCAGATATTTTTACTGGTCTTCCTTTATAAATATGCATTTCTTTAAACATAATTTAAAAGCAGTGTAAGGGAAGTAACCAAAACGTTGTATTTGGATTACCTCCCTTACACTGTTTTAGATTATCTTTATTGTTCATTAACCATTACTTTATACATAATTTAAAAGCAGTGTAAGGGAGATAATTTCAATGATGTATTTGATTTATCTCCCTTACACTGCTTTAAATTATGTTTTGTACTAAAGTATTTGTCCATTAACCAGGACAACCTTGTTTTTCCCCCTTTTTTGCCCCTAATTCCTAAACGGTTTGAGCCATAACCCCCCAAAGCAAATCCTAACCATCCCTTTGTGGTATGGAAACTTGTAGTATAATTTCAGAGAGATCCATACACCGTTCCACAGTTATTGTCTGGAAACTAGAAAATGCTCATTTTTGGCCCCTTTTTGGCCCCTAATTCCTTAACTGTTGGTACCATAACCCCCAAAATCAATCCCAACCTTCCTTTTGTGGTATTTAACCTTATGGTAAAATTTCAAAAAGATCCATTCACTTAAACTAAAGTTAGAGTGCGAAAACCAATATGTATTCGGACGACGACGCCGGACGACGACGACGACGACGACGCCAACGTCATACCAATATACGACCACAAAATTTTTTTGCGGTCGTATAAAAAGTCTAAAATAAACAATTAACAATGCTTACACCCCAGTTCTATTGTTTTACTTCATAGTTTCTATTTCTGAAACAAGTGTAAATTGAATAGATCTATTGTTACGAATAACAATGGATTTTGACCACAGGGTGTGACGAGCGGGGTTTCTGGAAACCCCTGCTTCTACATCCCGAAAACAAAGTCCATTGTTATTCATTACAATAGTAATCGATTATTTTCTAAATAGCATGAACATAAGAAATTACTAATAGTGTTCACTACAAGTTGTTTCAAGATATTAAAAAGCACATTTTAGGAAATTTCAATAGCGAAAATATTAAGCATCTATTTTGAATAAAAAAAATCCTTCAAGAAAAAATAATTTGATTGATAGCGTTGAAAATCTAAATAAAATTGTTCACGATTTGCGAGAAAAAAAATTTCTGACTCCGACAAAAAACCATACCCCCCCCAAACCCCTTTGAAGTTAAATGGTTGCTCCCTTAATACTCCTTTGCTTGAAGGTAAAATTTTTGATCTTAGTCATATGTCTCGATTCTAAAGCATTGATCTTAAAAAAAAACACAGATTCTAACTCCCGGACCCCCTCCTCCCCCCCCCCCCCCCACTGAATCCCGGTCGTAGGATTTCTAATCCAGACACACCTATCCCTCAGTGTGTCCGAATATGAATGTTTGTTTATTCTCGAGGAGGGGGGGGGGGGGGCTTTAAAAAAAAAAAAAAAAAAAAAAAAAACCGTAACATAAAAAATACATTTATGATTACCTTCATTAAACTGATACAGGTAAGTACTTTGGGTTATAATATTGCCTTTATCTCTAGTCTCTTCTATCAAATCCAACGCTTGACTCAAAATGTCGTCCGTCTTATACCCCTCTATATTGACAACTGCATACAAGGAGCATGATGTATTTTTTTGTGATAAGAATGCACGAAACGGTCAACCTTGAACTTCTGATCCATATTAGCACCAGGATTTAACGGGAATATGTAAAACAACAAATTTGACATTTGTAAAATCTACTCACTTGTCAAAGTTTGAAAGAACATAGCCAAAGTAAGGATACTAGTGGGGTTTCATGTAAAAAAAAATATTTTTCTCATAATTCATGGTTCGATTTTGTCAATAAATATGCTATCCATTCTTTTTCATTTAATAATCAATGTTAACAAATATAGAGTTTAGCACTGGGTGTAAGTTAGTTATACACCTCGAGATACGGAGGCCGGAGGGGTTTCTTATCCAGACACACCTATCCCTCGGTGTATAACTATTACATGAACTACAATACAACAACAATAACCATACGTTATTTTAAGAGGTTACACAGTTAGCTATATAACTAATCTTCCCTGAGGCCCTCATCATAGAAAAGTATTTACAAAAAATTGTTGAAAAACAAAATTGCAAACATATACATGGCATACATTAGTATAAAAGTTTAGTACAGTTCTGTGTTATGATAATTTTCATTACAACTGCATAAAGTGTTATGAAAAAATAAACATGATAAAATAATCAATATTTAATATTTTTTTAAATTGGCTAATTTCAATAAATGATCCATTATTTTGTATTTGAAAGACTTAACATTTGTAATATTTCATTAATATGTATCAGTATTTCGTATGTATTTTAGTCTAGACACCATCTAATTCATGAGAAAAAATTTTATGGAATGAATCAGTCAACAAAATGGTTAACCCTTGTTTCACTTTCAATATTGAAATTCTTTTCTTTTGAATAGCGAAGCACACCTAGTGCATTCGTAATTCGTCTCCAGCTAAGGGGTTTAATTGAAGGTCACATGAATATGGATTTAATTGAGGTTGAATTATTGACTTGCAAGTCAATAATACATCCGCAATGTTTTTGAGCTTATTTTGACAACTTTGGACCAAACTGACTGCTTATGACTAAATTTTTTATGAAAATTCCACTTTATATAAATACTTGAAACAAATAGAATAGATTTTTTTTTCTAAATCATAGCTGATGCCCCTTTAAATAAATATCCACCAAAATCCATTCCCAAATTTGTTTAAAATTATATCCACACCTATATAAATGGATCCACATTACATAAATATCTCTTTTAAAGTTACTTGAATTGCCTTTATCTCAGTAAAATGAGAGACAGAATTTAGATATCAGACAACCTATAGCACAGACTTTCATACTGTAACAAGAAGTAACAAAATAAACTTTGTAAAGTGGTTAATTATCTTCAGCATGTTCAGTGATGCTCTAGGACAAAATATTTGAATATCCAAACCTAGTACGAACTTTGAAGAGGTGATCAAACCAAAAAGGACCTAAAGTAAAGTAATATCTGGACAAAGAATAAAATACATAAATTATTCACTAACTAAAGGCATAACTGGATAAACTATCAATTAACAAAATTACATAACAATAAAAGATTAAAGGCAGTAAATGCTTTAGGTCATAATCAAGGGACATAGTCATGTACAATAAGTCCTGCTTGGAAAACAAGAGGAGAAATGAAAAATAGAACCTGCATATTTGTCAATTGTTAATTGATATAAAGAACAAAGATTCATACTAGTAACACTTCCTGACCTCGGTATGGGCTTTGCTCATTGTTGAAGGCTGTACAGTGACCTATAGTTGTTAATTTCTAAGTCATTTGGTCTCTAGTGGAGAGTTGACTCATTGGCAATCACATCACATCTTCTTATTTTTATACTCGTCTACAACCTTATCTGACTTCCCCATTGTTAATGTGCACAAAAAACTTTTAGAAAAAAAAGTACTGTCAATTTCTTGAATTTGACATTTTCTATAAGTGTTATGTAGTTAATGTAAGTATATAACCGTGGGTAACATATCTTTTTATAGCTCTGAAGCTATTTCTTGTTTATTGGTAAATTAATATGTAGTGTATAAGGTTAATCTACCACAGGCAAAACATTATACATGAAGTATATATGATGTTCAAGAAAAGTTTGTGTACATTCAAAATCATATTACACAACTTCCTTGATGAGAAAATATAGACAACAATTTAACCTTTTCCTCCATGGAATTCTTTTTTTACATACTTGATTCGCATAGGATTTTTTTATAAAATGCTGAAAATATGCTTACTTTAATGGAATATTAACTGTACCTTACATAGAGCAGTTAGACATTTGAAATTTTTGTCAGTTATACATCTAAGTCAGATCTTTAAAATTTACTAAAAAAAATGTTTTTAGTATTGATGCCATGGTAACAGATTTAGCCAAATATAATGAAAGTGGTTAAATTTTGGTTGAATCTTGTAATATCAATTTATTTCTAAGGAAACAATGAGATAATTGACTGTCTATGTATAATCTGAATGGAAACTTCATTTTCTTCATAAAATTGTCCATTTTTTTTCTCTCATAGCAACAGAATTATTTCCATAGCAACTAAAGAAAATTGTGATTTTAAATTGAAAAAATAATGTTTTTACAGGTTAAATGAGACAACTGATATATTGGAATATATTATGAAAAATTAGGTTATACATTATTTTTTCCCTAGCAACAGTTTCTGTTCATAGCAACCAACTGAAATCCTATATATAATGTAAATGAACAGTTGATGGATAACTATTTTGGTATGATAACAAATGGAAACTGAATATAACAACATTGTTCTTAACAAAGACATATATTTGCTCCGAGTATCCATATAGTACCCATGCTAGCAACAGACTAAAAAGAAGGTGGTTATGCCAACATATTAGTAAATGCATTATAAGTTTAGTTATCAGATATATTGTTTCTATGCAAAAATCTATGATGTTTGTGATATTGTTTAACATAGACCTTCTTGTTACTAGTAGATAACAAGAATGTGTCCATAATACACGGATGCCCCACTCGCACTTGCATTTTCTATGTTCAGTGGACCGTGAAATTGGGGTCAAAACTCTAATTTGGCATTAAAATTAGAAAGATCATATCATAGGGAACATGTGTACTAAGTTTCAAGTTGGACTTCAACTTCATCAAAAACTACCTTGACCAAAAACTTTAACCTGAAGCGGGACAGACGGACGGACGAACGGACAGAAGAACGAACAGATGGACGAACGAACTGACGGACGCACAGACCGAAAAACATAATATCACTCTACTATCGTAGGTGGGGCATAAAAATGAAAATAATAGCATGTGGTATACCGGTAGTTTCCTTTTATCATATTTTTGTACACCATTTGCATTTGGTTTTAGTTGTGTTCAATGGAACACTGACATTATTATTGTTAACTTGCTGATTATGCTTATATGCCTGTTTCTCTTTATAAAGTCCCCTTGAAATTGTAACATCAATCCTGGAATCTATAATGCATTTCTGATCATTGTGATACTCAAGCTAATGAGTTGCATTATTTCCGTATTAATGAAAACCTCGCAATAATTTATTAATTTACAATATTTAATTTACAGGTTAGAATTCTACAGTGAAATAAAGGGAGGTGAAGCTTTTTTAGCAGGAAATATAAATACTCTCTTTCTTTCTGGTATTTCCATATTACCAATAAAATGTTGACTAGAAATTTCAAGAAACATCAACCATCATCATGACTAAATCATTTAAAATTTCATAACAAAATATTAAGCATCTTCTAGATCTGACATGGCTGAGATGTCTTGGACTTTTAAATTCATGCATTTTCCCCATATTTCCTACGTCACAATGCTTTAGTTAGTATGTCACAGTAAGAACCGGCACTGGAACTTAAACAACCAAAAATCAATCAATCAATCAATCAATCAGTAAAAACAAAATAGTTTAAAGACATCAATAATGTCAATTACCCTAATTTATCTCATGTCAGCTTTACTCGTTCATAAAAAAACAAATGAAGTTTGTATACCTTGATAAAGAAATAAACTGACCTTTGCAATGACCACTTCTTGTTCTTCTTTGTCATTAAAAATCTTGGCCAATTCATTCCATGTTGGAGCTAGTCGCTTACAATGACCACACCTGTACAAAAAAATAAAAACAACATTTCTTTATTACTTTATATTTTGGTTAAGTCATTTCATGTTGGAGCTAGTCTTTTACAATCGCCACTGTGCTTCAGAGGTGACCTCTGAAAGAAAAAATGGGGAATGTGTCCATGGGACACAGATGATGCCCCCGCTTGCAAATAACATTATAAAGGGACATAACTCAAGAACCGTAGAAGTGACGCTACCCAAATTTGTACTTGATCAGAGTTTTGTGATAATAAGCATTGTGTATAAATTTCATACCATTTAGTTGAGGCAAACTTAAGAAAGAGAACAGAAAAAATCAGCAATTTTTCCATTTGTAAAGGGGCATAACTCTAGAATGGTAAAAGTGACACCACTAAAATTCAAATTATATCTGTGTTTTGTAGTAATAAGCATTGTGTGTAAGATTCATAAATTTTTGTTGAGGCAAACTAAAGTTAGAGAACGTAAACGAAAAATTCAGCGGTTTTTCAATTTGTAAAGGGGCATAATTCTAGAACGGTAAAAGCGACGCCACCAAAATTTAAACTTGATCTGTGTTTTGTGGTAATAAGCATTGTGTATAAGTTTCCTACCATTTGGTTGTGGCAAACGTAAGAAAGAGAATGTAAACAAAAAAAATTCAGCAATTTTTTCGATTTGTAAAGGGGCATAACTATAGAACCGTAAAAGTGATGCCACCAAAATTCAAACTCGATCTGTGTTTTGTGATAATAAGCATTGTGTATAAGTTTCATAACATTTGGTTGAGGCAAACTAAAGTTAAACGGTTAGCATGACCCAAATATTTCATGACCTCATTGTTTAAACTGATCAAACATTTGAAATTTTGAAAAAATACTGCATTTGAAATCAGATCTTTTGTTTTAAAGTTGAAATAGCCAAAACATTATGCCTTTTATATTAGTATTTAGATGATTTGTTTTGCATTTAGTTGAACTGTTTTAACATTGTACAAAATTGAAATTTCATTTAAAAACTGTAGTAATTTTAGGTAAAAAATTCATAAGCAGTTCATAGTTTGAAGCTTAGCAATTTTTTTAAACTAATTATATAATTATTATCTCAACCTAAAATCTTTCGTTTTCACCTTGTTATCAGCTGAATGGGATACTACATAATTTACCAGCACATATGACATGTTTAATAATACATTCACCAACTGGAAGGTTTGTAAATAGAAGAGTAAATGGAAACGGGGATTGTGTCAAAAAGACAACAACCCTACTAAAGAGCAGAAAACAGCCCAAGGCCACCAATGGGTTTTCAACGCAGCGAGGAAATCCCACACTTTGAGGTTGGCTTCTGCTGGGCCCTAAACAATAAAGTTTATATGTATGTAATAAATTTTCAGGAACAGTAAACTAAATATTTTTTTCTATAATAAAAGTCATTTGTACTACATTGTACTGCAAGCGTGTTTTACTGGACTAACCATTACGGTCTCACAAGGTCAGTACAAATATTGCATGCTTTATTTGTTATACATGGATGCACAAATAATAAATCATATATTTCATTATAATTCAAATCAATATACCAACATGGCAAATATGTTACAACTTAACAAAGTCTATAATTCACAAATAAAGTAAAAAAAAGGATGACACAAACATCTGTTGCACAAAATCTTCCTTAAAAATATGTCAATTCATCAATAAAAATAGATTATCAAAGGCCATTCTTTATTAATTCTATTTTTACTGTCACAACATTTACACAAGAACTTAGCAAAATGAAGAAATAACATTAAGAAAGGAAAAAAAAACTAAAATTTAAGATATGACTATCATGACTATAAGTTGCAATTGTTAGACATGATTGTAAAGTATAAAGGTAACAGTTATCTATCTTATCTAAGTAGTCTCCCCTCTAAAACCCCTGGACCAATTTCATCCAAACTTGGATTCCTTGCAAATGCGGGATATTATTTGTGTGGAAATCCTTTGTAGAAAATAGATCTTTCTTCTAGAATTTTTAATAAACTCTGATAATTCTCTGTTATATATACATTTGTCATGTTTGTAAATATACTAATTCCCTATACAATTAATATTTCTATATCATGTATATGTTTATTTACTTTGAAATATTTTAGGAATTTCTGAAAATGAGTAAAAGGAGATGAGGGGGTAGACATCCACTTAGCAAGCTGCATTTGTTTGCACCTGTCCTAAGTCAGGAACCTGATGTTCAGTGGTTGTCGTTTGTTGTTGTGGTTTATAAGTATTTCTCGTTTCTCATTTTTTTATATAGATTAGACCGTTGGTTTTCCTGTTTGAATGGTTTTACACTAGTCATTTTTGGGCCCTTTATAGCTTGCTTTTCGGTGTGAGCCAAGGCTTTGTTTTGAAGGCCGTACTTTGACCTGTAATGGTTTACTTTTACAAATTGTTACTTGGATGGAGAGTTTTCTCATTGGCACTCACACCACATCTTCTTATATCTAAGTATTACCATTATTACCCAGTAATCCAACTATAAAAATAATCAAAAGAAACCTATCAACATTCAAGGTTGTTAAAAGATAACATTGATAATAAGGCCTACAACATAAACAAACCTATCCATTTTCAGCCTTAAGTCAGTCAGGATTCTACTTACTGGTAGTCAAAAGTTTCTCCTTAATACACCAGCTTATTTCTTCAATTGTGAAAATGGAAACCATTGTCGAGACAAGTTAACATACCTGCCAACTTTTGAAAATCCCCATGGGGTTTTGAGTGCATGACAACAACTTCAAAGGTTATAATTCTTTGCGGCGTTTTTGCGCGTGCTGTTTTGTGCTCTAGAAAAAGTGCCATATCTTTTTTTTTTATATGGTATACTGATGATGAGCTTATAAGCCTTTTTCTTCTTTTTATTTGCATGATTCTAGTAATTATATCAGTAGAAAAAATGAACATGTAGCTAGAATACATGTACCAGGATATATTTTCTTGTGAATGTGTAAGAATATTAAATAATTGTTGCCTTTTCCTAATTCAAAGTTATGCACAAAGAAGGACATTTATTTTCTCCTTGTGAAAAATAAAGCATAGTACATAGTACATGTAGGACTTTCAATTATTTGGTAATTTAATCAGGTTGAAAACAACCCCTTAAATGAGGGGTAATCCCTCAATGTAATGACTATCCCTTTTATGAGGGGTACATTTCAAGTGATAAAAAATATTTTTTTTGTAAAAAACACTTCTTAGTACAAAAGGGCACATATTTATATTATTGGATGAAACTATTCCCCAAAGAACTATACATCTATCTGTATTATATGGTCAAAACATGTCCAAGAATTTTGTAATATTCAAGGACTTATACATGTTATATCTTCTTTATTTTTAAAAATAAGTGTATCCCTCTTGTAAATTTTAGAAAAGTTGTTTCAAATAAAACGAATTTTTCCCCTTTTTAGTTAAAAAAGCTAAGTTTTTCTTTTTACTTTTATACAACAGCAAAATGACCCCCTGTCTGGGGGACTGTCCCTCATTTAAGGGATATCCCTTATTTGTGGGGTTGTTCCCATGGGACCTGTTAATTACAAGAATGACAACACTCTAGTGCATGATATGTTACAGTAAGGGTAATGTCAATAAGCTACTATTTATTATGTTTATGGTAGTACTGCATCATTGAATTTTGTCAATCAGCCATGCTTTTCTTCTGAAGCTGTGTAAGAACCTTCTTGCAGATGAAAATTCACCTGCCATATTCACGATTTTACAATTCTGACAAACACAGTAGAATCCAAACAAGTTCAAATTTAGCATGTCCAAATAATCATGAGAGAGAACGATTTTGATTGGCTTATTAATTTGATCATGAGAAACACAGACTTTGATTGACTGATAATGATTGTCTTCCCTTGTGAACAGTTCAAAATCGGGAACAATCATTTTTTTTCGTGCAGATTTCACAAAATCGCGTTTTAGAGCTTTTTTCACGATCACGATCGTGCAATCGTGACAAGGTGTCAAAATTGTGTAGTACAGGCCTAAATCGTGAAAGTTGACAGGTATGAGTTAAACAAGAATCATTTTCAGTAAGTCCAGAGTGATCACATTTTACTTTTATTCCTTAGTTTTTTACCACTAAGTCTTATAAAATATTTCTAGTTTTATTCAAAGAGGGATCAAGGGGGCTTGTAATATGATGTGCTGTGTCTGTGGTTCATTCAGTATAACTATTGTAGTGTACAACTTATCATGGAATGAATGGTTCAATAAAATCTACAAAGTAAATTTTAAATGAAAGGTTTCGCGCATGTTTACATTTGTTATATTTATATATGGGTATTATAGATGACTATAACTTTAAAGATAAGACATACATTGTCTAGTTCAAATATCTAGGAAATAAAGAATAGAAGCGAGTACCAACCTAATGGCCATGTAAAGATATGAAGAATACCAATCTAATGACCATGCAAAGGTAGGAAGAGTACCATTTAATGGCTATGGGTACTATTTTGTTTTAAATATGTTCTGCTTTCTAGTATGTTCTTTTTGACCGGGCCCAATTTGGTGGTGTAACATCTTAAAAAAGTCTATCCGAATTATTTTGCAAAGAATTCCGCTCAAATCGGTGCCAGGGGCTGTCTTAAACTTGCAGTTAGATGAGGGATTTCTTTTTGCTCCGTGTTGAAGGCCTCACTGTGACTTTGAGATAAAGAACAGCAATAAAAGAGCTGTTCCTTTGCTTTTTGTGTGTTTTTTGGTGTGCATGTACTGATTTTGTGACATGGATGGATACCCCATATCCTTTGCTTTTCTATAATGTATAAAAGCTTAACATAATAAACTGACTGTAAGTATTATGGATATCAGCAATAAGGATGATACAAAGCTATGATAAGTTTATAATATAGGTATTACATAAATATAAGAAGATGTGATATGAGTGCCAATGAGACAACTCTCCATCCAAGTCACAAATTTCACAATATAATATACAAACATCAAACCCAGTGTTATCACAGAAATAAGATTT